ATATCGTGATGTAATCTCCACAGACGCCTTATCAGACTGAACCTCACAGATCTTGTCAAACTCCAAAACATCGGTACCTGGTTCTACAAACCTAGAAGACGATAGACAGACGTTAGGTGTATACAATTACAGGTTACTTCATACTTGTACACATACCATTGCACAACCTCACACTCGGTAATACCTTCACCGATGTCGTCACCAAAAATACAAAATGTCAGTTCAACCGAACGCCGATTCAATGGGACTTCTTTACCAGCGAAGTCACATTGAATATCCTCTTCAAATTAGATTTCTTTTACATTTTTATATAATAAGTCACGAAACAATAAGCATACAGAGAGCAGTTGATTAATAGAATGAAAGGCAGTTTTTAACCTCACGAGAAGTTCATTCGTCTACAGGATAATACAATAAGTCGTACAGTAATCTAAACGACAACGATGTTTCTAAGTGCGCATCCAGTCTATAGTATTGACCTAAGTGTGAAAACCTCTATGTTATACTGCTCTTCTCATGGGCACGGCGCGCTCAACGACACCGTGGCGGTGAATTAAAAAAAACTGCTGCTTTTGACGCAAAACCTCCAAAACTGACTGACAAAGAATGGACATCCAAGCCCGCTTATAGTGTGGAATCGGTCAGCAGCCAAAGCCCAACAACTTTCTGGTGTGATGGTAGCAGAGACGTTTGAAGAGGTCGCTCAGTAAGCCAACATCGTCTTCGCTTGTCTAATGAATGCTCAAGCTGTCCGCGACTGCTACGACCATGCAAGTGTCCTGAATCATTAATTGACGTCTTTGCACTGCCGTTAATTTACCGCGTTCATTGTGACTATTCAAGCATTTACCTGAAGGCAAAAAAAGAAAACCATTATCTGTGAGATGAGCACCATCGCTCCTAAACTTACCTTTGATCTTCATACCCAAGCGACTGAACTCGGCGATGGCCTTCTAGCGACAACAATCTTCGGTCTTCCATCAAAGTTTGTGTCAAAATGCATAGTTTTTAAAAGTAGTTTGGTGAGCTCACATGCATATGAACTTTAGAGCCCACGCAGCAAAATTGATTATTATCAAAGCTGGCGATATCAAGCTGAGAGACATCGTAAGCCCATACCTCATCCCAGCTATGGGTAACAAAACAAATAAGACCTTACTGCTTGTAATGACAACATACCGTGGTGATACTGACATTATATTTTTATCATCCTCAGTCGAATGTGGAGAGCATGTTAGCGAGGCATTGAAAATGGAACTAAGTGGTAACTCCATGGTCCTTGGTTTTGCCCGAAGTCATGGCTGACGGTTTGACTTTGGCAGCTGCGCCTGGTAGGCAATCATATGGAGCATGGCTTCAATTAAGGAAACGGTTTACTAACATCAATAATGGAGGTTGGGTAAGACAAAGTTGTTACATTCATTAGGGCGTGTGCTTAAACACATCCTTGGTTGCTTATGTGAACAAAATGGCTGCAGGTGAATATACAAAAATCTCCTTCCGTGTTGCGGGAGTTAAGAAGGACCTTAAACATATTATCGAGCTTGGTGCCGAATAAAGTATAGATCTGTCGGCTCAGAGAGCAATGTACAGCAACTTTGAAGAAGTCAAGAAATTATAGAGAGATAATCTTGATATCTCTAGTGTGGTTGGAGGTAAGCTGCGGTCATAAACTTTATTTCATATCCAAAGGTACTTGTGACTCATCAGGATGTTCACTGTTATTCATTCTTTTTCTTAGCCGTACGTAGCAAAGCTGGACTTGATTTTGATTTGGACAAGATGGAATATAGTATTCCTCAGTTTGATGATTTCTATATTGTAAGTGAGGAGAAGATTTTGAAGAGGTAAAAACAGAGGGCGATATTGATTATCCTCTTTAGCGAGATCGTTCCATGTTATCCATGCCCAGTCGCCATCTAATTTTTCCGGCTCCATTTATTTAAGATTCTTAATGTCTTCAAGGTCAACTGTTGCTTTCATGAACATTGTACAGTAGTGCTTGTTCTCATCTATCGTGAGATGAATGTCGTATGAATAATTGTTCAAAGTCTTTTACACAAGAATTTATTGTGTCACCTGTCATCGCATCATTGGTAGCCGTGGCAAATTCAGCGGTGCTCAGGGTCAAACCTGTTTCTACATATACCTCACGAATAGCACATTCTTCAAAGGATTCTTTAAAACTCGAGATGTCCTCCAGACAATTGGTAAGTGCCGGCTACATGAGATCCTTTTCGTCGACCGATCAGCAGTCTATCCGGTGTGGTTGCGGTACCTTTTAAAATGACGAAACACCCAACGCCGATTCTCGCTTCCTGTGGTTTCTATAACAAGGTGGTGAATCAAATGCGTTAATACGACATGACTACAAGCTGAATCTTATCACGCACTTCTGTCATTTTATAGTGAAAAGGAAAACAGTTGATCTGCGGAGTTCATTCGCTGTTGGTTGGTGCTGAAAATTACGAGATGCTCGTAAGCTGCTTTCTTTAGCAGGGTGTACTTTGCATCGGAGTTGGTGTCGTCTTCAGCAAAACCTTTGAAAGGCGGTGTCTGTGCCACTACTGATCTCAGCCGCAGATACTGATGCAAATTTTCTGTCAGTGGCGATATTGTGGACAACTTGGAAACAATCCTATCCTTCTACAGCCATCATCGAGTCGAAGGAAGATTTCAAAAACTATCAGGGCAAGCAAAGGGTCAGGGAGGATTTGACTTGCGCTTTCCTAGATGGTGGCAAGAAGTATAATGCCAGGAAACGCAAGTCAACGCAGAATCGCAGACGGAGAAGAAAGAAAAGGGCTACTTCAAAACAAACCGACATCCCTCCACCCACTTTGGCGACTGGCCTTAGGCAACAAAAATCTATTTCGTACTTGATAAGAATAAAAAAAATCATAATACCATCTTTATGTTGGGAGTCTGCTATCCGTACGACTACCAACAATCAAGGACCTGGTTTCAGGCATTGGACATATGAGCCCTTCCAAGAATCATCAAAGGCTCCTTTGGTAATTTGTGGCGATGCCATGTTCGGCAGGAAAAACCTTGTGCATATTCTTCCGGGCAAGAAGAACAGTGTTGTTGGGGTGTTGCCGAAAGCACTAGAGCTCAAAGAAAGAGAAGGAAAGTTGCTGGCGACTCCTATTGACGTATATTATAAATCGCAGGTAGACGATGACTGTCAACGAAAGATAATTTATACTTCACTAACTTTACTTTGTAAGGTGAGTAATGGACATAGTCGGAGGGATCTCAAGAAGGTAACGACTCTAGAGGGATTAATTTACCAAGGAATTGTAATCTGTAAAAACTGTCAGATTCTATGGCAACGAGTCATCAATGCTGGAAAAAACATGTACCACATAGCCGAAGCAATCTGGATTGGTGGTCAAAGGCCACGCCGGTTTGCAAGATCTGCACGGCAATAACCAAATTTCGCCGCTACGAATGCGTTTTCTTCTGCTGGTGAAGGCTACTTATAACGATTTGAATTCTTACGCCAACAGACGCAAAATCGCCTTTTGATGAACGCAATTTTCTTTTGAAAACCAGTAATGGATGCCAAAGTCCTGCTTGAGCCGTCAGACCGGAGCCAATTATCTTATTGCTGGCTACCTCTTAGATACGTTATGTACTTTGGCAGACTAGGTTCGAAATCTAGACTGAAGAGGAAGTGGTCATATTATTGAAAGCGCAGACTTCTGACAACTTTGAAAAGCGTCTGAATGGTATCATATGCTTCATGCTAATTGACATCAAATAAAAAGGAGTGAAGAGAAAAAAGGGAGATTGTATTATAAGACATTTTGCAGTAAAACCTTGTTGCAGTTGTGGAGTGCTGCAAAGAACATATATTTGTTGAGTAGCCAGTTGGAGTAGTGTAAGGTGTGCAATGAACTTGTAATATACGTCAGGAATTCGTTCTCGTGAATATCTGCCATACGAATAAGCCATTCCCGCACAAAGACGTATTTCAAACCACTGGTGTTTTCGCAAATAGCACGCCATATAACAAAGGTTATGTGACACGATAGTTTGATTTTGAGTAACGATAAAAAGGGGTGGTGACCAGTCTAGCAAGCTCGCTATATAAATCGAGTATGTGTCAAAAAAATGTCTCTTTGGTCACCTTTTATTAAACGTTTGTTACTTTTCGTTAGGCCGCAAAAAGTAAATATGAACCGTGAATTCGATCATAGCAATAACAACAATCAACGAGATTTGTATCCAGATGGTAAGTTGAAAATGCTAAATTTCATTGTTGTCCACGAAAATGGTTGACTTACCTTTATACGTTGACGCAGGAGATCCAAGTACATCACGCTCAGTGCGCTCTAAGGGCAAGGAAAAAGCCAAGTACGAAGATCTGCAAGGTATGAGCGATTGATATTTACGCTTTATCGACATACTGTTTGGGTGTATAGCAAAAAAAAAAAAAAAGACGTGCTATTTGGAAATACTAATATCAACTTCAACGTGCCATAGATACAGATGTGGATGAACGATCACTGTATTATGTTCAATTTTCGTCCACCCAACATCGAGAAAATATGCCGCTACGTATCCATGATGCGTCTCTGCAATCTAATAGTAAGTAAATATCATAATCAATCGTAAACATGATTCACAGCAACCCTTAACACTGGTTGCTGTGTAGTAGTTCCCTATACACTAGTCCCAGCGACTCCACCACATCCAACATTATCTCCAGTAGTGTCGTACCAACGTACACAGGATGGTAAGTAGCCAGCTTCCGCTTCAATTTCAATACCAAATTCGTAGTTCTCACCCTGATTAATTCCTGTAGTTCCTTATACGTTAGTCCCAGCGACTCCACTACACCCAACATCATATACAGTAGTTTCCAACCAACGTACACAGGATGGTAAGTGGACAACTTTCGCTTTAATTTCAATACCGGATTCATATATCACACACTGATTAATTCTCGCAGTTCCTCATGCGTTAGCCTCAGCTACTCCGTCACCTCCAACATTATCTGCGGCAGGGTTGGAAGATCGTAAACAGCGTGGTATGTGGCCACCTCCAACTCTAGTTTCAATACCAACTTCATAAAATCTTAAATAATTATTTCCTGTAGCTCCTTATACGCTAGTCCCAGCGACTCCATCACCTCCACTGAACATTGGTACGTTCTTAAATTTCAAGATTTCTGAATGATACGAACTCTAACAAATTTTCTCTGATGCACCAGAGCCGTATATGCGTGCTTCCCGTACATTCACATCGTCGAACTCTCCGACAATTTCCAACAGAGTTGTACTCGGCGATGGTAAGATGCCGATATTCATGCAATACTTTGAACATTACTAAAAGACTGACTTTTAAAGTCTTGCACATCGTATCCACTGTCCTTCAACTCCCACTAGATTCATCTAATGTAAACAATAAGTCATGTCATGCACTTTTCACCGGTATATACAAGCCCTTTCATCTAGTGTCATCTGGTAAAGTATTATACTCTCGTATTAGTCTGTCAGAAAAAATTAACATCGATCACTATCTTATAAAAGATCCATCCGGAGTAAATCAAGGTAAGCGTACCTGCAACCCTACAGATCTAGAGATGAATGATACTCATTACCATTGCATTCATTACCATTGCATTCATTACCGTTGCATTCTTTATCTCAAATTTATCATCCTTCACTTATGTAGAAATGCGTCACTCATCGAAGAGGAGAAAGCTCTCTTCTGGCACATATCAAGAAATATACCAAGACTTGATAGATGGTAGATCAGTATCACTGGACGATTTTGACATAGACGATTCCGATAGAAAACTTCCACCACGCTTTTTTGATATTGATGGTACGTATATTAATGGATATAGGATAAGCGAAATTTGTGCGGACTGGGATGATTGTGCATGAGCTGATATCTTATATCAATTGATTGATGTTGTGATAGACCTTCCCATGTCTTCATCAATGAAGAAAGCCATTGAGAAGGCTCAACAGAAAAGGGCTGAACAATCCAAGAGAAGGAAGGAGAAACAGGATGCCAAATCAGCAGAAGAAAAAAGACGTCAACAGGAAAAGAGAGCTGAAGCTGGAATGCCTGAACCAAAATGCGCGAGCTGTGGACAAGAAGGTCACCAGAGGTCAAGCTCAAAGCTATGCCCAAACTATAAACCCAAAAATTCCGTAAAAATGGCTGCTGGTGGTCTCACCAGAAAGGCCACCATCAAGAGCAGCTTACGGAGAGGCTGCCCCAACGAAATTTTGGTTGAAGAAATCCAGAAAGCTGTATTAAGAACAAGAAATCTTGGACACGTTGGCTCTCTTTTTGCGAATTTTGCTGTGATCCAGAGACTTCAATCCGGGCAGCCTATCCCACCTCTGGATCACAACCTTTTCTACAATATTTTTGGACAGCTGGTTGGAGCTGGTCGGGGCGCTGACCAATGGATCAAGGACTCCTACCGACATTTTTGTACGTTGATGCCATCAACTTTGGCATCAACATTTTATTATGATTCGCAGATGGTCACACACATTGCAAAACAATACCATACCGATTTTGCCAATCATATTGCCCACAATTTTGAACGGTTTTGCTCGAACTACTTCTTTTTGCGCCTCAACAACGAGGCGGACACATGGTATGCGGCCAACGCCACGGTCAAAGAGAGAAAATCTCTCGCAAATTATTTATACAAGCGAGCCGCCTCTCTTGAGGCGGCATGGCCAGATGTCGGAAGCGACGAAATTTTGCCCAGCACGTTTGACGACCGTGCTGCATCTATGGAGCTTGGGCCAACTCCGATTACAGAGGCAAGCTTGTTTGCTTCCCCGCACGCCTTTCTGCCATTTTTGCACACTGCCTTAACCTACTTGGAAAATCAAGTCCAGGTCTTGGAACCTCATCCACAAAATTTTGTTTCGAAAGGATACATCTTTAGAAAGTTAAAAGAGGTATGCTAACTATCTGATAGTCGTATTATGACTGATATATAGTAATCGTTTGTTTAGATTTTTACTGGGACTTTTGTCCCAAACCGCGTTTATTCAAGCACCCAAGCAGCTGTGCATACAGCAATACAGCGACGGACCAACGTAGTTCTTGGGAGAAGACAAGCGCATAATGCGATTTTGGACAAACTAGACCAGATACAAGATTTTGTCACTCTGACCATTGGAGAACTAGAAGCGGGCACCTTTCGCCCGCAAAAATATACAGATCCGAAGGGATCCAGGAAGTTTACCTTGCTTCCTGTAAAATCACTGCAAGCTGGTCATATTCAATTGAATGCGACGACACTTCCTGTAATTTTGAGGGCAGCTGGATTGACCAACCGTCATAGCATGTCGCAAGAGGTGTTCGAACGGCTAGTATGGCGAAGTTTTGATTTTACTCATCTTGGATTCGAAAGTCTTGAGGATTTGTTTACTGAAGATATTCAGTGGAGGTGAGAGTTTTTTCATTGATAGGTTGTCTATATTAATATGTATCTGACGTTCATGCTGCAGCCGATGTCTCCGATCAGATGGTGTAGACCTAGAATTTTTGTTTTTCAAGAAACCTTTATTGTATAGTGAGCCAAAGACACCGGCTCATTATCGGAATTGGATTCTCCACGGTCAACATAGGTCTACAGTATGGGGCGTTGATCCCGGAAAAACCGACATTTTTGTTGCTGTAGATGGAAGCAGCTCCAACCGCCACAGGATCCGCAAAACTTCTAATCATGAATATTATGATCTTGGCGGGTTCAACCGTGCAACCAACAAACGAAGAAGATGGGTGGCTGAGAATGAGCATATTAAACATTTGATCGACACTCTGCCATCGGTCAAAACCGCCAACTTTAGAGAACTCACCGTGGCAATCACAAATCGGCTGGTCTGCTTTGGTGAAATTTGTGCTTTTTATGACGAGGATCAACGCTACCGCGTTTTGAAACTTAAGAACTACAAAGGCCAACAACTGGCACTAGAGGAAATGGGACGAAGACTCACTTTTGGGTCTAACAAGTATGGAAGTCATCCAAAGCCGTCCCATAGACACATGGTGGACCCTCTAGTGAAGAAAAGACCAAGTTTTGTACCTCTTCCATCCACTGATAATGATAATGAAGACAATATACACCACTACTTAATTGCATTTGGAAACGGAAGTGCCCCACACCTACGAGGAAAACTCCCCGCGCCATCCAAAAGGCTCCTACGACATTTAAAGTCTCTTTCCAAGCGTAATGTATTTGTATCTACTATCATTATCGACGAATATTTGACTTCGCAAGTGTGCGCGGAATGCCACAAAAGAAGTCTAGTCAATCTACTTGAAAGATCCTTGCCTTCTACTGCTATCGGATCCAAAATTCATGCTGTCCTCAAGTGTACCTCTTGCAGCACGGTATGGAACAGGGATGTAATGGCGGCAAAAAACATATTGTATATCTTTCAATATATGGCCACACATAATAATGAGAGGCCACGGCCGTTCAATCGACCGAATTCAACGAACGCCGAGGAAGGCACTGGGCCAAGGGAAGCTCAGCTACCGACTGGTTAGTCCAAGGAGGAGAGGGACTTGTAGCCAGTTTGAAAGACCTCGACATCAATACACGGTAGGTACCAGAAGATTGCAAACCTGATTTGTATAAAAGCGCTGACCTGACTTTTCACGTGATAAAAATGATTTTCGAAAAGTACAGTATCTACTTTGCGACCCCTCCCGACCCTCCCACAATTGACTGCGGCACTTCACGCAGTCGACTTTGTGCAAGACATAAATACAATGGCTGGTAGCAATGATTTTTAGTTCTTCAATAACCATCTCTGTTATATACCCCGCTTTCACCTTACGTTCACTAATGCCTGTAAAGCTCGTCTGCACTCACCTGGTCTTTGATGATGACTTTGAGGACCGCTTTGAGGACCGCTTTGAGGACAGCTCTGAGGATAGCTCTGAGGGCAGCTGCGAAGACAGCTGTAAGGACCTCTCTGAAGATGACTTTGAAGAGGCACTGCCCATCAAGACTCCAATCAATCTAAACGATAGCTCAGACTTTCCACCTCTCACAACAGCAGCCACTGCCGACGGATGGGATTACATTGAAAGCCAAGAGACCGACGACGTGCTTGTAACCGAAGATACGGAGGATTGGGAACAATTGGAACTAGCAAAGAGGCAATCTCTTGCCTTCGAATACTGCTTTGCTACCATCGCCAAACAGACCCAACATGTACCTTCTCCCACCCCACGGCTGGCAGCCTCAACCGTTCTTCGCGATACGCCATTAGTGCGCAGAAAAAAGAACCAACAAGACGATGACGATGATAGCGAATCCTTGTGGGATCTATACCCTGTCGATAATTCAGATAAGCAATTCCAAAAGGCACACGCTCGTCGACGAAAGGAGCTTTTGCATTGCTTCAACACCATTCCTACCCCGGTTCCCGAAGAACCCGTTGTTACCCACCCTCGCTTGCATCAAACATGTGCCTACTCTGAGCCCTTAACGGATCATCAGTACCAACATGCCATCTTTAAGCACGTTCAGTGGGATAAACGATGGATGGGTTGGGGAAAATACTATGAGCAACCCGACCTACGTCTTCAGGTAGCTGGTCGCGATGATGAGGATTCCCGATGACCCAGTCTTAGCCATGTACATACATTTTGATATTCTCTCTTCCCTGGTATTTTTGTTTAGAAAACCTTGTCTATAACCTTGAAAACATCAATTGCAATGTAATAAACTTGGCAGCTGGACCGTCATATTACTTTTTGTCTGGGTTGAGAGGTGGAGCTTTAAAAAAAAAAAACCAACAGAGTATTAAAAGAAAAAATTTTCCTGCACTCCATGTTTTTCTCTCTATCTCTTGTTGCTGGTAAGTTTGCCCTATCCTATTCCTTTTCAAGCTTCCTTCTTCGATGATGTTTTCCAATGCAAATATGCGTTTGAATTTCTTCAAATGAACATTTATGATTCGAAATGACACCCCTGATTTGAAGATCTCTTTTATTTCCATCACCATTGTACTTGCAATGTCTATTCATCTTTACTGACATGCATCTTCGTGATCTCTAGATTCGAGCGGAGGTAGCCGCGTGTTGTAACAATGAAATAAAAAAAAATTATGTATTTCTTTCTCTGATACCCTATATGTTCTCTTATTTGTTTCCCCCAATGTGTTTAACCAGAACGGTTTGTTTGCGACGTGACTTAAAAAAAAGGGACCACCAGAGACAAGTTTGTTTCAAGGCTGCGATAACCTAACGCACCCTGCTTTTGATATCTATTTATTACGAGAAAACATAGTATATGAGATGTATCCACATGGAGATATCAGGCATTTTTACATGGACGTTCAACCAATCATCTTCAAATAACAGGTCTGTGTACATTTCGTTCGAGCGTGAGCCGTTGAACCAGCAACGCATTGTGGAACGATGGTTCGCCGCCGCTTGTGAACATGGGAAGGTTGTATATCTTGTGAGGTGGAGAATTGAAATTGAGTTTTGGCTTCTAAAGCCAGGGCACGGAGCACATCTCTTTCCACAGGGTCGGTGGACGGTGATGACTCCTTGTCAGTAGCTTGCGGCTTCCGGTCCGGCGCTTCCTTGGCATCATCGACAAACATATCTAACTGGTCAAAGCCTCCGCTGATTGGATTGGAGGCGCCCCACATGTATTCGGCGTTCACCTGGCTTGACGTGATCCAAACCTTTTCTGCGTGCAAAACCTCGACATGTTTCTCGACAGCATCTGACCGATAACAACTTGTTTTCTGGTCTACGCAGCAAATTAAACAGTGGCATAGTGGGCAGCGTGCCCAAAACTCAACCGCATCGGGATGGTGTAGTACAAGTCGTTGCGATATAGCATCTGTGTACCTGACAAAAGGGTGCTGTGGGCCAACGGAATGAACAGCCGTGGTTTTGGATGGTTTCGCTTTGGTGTCGACAATCGGCGTGGCGGCGCTTCGTTTCAAGTTGGATGATCCATTCAACGCATTGACCAGCGTTGGCTGAGTGCTTATAGATGTCAACTGATAGGCAGGTGACCTTCGTAATTCCGGGATAGCTGTGTTCGGTACTGCAGCAGTTTGAAGCCTGTTCCAGTTGATATGAGAAGTGTTGGCACTTCGCCTCGTAGGCGATGTTTGAGACATTCCAAACATCTGCCCTTGACTATTATTCTCGGCAACGAGGCTAGGAGACATGATGGTGGATGCTAGTGAAAGACGGTCGTAGCTGGCTTAGCTGAGGGCGTACGTAGGTAGCTTTTTTTTAACGTTCAAAGAAGGGACGGATACCGATGAAGTTGAGTATGCGAATTTTTTTATAAGGACGTCAAGGAGGATAAAGGGGTAGTGAACTCGATAAATACAATGGGAGTCTCCTTGATGGCAGACTTGCAAAATAGTGAAGAGGATGAAGGAGAGAAGCGTGTCCCAAAAGCTGATTTTGATGTATCTTTAAATGCCGGCTGGAGAGAGAATGGTAAGCTGCGACAGACAAAATACAGTTGAAAACGCAATTTAATGCAGACCTCCTTCTCAATCTTCTGTTGGCTATCGAGACTTTGACAGAACAACACGGAATTTATATGCAATATGAAAGTAGGATGGAGTGCAGTGTAGCGAGTGGAAAGAAAAGACGAGCTTCTTGGACAAGGGGAAAGGAAGGGAGGAAGTCATGATGGGTCTTTCCAGTGCACGCGACCCTCTGTTTGATGTCATCCAAAAATAAAAAAATTATCCCAGTGTGCAACCATGCCGTACTATGTGCAGACAGCGACGCAAGGCAAAGCAAGGCAGTTGAATCAAATTTGAAAACCCGTCTTTATCGCAGTTTGATGAAGATCACCTTGGTAATCAATCACCTTTCACTGTAAATTGGACGCAAAAAAATGGGACGATGACACTATTTACAAAGAAAAAAGGTATGCAGAAAGTTGTAACATGAAGAAAAAAAAAAGAAGGGGAGCTGTGGATGGAGGGGGTGGGTTTCCGTAGGATAGGATGGGCCGAGAGAACGACGAAGAATACAATTTCTTTTTTGTCAGTTGCCCAGCACTGAGTATAGATTGCTTTCTTGGTGTTCCGGTCACAGATACATGGGGAGATTGTTGTTAAAAGGCGATTCAGATCTAAAGGAGTGGGAGTGGTAAAAGCTGTCATCCAGACTTCTTCTACTTAGCATGATGGATTCGGTGGCTGGAGGTGAGGGATAGTCGAGTTTGACCAGAGCATTGAAGGCGTGATGAACATCGGTGAACTGCATACTAGTGCACTTTCGCAAAGGAGGGGTGGTGGATCTGTGGTCTAATCCCAAGCCTTGATGAGTTTCAAAATCTCGCAATTGAAACATGAGATACATATTAGGACTGATAGACGTTGACTTTGCCTTGACAAAATCATAAGCTTGGTCGAGGGACATCTTGAAGGCATGCATGACATAAGCAATGACCAGGGAAGCTGAACGGGCTACTCCACATTGACAATGAACCAGAATAGCTCGTTTTGCAGCTCGTGCACGATCGATGACTTGAAGAGCTGGTGCAAGTTCGGTGGCTAAATTTTCATGGTTGTGAGTCCAGGCAAACTTTTTGTACTTTATTTGCTGAAATGGAGTCCCGTCTTCATTTTGTGCAACATCATTTTGGCCGACGTGGCGTTTTCGACGACCCTTCATATCTGACGACGATGGCCGCTTCATACTGCTTTGTCGATGAGCCGTGGCCCTCATGGCGGATGTAAATGAAACGTTGGACGGTCGAAAACGGAGCATTCGTATTCCACGCGGTGTAGGTTTGACCCCTCTGGTTGGACTAAAAGGACTGTGGGCACCGAGGTCATCGGGTGGTGAAGCGTGGAAAGCGTCCATAGTGACCGATTCTGAATGAAAGGAAAACGATGACGATAAGGTGTTGATACTGGACGCTGAACTAGCCGACGATGATATAGATAAACAAGGCGATGATGCACCTCCATCATCCTCAGAGATATCACTCATGCTAAAATCATGTTCGCTTGGATGATTGACTTCCTTGGCGACGTTCAAGATATACCCAATATGTAGATACTTCAAACCGGCCATGTCGTTTGCATTATTTTCGTCACCAAGGTACAAGTAGGGTAAGATACGAATGGGACCTTGTTTATATGGCTTATCGGGCCCATTATCGGTAGGTGTAGAAGAATCATTATGGATTAAGGCGGCGGAAGAAGGTGCGGGTATACTATGCTGGTGAGGTCGCGTCGCAGGCACGGCTAATGACAAGCCTTTCCTGTTCCGTCGCTTGGCTGCAGACTGTTGTGATAGAAATCGAAAGCTGGTATCAACCATGCAAGGAATAACGGAGAGGAAAGGAAGGAAGAAAATAAAATCCTGAGCCGAAATTGCTTTTTGTAATGTTTGGCAGCCAATATCGGGCTCTAGCCAATAAGAGGGCATGCCTTAAATTGCAAAGTGTTACAGGACCTTTTTTTCTATGCGATATTTATATGATGTCTGGACCCACATGATGCTGAGCAAAGAAAAAGTAATTATGATCAAAAAGTAGATTTTCGTTTTTTTATTTTTGGCGACAAAAAGGTGAATCCAATCTCCAACCCGTTCTCTACAGTAAGTGCTTTAGTGGCTTGTGTTTTTTTCTTCTTTTTGAGAGGGGGAAGGTCCTTGCAGTATCTGGGGTTATTCGATGTACTTAAGCACCGAGAGTGGGGAATGCAGTAGCATCGTCAAGGTTAACGGAAGCAGATTGACGGCCACCACGACGGCCACCACGGCCACCGCGCTGTTGGCCACCACGTTGACCTCCTCGGCTGGCACCACGGCCACCACGCTCACCGCGGAAACCACCGCGCTTGCTGTTCTCTTCAACGAAACGTTGTTCGATCTCAACGTGGACCTTTTCCTTCTTGGTCTTGTTCTTTTGCTTGAGGGAGAGTCCCTGTAGGAGAAAATTAGGTGTTAATGTTATGGTGAAGGGCGGCTTGGAAAAATTTTCTGGCCAGCCAGAAACAAGTTTGTTTTTTTTTTTTTTTAACGGCCAAAAACATACCTTGCCACCGAAGAAATCTTCCTCTTCGGGCTTCTCAAGAGCAACGGCATCCTTCCACTTGGAGTCGTCAGCACCTTCGTTGGGCTTGCGGGCCTCGGGGAGAGCAGCGGCAGCAGCCTTCTTGGAGGCCAAGTACTCTTCAAGGGTCTTGGTCTGCTCCTCGGGTTCTTCCTCAGCAACAGCCTCTTCGGTATCAGCAGCAGCGGGATCCTTGGGCTTCAAGGAATCGGTAGCACTAGAAAGGGATGGGAGAGGGACTTAGTGGTCGCTAGGGATCTATGGGCAGCGGTAGTAATACTTACGCTTCGGCCTCGGCAGATTCAGCATGGCCCCAGCTTTGTTCGACCTTCTTTTCGCTATCGCTAGAAAAGAAGGTAACATTAGTGAATGCGCAAATATGTTTAAAATTGCCAATGGGGCATAAAATATAGCAGATCTATTACTTACACAAGGCCAGTAGCGCTGTGGCGATCGAATGGGCGGCGGGGAGCTCTACCTCCCTCACGACGAGGACCATTCTCAGAGCGACGTCCACGGGGAGCTACAATAAAAAAAGAATTAGAATCGATGGTTTGAAGGATGAAATTTCTGTGGCTTGCGACTCAGACAGCCGCCCACAAAAAAAAAAGATGTTGGTCAAAATAGTCGACGAGGCATCGTGGGCAGTAACGTTTGTCAGGAAAGGTTGCGACATTAGAAATCATAACACAACGTTGTCGACAATACATTGTGCAATCGAGCAGTACGAACGAGCGAGCAGTACGACGAGCGAGCGATACAATCGAGCGATACAGCAGCAGTGGTTGTGGATCACCACTTTGGTTGAATGGGTGAGATGCTTTGCGTTGAGGTGAAACGCTTTGTTGGGTAAAATGCTTTGTTGGGTGGACGCCGGCTGGATGGGTAATCGAGATGAAATGTTTGCCTACCGTCAGATTTTCCACCACGCTTGGCCTTTTCAGACTTGGGACGAGCAGCAGCCTGTTCCTTCACAGCAGGAGCAGGGGTAACGGGCTTGGCAGCAGCAGGAGCGGGAGCAGCTGGAGCTTCGTTGTCACCGTCGCCGAGAAGATCAAACAAATTCTTGGAGAAAGTAGACATTCGCGATTGGATATTGGATAGAACAGGAAGAGCCTACAAAAAATTTTCCTTTCACTATTTGCTAGTGGAGTTCGAACCCAACGCGCAAAACAAAGGTCACGTGACTCGGATCCTGGCCACCCAGACAATGAATGAGCGCGCCTAACCCCACTCCCCTCAAGCTTTCTTATTCTACTCCAATGTCTACCACTCCCATTAGGAATAACCAGGCATCCTACGATGCCATTCCTTCCGACCCCGAGGGTCAACAAATTCCAAACGGCCATAGAAAGGTAAACCTTGGTGTAAATTCCCTAACGGCTGCTGGGTTGTGCTGACCCATTCAGGAAACAGGCTAGCAAGCGAACAAAAATTGTCTTGTCTACCGCACTAGGCGTTATTGCTGTTGCCGCTATCACTGTAGCTAGTGTATATTATTGGACTGCTCCAGGTAAAAGTATCGCAGAATCAAACTCCTCCACCACCCACACCTGCTGACCACTACCACAGCTGCACATCCACGAAACGTTATCATGATGGTCTCTGACGGATTTGGCCCTGCTTCGGAAACATTTGCTAGACAATATCATGCCTGGGATAACGACTTGGATTACAAATCCATCCTCCCACTCGACTCCATCCATGTTGGCCAAAGTCGTACACAAAGTTCATCCAGTTTGGTCACGGACAGTGCAGCCGGTGCTACCGCATTCTCATGCGGCTTAAAGTCTTACAACGGCGCCATTGGTGGTAAGTTTGAAATGCGATTTCCCTTGCAGCATCAGTGTCTCGACTCATTCGTTTCTTTTCAGTTGATCCGGAGGAAAATCCTTGTGGAACGGTTTTGGAATCTGCCAAAATTCACCAGAATATGTTGACCGGTCTGGTTGTCACCTCCCGAGTGACACATGCCACACCGGCTGCTTTCTCGGCACACGTTGCTTGGAGAGATTGGGAAAACGACATTGCGCTACAACAGATTGGAGAAAACCCGCTTGGTCGAACCGTTGATTTGATGTTTGGAGGCGGCCGATGCCAGTTTTTGACCAACCAATCTGAAGGAGGCTGCAGACTCGACACTCGAGACTTGCTGACGGAAGCCAAGACAACATATGGCTGGAAGACCGTATTGGACACACGCCAGGCATTTGACGCATTAACCGATGAATCAGAACTCCCTCTTATGGGCCTGTATACTCCCAGTGTAAGTCCAAGTGCATGATGCCAGGACCTTGTATCTTTTACTGACAGGGAGCCCGTAGCACATGTCGTACAACATTGATCGCGATCCCGCCATTGAACCTTCTTTGGCCGAAATGAGCTCCAAAGCACTTGGCATCCTATCCAAGGCATCCAAAAACCAAGGCACTGGATTTTTCTTGTTGATTGAAGGAAGTCGCATTGACATGGCTGCTCACACGTGAGATTCCTTTTCCAGTCACTTTTTTTCATTATTTACATTGATCCTCACTCCCCTGTAAACAGTAACGACCCTGCCGCTCATCTCCAAGAAATTCTCGCTTACCAAGATACCATTCAGGTGGTCAAGGACTTTGTAGATGCTAACCCTGGTACCGTCGTTGTTTCCACTAGCGATCACGAGACTGGTGGTTTCACATTGGGTCGTCAAACAACTCCAGATTATCCCGAATACAAGTGGTAAGCGCACCTTTCCCATTGTCGTCACCCCCTCCCGCCTCTATTAACGCCGCCGTAGGGAACCAGCTGTCATTAAGCGCGTCAAGCGATCCGCTGAATTATTGGCCCGTCAATTGATGGCGCAAAAGTCCTTTAAGCCTGACTATGTCAAGGATTATATCATCAAGGACAGCTTGGGTATCACGGATGCCACACACGACGAAATTGCCTACCTTGAAAAATGGCAAGAGAACAACCTGACATCATCCAATATTGAAGAACACCTTTCCAACATGGTCAGTGTTCGTGCTCTAATTGGGGTAAGTCAATTCACCAATGTCGTCATTCCCTTCCAACTTTTACTCATTCCGCTCTAGTGGACAACCCACGGTCACACGGCTGTTGACGTGAACTTGTATGCTTATGGTCCCGAAAGCGATAAGCTTCGAGGTACCCATGAAAACACTGATATTGGTGATTTCATCTCCGGGTACCTTGGACTTGATCTTGCCGCCATTACCGATGAATTGAAGAGGTAAGTCTTTGGGCCAGCAGTCCATGGCATAGCGGCAACAGTCAAAACCAATCGTAATTTGACTCCTTCTTTGCAGGAAAATGTCTTCTATTGCTTCGATATCCATGAAGCCAAATATTGAAGAGCGCTACGGTCATAGCATGTAAACCAGCGGCTGGACTGCAAGACTTTCAGGTCTTTCAATTTCTTTTCAGGTCTTTTTTCTGTGAGGCCATATTTATGCTTTGTGGGCCCCCTACATTTTTGATCTCTACACCTCCATTTTCTGCGATTAACACAAGCGCTGTTCTGTGTTGTTACTACCAGCATGTTATGTGTTGTTATCACAAGCAATTTCCGCGATTAGCACGAACATGTTGTTATCACATAAATATGATCTATAAATGTGAATGTCTTCATTTGGACTTGCCAACACCAACGGCCTTTGCATCTTTTTGATCTCAATTGCGTTAACACCACTATGGAACCACATTTACTCTCATAACAATGCTCTGTACCGTTTCTTTAAAAGCTAAACATGATTTTTATAATGGATGGATGAATGCAACCAACTCATTTCGTTGGTAACCAAGGCTTACTGCCATGACTTACTGAGCCTTGGCGAAACGCTCGGCAACAGTCTTCCAGTTGATTACCTCCCAGATAGCCTTCAAGTACTCGGGACGAGCATTCTTGTATTGAAGATAGTAGGCGTGTTCCCAGACATCAACACCGAGAAGAGGAACAAGGTGAAGAAGAGGATCTTGGTTCTGGGTGCTGGCAATCTCTAGACGCTTAGCAGCCTTGTTGTAACCCTACGACACGATGAATACATTGCTCAAAAAACACAACCGTCAATGCCATTTTGAAAAACTTACCAACCATGCCCAGCCGGAACCTGAAAATAAACAACATAATTAGTCACATCTCTGGCTCATTCCAAACCGCGCGATACTGTTACCTTGAACACCAGCTGCAGCAGTGTTGAATTGACCGACAAAGCTTTCAAAGGAACCCCACTCCTTTTGAATGGCACTGAGAAGGGAACCCTTGGGAAGTTCACCGCCACCTTCGCTCTTGGGAGCAAGGTTTTGCCAGAACAAACTATGATTGATATGACCTGTGGTAAAACCTCGTCAATATCTTGGTTTTTCAGTACGCCCACACATCTCGAGCCTTTTTACCTCCACCGTTGAACTTGAGTGCGTTTTGGAGAGTCAATTGTTGAGTGAGATCATTGGCTTGGAAAGCACTTCCCAATTTCTCTTCAGCAGCGTTATAGTTGTTGACATAGGTTTGGTGGTGCTTGCTGTGGTGAATCTCCATGATATCTCCATTGATATAGGGCTCAAGGGCCTACATGAAGGGTAAGCTTAGATATTGGTATTTATGCGGGAGGTGTTGAAACCTGTACTCTACCTGGTATCCATAAGGAAGATCGGGAAGAGTGACCTTGGTGCGGATGGCAGTCAAAGGAGCAACGGTCTTGAAACCGGAAGATCTAATGGAACGGGCAGCAATGGACAGCATTTGATGTTGAAAAGGCAAAAAGCGTTATTTGACACCCGTTTGGCATGATGTCGAGATGATTTTAATGCTTGCCTGTGTGATGACGCAACTTTTACTCAGCATGGCCCGTCGGAAAATGGCATGTCTCTGCCTTTCAAAAAAAAAAAGCAGGAAAAAGCAAGGGGAAAAAGCAAGTTATATGCAGCGATGCCTCTACTCGAGCCACTACTACACGCTACTGTATTTGCGACGTTATGCGAGGGTCAGAACTGTAAATGGTTTGCGGGGGAGGAAGTCCAAATGTTACGGGCAGCTGTATTTGGGCAAGTCTCAAAGTAATATTTCATTGGGTGCCTGTGAAATAAGGGCATAATGCTAGAGGCCATAGCGTTCGCATGCTATCTGTTGTTCAGCCTTCCTCTAGTGCCAGTACAACTTTACTGTAGCGCTAGGTAGTCTCACACTCGCAATACACCAACTCTCAAACAAAAGGCACAATACCTCAACTTTTCAATTTACAAAAGGCTAAATCTTTTTATAAAATAATCATATATACATTAACTAGATGCTGGTGGATAGCTCGCTTAAGCGAATAATTTAACCAAGCTTGTTGTGTTGCATGGTAGCATCACCTTGAGCAGCCTTGGCTCGTGCTTGCTCTTGAGCAGCCTTGTCTCCAAGAGCAGCATTGACACCGCTTTGAACATTTCCGGTAACCTTGTCCTTGGCACCATCAATGACGCGCTCGGCCTTGGCAGCATTGTACTAATGAAATGGGATGAGTCAATGACACTTTCTATAACGCTGTCGTCAAAAACATGTGCTTACCTCAGCATTGCCGTCGTTGCGTTGCTCAGAGCCAGCTTGGGTCAAGTTGGCATTTCCAACAGTTCTGCCAACTTCTTCCTTAACACCACCAATGATGGAGTTGACGTTGCCTATATCATACACACATTAGTATAAACGTTACAAAAGGTACAGGCATTTTGGATGGGAAATCCTTACCGGAGGTCTTGTTGGGAGCAGCAGACTGAGCAGCTTGATGTGCTTGATCGAAATCAGCCTTGGCCTGTTGAATGTTGGCAGTTCCTTGTTGCTTCAAGGCTTCGTTGCCAACGAGATTGCCAACGGTTTCTTGAACAACACCGGTACCATGGGTAACATAGGATCCGAGCTTGGTGGGTTCAGTGTTCTGGTTTTGTTGTGAAGACATGTTTGAATAAGATGTTTTGTTTGATAATTTCCTTTCAACAGTGCTGTTTTAGGTCCCCTATTTATACATCTGGTTTCTTCTCCATGTTTATTCTCTCTAATGTCATCTTTACATCACAGCATAATGATGAAACGAATTTCCTTAAATGGTAATACCACCAAATCGAACCCCATGAATTGAAAAGCGAATTATTATTTGAATTTAGCAGGCACATCCGCCAAAGTCTTTAGAGCTATCGTTATCGATACGAATAGGATCGTTTAGGTCACTACACCGCGAAAGGAATGAAACGAGTTAGAATCATATGGGTCGTTTTCTCCACTTACGACACCAGACGTACCTGTACAATTCGACATCAGTTTCTTGAGCCAAGGCATTTTCAGCAATGGTCTGGAACGCTTGTTCAACATTGATAGCTTCTTTAGCAGACGTTTCAAAGTAAGGGCAATTTCCTCTGGATTGGCAGAAAGCCATGGCACGCTTCTGTGAAATCTGTCATGGAAATTAGTGGCCGAAAGAACTTGTAACCAATAATAATCTTAAAAGAGACTCACTGTTCTCTTGCTCTCTTCAAGATCAATCTTGTTGCCTAGTACAACAAAAGGAAAGTTGTCGGGGTCGCGGGGTGATGCTTGGACAAGGAATTCATCGTGCCAGTTGTTCAATGAGTCGAAGCTCTTGGTATTGTTTACATCGTATACGAGCACACAGCAGTCGGCTCCACGATAAAATGCTACGCCAAGTGACTGAAATCTCTCCTGTCCGGCGGTATCCCAGATCTGCAGTCAAGGAAATTGAGATCGTTGATGTATATTCATTTAAGTTTCGACTTGAAGCCTAAGCGACTACTTACTTGCATGGTCACAAGCTTATCTCCCACCATAACTTCCTTGGTTAAAAAGTCTGCGCCTGCAATGCCCAAAAAAAAGTCAACATCAACCCTTTTTGTATCAGTGTTCAGAGCAAAAAAATTACCGATGGTTGCTTTATATTGTCCGGAGAACTTTTTGTTGACATACTGGTTCATCAACGATGTTTTACCAACACTATATTGGAAGAGTTAGTGTACGGGGTAAAAGCATAGACTGGCCAAGCCGTGACCAGTCTCGAGTTCGAGCATTTAACGACTAGCCTTGATGACGCATTTCCAAGGATACCAATCTCTTGCAAGCGGATTTTCTCAAGAGCGCTCAGTCGTTTCCCGATGCACCAATGCCTAAACGCCGTCTAAACTTACCCACTATCGCCAAGGATGATCACCTGTAGCATGCAAGAGTTTAGCAATGTCGTAATAGGAATACATTGATGAGACTGATGATTAAACAAACCTTCAAGAGAACCTTCTTTCTGCCTGACATATTTTTTTGATTCTGTGCACAGAGACGAGGTCGCAGAAGTCTGTTGTCCGATGACCAAAAATGGCGGGCAAACATCTCAAAAAATTGAGTGCCAGTCGCCTTTGCAGGGTAAATTTTTCCACGCAAGCTATCTCCCTCCAAACTAGCTCTTAACGTCCCAGTTCACCTCTTGCTACGAGAGTGCCACATTGGAATAAAAGCTACGTTTTTGACGACTTCACCCAAACACAAGCCACTATGAAAGCTTCTTCTTGCCAAGGCCGGCGGCTACCTCCACCACTTTGAAACACCCATTCACCTGACTTTATGCAAAAGAAAATTTTTGATACCTAGCCCTTAAAAGGTTGCCCTTCGCTTCATTCTTTCTCGATACTACTTCTCTGGAGAATACAATAACATAATCTTTATTTTTGCTGCCCCTATACAGGATGAGTTGTCCAACATAAATACGCAACCAATGAACACGGACGATTCTCAACCTGCCGTATTGACCACATCCAACAATGGATTTCTAGTTTACAGTGAGTGCTGACATCCTAAACTTTCTCCTAGTACTCTCGTATCTAACAGTTTTAGCTCCTGCAGTCGTGGTTGTAATCTTGGTCGCCATTTTTTTAACCTATGTAAGTAGTAGGACATCAACTTAACTCTTGCCTGCATTAAACTCAACGACTCCTATAGCTCCTCATATTATGTATAATCCGACCTCAATATCGCCATCGTCATCGCAGAAACTCTTTGTCTTCCGCAAATGATTCCATACCGAGAGACCTTGCTTCTTCAAGCGCACACCCCATGATCCGACGCCGATCCATCGACCCAGACCTACTCAACGAATTTGCCATACAAACGTTTCACTCTGAAAACAAAAAGTCCCACCTCAAACCGCCCTCCGTTCATAATCATAACGATAAAGACTGCTGTGTTGTCGAAATATGCCCTAGCTTAACCTATCCTGAAATAGCCCATGTATCGGCCCGGGCCAATCCCATACTGGGAGACACTATCTCAGAAGCACCACCTGAAAATCAAGAGATAAAAGCTGAAAAACCCTTTGACACTCGTTCGATGGCATCCAGTATCGATCTTTGCCCAATTTGCCTCGATCAATACGAGGACGGTGACTCTAAAATTAGAGTCTTACCCTGGTAAGTGTTGTTCATGTACCCATTTTTTTTAGTTGCTGTAGTAGTAATCTCGCTATTCTAGCACCCATTATTTCCACCAAGAATGTATAGACAGCTGGCTTTTGCGAGAAAATACTACGACCAACTGCCCCTGTTGCAATTTTGATTTGTCCACTATTCCTCGAGCAGAGAATAGACCATCCCCAGATACCTCACGTCGATTCTTCTGGTGGATTTGTTCGAGTTCGTAGGAATAACGCCTGTGCGGTGGTGTAAATCTACTTTGTTAATATGCTGATGTTACTTTTTTGCCAGTATCGTTTAATGTATTATATACATCATTTTTGTCAATAATAAAAATTACGTCGGCGCCTTCAACACTGTCTTGCTGCAAACAGTGAAATGGCTGCAAGATCTTGTTACTGATTACAACTCCACAAGCAAGCCTGAGAAAATATATCTCTCCTACTATGGTGTAGAAAGCTGACTGAAACATACATGTCTCTCCCAGACAGGTCAGTGAAAGCAAGCGTTGTTGTCGTTAATATCAGCGCAACCGAAGCTGGTTTAATGCGTGACTTTCGATGTTAAAAAAGTTCCATTGAACAACGTCTTTCATGTAGATGTATATTAAAAATTGACACTACAATCCGGTAGGTTGAGAAAAAAAAAAGGCTAAGATACAAAATAATTTTCTGAGCAGTTCAAAAAATGAAGCCCGACGTGGGGGTCGAACCCACAACCTTGAGATTAAGAGTCTCACGCTCTACCGATTGAGCTAGCCGGGCGGCTTGTTGGAAGTAGGACCAATTTCTACATTATGTCCCAATAAACTTTTCGGTGAAAACTTTGGTTGCCTAATAACCGAGATTCCTGACTTTTTATGGCACCATCGTTGAGATTAAGTACGCATCAATTTTTTGAAAAAAAAAATTTATATACTTTGGGCGTTTGAAAAATTAAAATGACTCAATTTGCTGCTACTCGGCTAGCTCACTCATTGAATGCCATGGCAGACAGAACCAGAGGTACTATAGACTAGTCATCCAGACATGTCGTTTTCGTTGATCGTAAAGGTGGCTACATTCACAAGAAAAATTAATATGTGGGCCTCCCTAGACCCTAAATTTGATTAAGAACCTTGGCCTGTTCTTTCCGCTCTGGCATAGGCTACCTTTACAAAAGCGACAGCATAGTGACCTTGTCAGCTAGCCTATGACAATCAGCCCTTTTTGCGACAAATTCCTTTGGGAAATGGCACAATGTATAATGCCATTTCAAACTCTCCAAATCTCGGGGCAGGCATCTCCAGCACCAGTGTGAAAAATTTTCGCATACCACTCACTACCAAGGCGCGTTGTCGAGATGCCCGCTGCATATGGCAGATAAAACAATATTACCATAACGCACAATATTCTACTCTTCATCAATACCACGCATCATTTCTTGTCTTTTTGTGTTACCTTAACCTAGAAAATTTAGTAGCATGAAAACTGCGTGGCTTGGGCAAAAGCTTGTCAACCAAGATGCGACATGTCAAAACTTTTGGTAAACACTCTGCAAGATCCACTCATGGCTCAAGCTCCAGTTTGTCCCTAAACTCACCCAAGCATTAATCTGGGACTTGATTTCGAGAATCTATTCGGAATGTTGATTACCCTGTCAGTAACAACATTTTCCATCCTTCTGATTCAGATCCTGCTTCACGACAAATCCTATCACATTTTTTTTGGTGGTTTCTCTGCAGGACAATAATGTAACTCTGACCAGATACACTACCCCTCGCAATGATACTCTGGATTCTGAGTCCTAAGAACGAGCTCAGCCCAAGACTCTCGGTTGGATCACTCGGTTTCATTTGGGCGGTCTTTCTATGCTAAACTCAACTGTCCTTCATCCGCTGGTGTGTTTACGGTCGGAGGACAATAACCATCAGATTCGCCACGCTCACTGTGAGCCCAAAACTCACGCCACAACAAATAGCCTACGTTTTTTCGAATGAATGGGCTGGATATACCAAAGCCCAAACTCAAGACCTGCGTTCCAAGGTTGTAGAACCTGAGGATTCTCCCGGGGATAGAATGTCCTCGATCTCACATTGACGACGTGCGCTTTCAAGACAGCAAACTGGATGTCTCCCCGGTCATGGTGGATAGACATTTCATCGATAGCCAAAATGGTACAGCCAGGGGCAAAATCCTATTGTCTCACTTCTACAAACGATGGACTCTGTGGAAGTGATTGGCATTACCACCAAAACTCTTTAACGGACGAGCTCAATAATCGCCTCCCGGAAAAACTCACACCGAACGAATTATCTTAGAATCCCGCTTGCCCACGTTGGTCTGCATTGGTCCGCCGTGGTCCACAAGATAATCACTGACAAATATGTAACGCGACAATCTATCGACTACAATTGAGAGCGAGGTAGTCAGAACGTGAATGCACTGAAAATGAAGGGAGGGCCATACAATAACGCTGACAGCGAAGCACGGCCCTTCTGGCATGACAGATACCCGCATTTACTCAAAGATTATGGACACCTTCCCTTGAACAACACCTTCTCCAAGACCTTGTGCACAGGATTGAGATGAAGGCCGCCGAATTTGGTATAACAAAAGCAGCTGAGGCACTCGCTGTGATGCTGTGCAAGGATTGAAACGAACAGACGAAACGGCCGTACCGAATTCTTGCCAAGAGCTTCACCAGTCCGACACCATTACTGATCATGCCTTGCCTTTGTGCGGAAGTCGATAACCACATATTCAACGAGCTCTCTACACATCTTGAGCCACCAATTTCTTTGCCTTGCCACATTTCAATCTACCATTTCTGCACACTGTCTTAATGTGCTTGTTCGATCCTTCTAGATATTTGTGGATCGTGTCGACTCATTTGGAAGGAGCGGCGGCTGTCTGTTAGGAGCCAGTAAAGGACGATATCATGTCACACACTCTCGCACGGCAGCGGTGTATCCCAAAGAAATGGATGAAAACGATGGAACAATTACAGGAAGTCTGTTCCTTTTGAAAATCGTTAGAGGCCAACTGCTATTGGAATGCGCTGAAGGTTTAGTTACAAGTCGTCCCCGAACAGCATGCAAACGGCGGCCATGCTTGTCGAACATTTCTTCCCCTCGGCTACCGCCTCCCTCCCCCTTTGCTACAAGCACCTTAAAAATTGGTGGGTTTCCTGGACAAGACTACATCTTATGCTGGGAGGCACACCGCAAACACCTATGGGCAACTTATGATTCATGAAGACACAGCAGATATAAAACTGGAACAGGCACATTTTTTACTCGGATAGGTCCGCCGGGACATTAGGGACGAAAACGAAACCTGGGAGGATGCCCGAATCAGTCAAAAAGTGCTTTGCTAAACTATAGGATATTTGGTTCTTTTTGGCTAAAGGACTACGTTGGAATTTGTGAGCAACCGTTCATCAAGATATATTTAAACGAGGAGCCATTACATCCGTCACAGTTAACATTATATGCAGAGCCGTTGCATCCGAATCTCTCCTATGAAGCGAAAGTAGCAAAACATGGACCTTTTGTTGAAATACACAAGTTCAACAGAAACCCCCACGACCCATTATTGATACACTTCCATAGTGTGCAGTAGCGGTGACGTCGTCCACACCCTTATTTATCATATATTTTATTACAGCCAGTGCGTGTTGTTCCTTTTGATTGTGGCTACGGCCTATATAAATGTCCTGAGTGTTTAGACAATGACAAACATCTTTTCTGTTCCCTTCCTATCTTACTCTGTCTCTGGACTGGACATTACCGCATGATCCAAACCGTTAACACTGATCCTTTCCAATAGCCCCCTCTACCACTACAAAGCATATATTATATGAGCCTCCCGGCATTTACATTGTAGCTCCATAAAAAAAAAAAAAAAAATAACGTCTGGTTTCCAAGGTTGGAGTATTATAAGTATCGGTATTGGATGAGCCGATTTGCTGGAACCTATATCCTCTCGAACATTTTCTATCTTTTGTACTGCAGCTTAGCTCAGATAACGTATCATTGGAATCTTTGCATCACAAAGAAAGGAACCTGACTGACTTCTGTACTATTATGACTACAACGTTGATTGAAAAAAACCAAGTACTCTTGCAGCCTCGCCTACTCAACTGCACCACCTATGCCGCTCAATAAAATTACTACCTTCAAGCAAATTATGCCGACGGAACACATTTTCTACAAAAGACCTGTTATTACTTGTCGACCATAATTTCTAGTAGTCTTGCCCTTACTTGAATAAATGGGTTACATACTACTCTTTGGTTCCTCTGTTAAAGACATTGGTAATTATTTTATATCTCTCCTATGGAAATCCCTCTATAAAGTATTCTGATACTGCGCTTAATTACATGTCTAAGGCAATCCGAAGTCAGACGACTGGCTGCCTCCAACGGCAAGTTCATATATTTCTATACCGAATTTTACTTTTCTTTCTCCGTAATTTTTGCATTACCCCAATGCTGCAAGTAAATCCCAACGCCTGTTTGGCGCCTTGAATCATGGTCCCGACAAGCAATTTGAGAAATTTTCATCAGACTCAAATCTGATTTATCGAGTAGAGGATGGCGACGGAAAAGAAAAAATTATATGCAGCGGGGGATGCGCCACTACGTTATCGATGCCATCAACATATACAAATGAAGTGAACAGTTTAAAGAAGAAGCGAGGGAGATTAAAAAAAAATTGTAAAGAAAACTTGTGGACAGCATGAAGACACATTAAAGGAAGAAGAGAACAGCATAAAGATTCAAAGGGAGAAGTAAATGAGACGCAAAATTGCGCAACACCCAAAAAAATCTAAATGAAGAGAAGAATCAAGGAGAGTAAAAAACGAGATGAAAAAATGCGAACAGCAAAGAATATATTAAATGGGAAAAAAAAAGGAAGAAAGAAAAAGACAAGAAAACGAATAATAGCTTGGAAAGGACAAGGAAAAAAAAATTGCGATCAACATATAGAGGAAAGAAAAGAAGAGGGAAAAACATGGAAATGAAGAACTCACGAACAGTATAAAGGCCAACCAAAAGAGAGGACGAACAAAGACGAGAGGGAGGAAACTTACTAGCAGCATAAGGAAAAAACCCAAGAAAATAAAATAAAAAATTAGAAGGCTACAAAAGTTAGGTCAAAAACGGTTAACAACCAGCAAACATCCAATCTTTGAGAACCATCCTCAACTGGACATCCACTCACAAAAGGCATCCTTGAACTAATTGAGAGTAATTGATACAGAGCTGGCACTACTACGAATTCAGTGACTGTTAAGCACGTTTACCTTAGAATAACATGACATACAACTTCAGATAACGCAGAATAAAGACATATTTAAATTTCAAAATCTTCACGATTTGATTGCTAATACCTGCATGCTCGCAATAAATACTCTAAATTTCTCAATTTCGTAAAAAAAAAGAACCTTTCTCCTCCCGCATTTTAAATTTTCAACTTTTTCATCAGCCTTCTGTTTCTGAGTATACTATAAATGCTATCCTATTTCTTCCAGGATCTCGAATATATAATTAGCATGTATATAACGCGATCTAAATTAAAGATGTCGCTCAAAAATGAATTTCTCGATCAGTGAAAGCAGCAGCATATATGAAATACAACCAAAAAAAAAATAGCCCAGCTATTGTCAACCACTCTTAAATCCATAGCTTGCTTTACGGCAGCAACTGACTGAAAGATGCACTATTAATTACCTTATACTAATTTATACCCACAACCATGTCCACTGTGTACGTATAGACTAATAAATCTATACCATGAAACAGGAATAGTCTTGCGTACATAATAACATCCACGGCATAGACGACAGCCGATACAAAATGGCAGGTTTATTTGCAATTTGATAACAGTAGGTTCTAATAATTATATCGCACATAGCATATGTGAAAAAGAATCCTTTGATGATTCTAAAAAATACATTTTTTTTTATTACACAAAGCATACGCTCCAATTGAGAAAGATGACTTTGGATATACGGAATCAAGAGAGATTCTACAATTCTTGTAGTATGTCCAGCGCCGTCTGATTATATATTACCTGATGGTTCGGTTTCCAACAACAGCTGAGATGGCCGAGTTGGTCTAAGGCGCCGCACTCAAGTTGCGGTCTCGTAAGAGGCAAGGGTTCGAATCCCTTTCTCAGCATATTTTGATTGGCTGAAATGTCAACTCCGACTTTTTTTTTCCATCTCCATTGGATTTTATTTTGCCTAGCTGCCAATCAAATTCTCTTCGCTTCCCTCAGCCATTTGCCTCACCCTGAGCATCTTTTTGTCATTTCGATTACTGTACGACTTATTGTATTATCCTGCAGACGAGTGAGCATCTCTGAGGTTAAAAAATAACTTTTGGACTTATTTAACTACTCTATTTATACTTTTTGTTTGTGACTTATTCTATAAAATTGTGAGGGGAACTACAAAATTAAAGAGGTTGTTCAAAGTGACTTCGACTATAACGAAGTCCCATCCAAACAGCGTTAGGCTGGGTTAACATTTATAATGTTGAGGACGATAATCCCCCCTCCCCACACTGTTGTACGTACACGAACAACTTATGATTGACTCGCAGGGAGTGCTAGCGTACGTGGTATACTTCGTAGTGGCGTGTGGATAGAGGCGGGTTGAACCCAAGGTGCATTAACGTTGTCCTGGGTCACTTTGGTAAGCCTGTCCGTGTGTACCCATGATCTGTATGGATTTCCGGTTGGATATGCTAGTTTGTATATACCGCTAGCCAAGTTGCGTTGCAGTACTACGAAAGGACCGAACCAGTCGAGGTCTAGGCAGTATTCAGCCTTCGGACGAACAAGCATCTGATGGCCAACGTCAAAATTTTGAGGGACAAATTTCGAGTCCCAGCGTATTTTGTATGCACTACTGACCTTTTCAGCGCGTTTTATGGCTGCTTCCCGGAATCTACTCAGCTCATCTAGGCGTTTTACGCGGAATTCTGCTTGAATGCGTAGGTCTGATCTGGATGAATCTTGTAATATGGGTGGTGCGCCGTCCCCAGGCGAGCCTGGCTCAACACCGTAGATGTAATAAAACGGGGACTGACCATGAAAACGGTGTGTTCTGATCCGCGCGGCAAACAAAGCAGTATCCACGAAGTCGTCCCATCTATGGATTGTACCGGAACAGTATTTACACAACATCTGTTTAAGAATGTCGTTCTGGTGCTCGCATTTCCCATTCGTCCTGGGGTGGAAGGCTGTGGTACGTTTATGGTTTGTATCCAGTCTTGCTAGATATTGGCGGATTACATTTGACATAGAATTAGGTCCACGGTCTGAGAAAATCTCTTGGGGGCAACCGAAACGCATGGCGATCTCTTCGTATAAGAACTTGGCGATAGCTTCACCGGTTGCCTCGGTAAGGCGCGCGCGATGGGCCAATTAGTGGCAGAATTTACTGCTACCAAGAGCTATTTGTTACCTCGAACAGTGGTTGGTAGTTCTCCAATAAAGTCCAAATGCCAACGGGTAAACGGCGGCACGGTTTCCACAGGCACCGCGGGAGCATGATGTGTTGCTCTTCCAGCTCCTTTAGCAAGTTGACACTGACGGCAGCTTGCGATGATGTCGATGATATCCTGGCGCATGTACGGCCACCAGTATCGTCTGCGTATGATATCCAATAATGAAAAGGATCCAAAATGTCCCAGTCCTTGATAAGTTTTATCGACAATGTCAGCCCGTAAAGCAAATGGTAACGCTCTTACTTCTGTTACCAGATTTCCTTGTTTAACCTTACGCATTATCTTGTTGCCCGTATGATGAAGTTATTACGATCGCGATGGAGCAAATGTCGAAGGTCCGGTGGCCAAGTGTCTTCCGGCTTGTGATACCACTGTGGCCAATCGACCTTCAGCGTCGAGTTTGCGAAATACAGAAAGTCTGGTTCCATCTCAGCGTTTTCTTCTGCCGTTGACGTATCCACCTTGCGAGAGAGAGCATCTGGTACCGTGTTCTCCTTACCCGGTTTATACTTTATGATAGGGTCATACAGTTCTAATTCGGATAACCATCTGGTCAGTCTGGGAGTAGGCTTACTTTGTGTGCGCATGTATTGTAGTGGGTTGTGATCCGTGTATACTGTATATTCACGCCCTTCAATAAACCAACGCCAAGTTTCGTAGCGCGTATAGGATTGCCAGCAACTCTCGTTCTTGGGCCGGATGGTTTCGTTCCGCTGCAGACAAATTGTGAGATTCGAATGTCACCGGATGGAGTTTGCCTTCCGGTCCTTCTTGTAGTAGTACGACGAATTCGATTTCCTCTAGATTGAATGCACACTTCTTCGCATTGGCATATAGCTGTTCCTTTCGTAAGCGTTCCAGTACCATCTTCACGTGCTGTTCGTGTTCCTTGGCGGACTTGCTGAAGATTAATATATCATCTAGGTAGACAATAGCAAAACGGTCAATGTAATCGGCGGGTACGTTGTTCATCATTTTTTGGAATGTCGGCGGAGCATTGGTGAGGCCGAAAGGTAGGACTAGGAATTCGTAAGAACCATATCGGGTGCTGAACGCAGTTGCCGGGACATCTGAAGGGTGGATTCTGAATTGATGGTACCCACTTTTCAGGTCAATTTTAGAAAAATAACGAGCGCCGCTTAGTCGCCCCAAACATTCGTCGATACGGGGTAAAGGGTGTCTATTTCTTCTGGTCTCTAGGTTAATGGCACGATAGTCGATACACATCCGCATAGTCCCATCCTTCTTGCGTACGAATAGTACCGGTGCGCCCCAAGGTGAAGCTGTTAGTCGGATGAGTCCGAGTTCGAGCAACCCGTCTAGTTGCTTCTTCAGTTCGTCCAGTTCACGAGGACTCATTTTAACTGTGGCTTGCTGACTGGTGGACTATCTCCCGGGTCAATGATATGTTCCACCTCTCTCATGGGAGGAAGTCCAGGAAGTTCCGTTTTGAAGACATGAAAGAAATCGTTGATCATTGTTGCAAACGAGAGTCCATTAGTCCACTACTTTGTTCCGTCGTCTTCCTTGTAGTATACCATAAAGAATTCTTCTACTTCGTGACGTTGTTCCAACTTTACCAATTGTCGTGGTGAAATGAGGCTTACACATTCTTCCAACAGCGGTGATCTGGGGTTGGTTTTAGTAGGAAATGACGGTTATCATCTGGGAACACCCATTCCTTCTGGCACCACAAAGCCGATGGCATGTATTTTTCGCCCCAGTTAACACCGATGGTGACATCGAAATTCATATCGAATACATATGCCGGTATTTGTTGTCGATTACCTGCGATATTGGCCGTCAAAAGTGCTTTATCCTGGATACTCGTAATGTTGCCATCCGCTGTCTCTACTGTGCGTTCCTCTATGGAAGTTCGTGGAAATCCTATTGCTGCTCTAATTGTCCGTAACAGGCACTAGCTCCCGTGTTTGTAAAGCGTATAACTTCCTTCCATCATCACAGCATAATTCGTACAGGGGCAATTTTGAGTCTTCACTGGATTCAAAGTTTTCTGAGTCCATGTGGTCTCCCATGGACTGACCAGTGGTTGGAACTGCGCGGTCAGTGTCGGTTGTACACCGACAATTGCTTGGGCCGCTTTGCGATGGCTCTCATAATGGAGCGCAATAGGAAAGAGGTTGCCAAGTCTTAAAGTTCCATGTCGCGAACATTTTCGAAGGCTTCATGGAGGAGGCCCTATTCGAACCTTTCGAGTGCCTCCGTTGCGGACATGTCCGGAATCTCCAGGATCAGGTTCTGGAAGAAATCTACATACTCTTCCACAGTTATTGTTTGTTGCAAGGTCGCCAGGATATGCCTAGGTATTTGAGCGCATGAGTTGGCCGAAGCGCCTTGCGAGTTGTCTGATAATTTTTTAAGTAATTTATAAGCTTGCTAATCCATTCGGATTCTATGGTCTTGTTTGCCATGCTAAATTTCGTTAGCAATCGCAATTGTTGTTTTGAATACTGGCAACTTTTCGTATCATTCTGCAGGCGAGTGAACTTCTCATGAGGTTAGAAAGGACGTTTGTTCAATCATTAAATTGCTCGCTTTATACTTATTGTTTTGTGACTTAAAATATAAAAATGTAAGAGAAGTCTAATTTAAAGAGAATGTTTCAGTGGGACTTCTTTACCGGCGGAACACATTGAATTGGCGTTCAGTGGAACTAACATGTCGTACTTTAGTGACGACATTAAGGTATCCGCGGCGACGTACCGGCTATAGGCATGCTCGCTAGATAAAAAAAAAAATAACGGTTAGGAGTGGGAGAAGAAATATGGCAGAGGGAAGTGAGGAGAATTTGATTGGCGGCTAAGCAAAGAAAAATCCAATGGAGATGGAAAAAAAAAGTCGGAGTTGACATTTCAGCCAATCAAAATATGCTGAGAAAGGGATTCGAACCCTTGCCTCTTACGAGACCGCAACTTGAGTGCGGCGCCTTAGACCAACTCGGCCATCTCAGCTGTTGTTGGAAACCGAGACACCAGGTAATATATAATCAGACGGCGCTGGACATACTACAAGAATTGTAGAATCTCTCTTGATTTCGTATATCCAAAGTCTCATTTAGCAGTTGGAGAGTATGCTTAATTTGTTGAAAAAAAATTGTAGTACTTTAGAATAATCAAACCGCTATTTTTTGAGCATGTTATATATGATATACTTATCGAGATGGATGGTCTCATCAAAGTGCGTACAGACCTGCCATTTTACAATAGGAAAGACGTTTTGCATTCGGTTTGAATTTGTATTGACTTTTGTAAGAAATGGGAGAGTGGCTTTGCATAAAAAATAGCATGTCTATGTAAGGACATATGGTCGTTAAGTAGTGTAATATTCCTTGAAGACTATGAGATCAACTACTATGTTTGCGGCAGCATTGTTACCTCATTGACTTGACTGAAATCTATAGAAATTCGAGTGCGAGCGGCTTTCATTTACTTGGGCATGTTGTTGCTGAGCATAGTCGACCAAGCAGCGAATATAGTCAAGAGACCATAAAAAAACCCTCCAAAAAGTATATGACGAAACGATAGAGAGGACTTCTGGAACGTAATTCTAGAAACCAAAACAAAATTACTACCATTGTCGCAGCAGACAAGAGCTTAATTTGTTTACTGACATCTTTACAACTGCTGCGCAGGCTGTAAACAAGATAGCAGGAAATATGTAGAGATACGTGAGGTTATTTTTCTGAACAGTGACTTTTAGCGATAGTGGCTTCTCTTAGCTCAACTTTTTTTTATATAAATATTTACAATGGTGGATTAGACAGCACTGCGTCAATGGTATAGGCTTAATTGGTTGAATCAGAATCACTAAATTTTCGCTTGGCGGGAGTAGATGCTGGGGGACTTGTTAAAAAAATTGCCTTGCATGCTATTGTTGATAAAACTAGGCAAAAGGGACTTACCAAAAGCTTTGGTGGGAAGCTTAAATGTCAATGAAGGAGCATCCTGTGAGCCAGGGGTTGTAGGGCCAGCTGATTTTGGAGCAAGAGTTGGAGATTTTGGTTGGCGGAAAGCGAGAGGGTTATTAGGGCCATTGTGATCTGGAGGGGGAGGGCCAGCTTCTGGGTTCATTTTGTAGAACATGGGGCAGTTCTTATTCGTTTTCATATGGCCAAGTTGTCCACAGTTACCACATTTACGCTAGCGGAAAAAAAAGGGGATTGAGTAAAGCTGTTGCGGGATGAAAGGGTGAGAGATGATCATATTACTTACGATGGCACCTTCTTTTTTACCGCGCATCAGACCAAAGACAGGGTTTTCAGCTAGGGCGGCATTTTTATTCAACTGTCTCTGGCGTCTTCTCTCTGCATTTCGTTTGAGTTTGGCCAATTGGTCCTGAATACGCTTTTTCATGCGAGCGTTCTTTTCAATGTCATCTGTCGGTTCCAGAGTTTCCGTGCTGTGAGGGGAATATTTAGTATGAGCAGATGAACGGCACGGCACGGCACGGCACTTTACCTGGTAGCTTCCTCTTCAATCATTTGTCGCTGTCGAAGGTATGCCTTGACCACGGCCGGGTCGGTAACAGTTTCCGATTGCCACACACGATCACCATTGGGTTGTTTAATAAGGCGGCGAATGACGAGTTGTTTGTTAGCAGCGTTTGGATTGAAGCTTGTTCGGGAGCCCATACTTTCTGCTATGGAGACTTCGTCGTCGTCCATTTCTGACATTGCCCGCCGAGGAATTGAGAATGAGGCTGGGGATGCCGGCACACTTGATTTATAAGAGCTGCGCATGTCGTCAAGGTCCATCTAAGCAAGTGCATGAGTGCTTGGGGAATGGTGTATAATCGATAGAGTGTGTGTGAACTTACCATGCCAGGACTATCAAAGTCTTCGTTATCACTGTTATCCTCCTCCATATCTTGTTCTGATAGAATGGGTTCGACGGGGTTACTGAGGGCATCGAACTGGGCTTTCCAAATTCTAGCGATCTATCGAAGCAAGCGTTTAGTTAGAAACATCAACAAGGTAACGCCGTGGGCATCGACACGGGGACCTGCTACCAATAAAGGTTGCCGCCGGAAACCCCCAACCCCCCAGTCACCATACTAACCTCCTCTTTGTAGATCTGTTGTTGTTCAGCTACATTATACTTGTGAGCACTCTTGGGACGAGCTTCAATTTCAGCCAACTTTTCAGCAGCAGATTCACCAGCTCGTAAAAAGATACCCTTCATGGAAACTCTGATGAAACTGAAACCTTCTCCTCTACCGGTAGGATCACCTGCACCATATAGCTTCAACATGGCTTTTCCTTGTGTTGCGTTGATAAAATTACGCGTAGCGAACCATGGAGCGAGTTGCTGTTCAACTTCGAGCTTTGAATCGCCATCGCCATCATCGTCTTCATTCACATTGCTGTAACCAAAGTCTTCCAAATGACGTTCGCCGACCATGGTGCTTTCGTGAAGGCAAACCATTTCCGGCGTGACCATTTTTCGCAAGTCCTCCTCACTGGGCGGCTCACCGCCCTTTGGTTTCCAGTAGCCACCTCCTCCTTCCTTGTTCCGCCTGTGATATTCCAAAAATTCCTTGAGTCGCTGGCGGATTTGGATATCACTGTATTCAGGAAACTTTGCCGCGAGTTTACTCATTTTTAGTCGATGTTGGGGGTTTTTTCGGATCAATCGATATGCGGAAACTTGGAGGCGATTTCGGATGGTGGTTGTGACCTTACGAGAGTGAGGTCCAGGGACTTCTTGCACAGGGTAGGTTTGTCCGATAGTGAAGATGGAAGGGATTTCTCGAATATAGTATTTTGTCTGCCCACGAAAAGTATTTCGGAACACGATGAAATCGGTTTCATGGACCTTATGTTTGAAGAGGGGTGCACGGATAAGGTTGTTGTATAGGACAGGGATGGTTTGACCGGGATCGACGTTTCCAAAGTTGAAAAATGGGGAAGTATCACTGAGGTCAAGGATGAAAGGTTCACCGATTTCAGCCTAAGGAGTGTGCGTGGTTAGATATTTAGAGAGCTGCACAAGTGTAATGGCATGGAGTAACCACTGTACGTACCGATGGAATATGTGTATCCTCGTTATCCCGCTTTCGATAATAATTTATGAACAGACTGCCCATGCCAATGTTGGGTATGATGGGTGGATACTCCTCCTACGACAGAGGGGTATAAGTGATCATAATCCGCAATGGGAGATTAAGATGATGAAGAAAAAAAGACGTACCGAGTATTCCAGTAGGGTGAAATAAGTATTATCCTTGAGAGTGAGATCTTTGGACGTTCGCATCGTTTCTGCGGCCTCCTTCTTCTTGTCCTTCTTTCGCTTCTTACGAGCTTTGATGCGGGAAAACGTAATTTCGGAATGCAATGGGAACTGTATTTGATTACGATGGAAAGATCGCAATTCTGCCTTGGATAATTTTGATTTGTACTGTGTGTGGGAATGAATCAGCAATCAAGTATTGAGCTGAGCTGCCAGGTTGGTGCTACTTACAAAGGGAGGCTGTAGTTTCAGGGCTGGGAGTGAATGTTGCACCACCAATTGACCAAATGTTTGTCGCACTCTGACGAGCTTTCCAGTGTAATTTGTGTCATAATAGCGGTCATTGGCCAAGTTGAACCGGCTTGTAGTGATTTTTCTAGCTGGTTCGCCATCGACGGCTTGCGTATTTGCAGTAGGCGGAGCGGGCTATAGAATGAGAACTTTTGTTCAGAAGAATGGAACCTCAGGATGAAGGCAGCAATGACGGGTACTCACCTTGACAACAGCCTGCTTGATAGCAGGTCGCTTATTCTTTCGTGAATATTTCGGCTCTGATATCCTGGGTTTGGTAGCTTCCACCTCTGCAACATCAAAGAGCATGTTTGTGTCGTTTAAGTTGAGGGTGAGTTTGACTGGGGTACCATTATCTTTTTCGTCATCCCAAATGATGCCTGAGATCCATTCTCCATCCTCCAAGTCGTAGTTGAGATGTGATGTGACATTGAGATGTTCCTATGGGAAAGTGGTTAGAAGGTGGGTGTACACCTGTCCAGTGAAAACAGTTTATCGCCTTACCTCCGGCTGATCTTTTGTTGTATGGTCGTCCGAGTCCCACACAATATTGTCTTCCCAACTGTCCAGCATGATTGAGTAGTAGGTTTTTTCAGTGTCCAAGACCTGCTGTCTATCAGAAGGTACCAAAGAGCTCTACAAAAGACGTCAGTCACGCAAGCTTTTTTCATTGTTTGATCAACAACCAATACGTACCAGATCGCTTGTTTGATCCCTCTTTTCTTTTAAGGGCCAATTATCGTCATCACTTTCCTCAGAGTCAGGGAGCTCATAGAATTGAAATCCTGCCTTGGCAAGTCTCTGCTTTGCCACCTCCATGCGCCCAATTTCGGTACGTTGAGGTCGAACGAAAATTCTGCGATCATCGGCTTCTGTGTCAAAATCGTAAGAATCTGCAAACAGTACTGGAAATTTACAGGTTAGGCAAGTCCAGGCATCAGTAACGGTGACGAGGAAGAGGCACGTACCTTTCTTTCCTTTGACATGTAATTTGGGTGGTCGAGAGATTCGGTTGGCACCGAGTAATTCCGAAAACTTGAGGATCTTGCCCTTTTCAAAACCTGGATACAACTCTTGCACACTCAATTGTCGAGGCGGTGGTGGCGGAGGTACGATAGGCTGTACTAGTTCAACCTTGCGTTGAGATGGTGCTCCTTTTTTGGTGCTGACGGTGGGCATAGCTGGCATTGCAAAGCCGTCGTTTCTAGTTGATCCATTTAGAAAGACTTGGTTGGATATGACGTCCTCCTCGTTTTTGACCATCACGTCTTGTTCGTCCAAATCGTAATCCTCGTCGTAATCGTCGCTTGTCCTTCGCAATTGAGAGGTTGTTTTCTTCAAGGCACCCATACCGCGTTCATAGTGGCGATCGTTGGTAAACATTGGATCGTCAGGAACTGTCTCGGTGAAGTCAGAGTAATCGATCGCGTCTGCTGCATGTTGAGAAGGTTGTTCTTGGTTTGTCGTTGGGGGTGGTGAATCTGCTTCCGAGTCGCCTCTGGTAGCGTCTTCATTCAAGCCCAAAGAGTCTGCATTGAAGATCTTGTTGAACACTCCACTATCGACTTTTGAGAGAGTTTCTTTCAATTCCTGTAAACGGTGGAGTTAGAAGGAATGCAGACGGATTAACGGTTATAGAGCAGAGGCATTTACATCATCGAGATCCGCGTCAAGTCGACCTTGCTCGTCTACGTTGCCGAACAGATATCCTGCCAACGACATTTTCTGAGAAATCCCTACCGCATTTCAGCATAGATCAGGTCCTCTTTTATAACTCATTTCTGAAATATTGCAACGTCATTTTACTGATGAAAATCAATAGGAAGAGGGAGCACGTGATGGAGAAGTATAACCTCAGGAACGGTCTTTACTGGTATTGTTGGGATAAATGGCAATGTTCTGAACTTTACACTGTTTCCACCGCTTATACGCAAAGTGTAAATCGTTGCCTGAAGATTGCTTCCGGCTCAAATACCCTGATTTAGTTATAAAAAAATACATGTGGTTTGGTCTGCATATACGCATTGAATTAAATACATTTGGGACAACAATCCACAGGTTAAAAAAGCTGGTAGTTAGCGGCACATTTCTAAATGCTTCTGCTTTTGTCTTACAATGTCCAGAGCGCTTGATCATCAAATAGAAGTTTATTTCTACGCGAAATTTATAAAGTCGCTCGCGAACAAAAAGCTATACATTGCCTTTCCGTTCCGTCAGGAGTCAATACAAAGCCGAGATGTGAACTTGGTGGACATCATAATAAGAGCATTGATTTTGCTATGATTCAATTCAAAGTACCTCAATTTTATGTCCGTTCCGACGAATCCACCATAGAATACCTTTGGTGATACGAGTGAGACTCTGAGGGACAATCAGGCAGCAATGGCCAGCCAACACATTTGTGTTGTAAAAGATTTGTTGGCAAAATCCTGACTGATCATAGACAAACCCATAGTTCAAACCTTTTTATTATACAGTAAATTTTCAATGTTAAGAAAAAAGCATCTCTAGACTCGTGTGTGAAAATGCAATAGTGGGAGAATTCCTGCGTTCGACAGAATCAAATAACAAACTGGACACTGCCTTTAGGTTTGCACCTGAACTGTAATATCATCTCCGTTACACGGTGGATGCTTGAATGGTTTACCTGCTACTATAATGCCAAATTCTTCCAAGAAACCACCCAGTATGAAGTCTTGTAAATTATGCTCCAAAAGTCTGACAGCGTTTTTGCCACTGTAAATCACGTAGTAATATGCTTCCTGCTCATATTTACTGATAACCAATGTCGGAACTTGGTCACTGAACTGTTGGCCAACAACAGCTTGCAATGAAACGGCTTCGTAGGGCAAAGCTAGACAATTGCATATGCAATCCGATTGACGATGATCAATTGCGCACCAAGGGAATTGTCCTTTCATATCACGGAATGAAGGACGGTAGAAAGGAAGTTCATCATGAAACCATGGTTTTAAGAGCATTTCTAGTTCGGATATACCCTCTGTGTCGCTTCTACAGTCTCCATGGATGGCAACCCTTACAGCACTTGAGAGAATGATACAAGTATCCACTAATCGCCATGCGAGCTGCTTGTGATCATACTCTTTCTTACTTTCTTTCGATAATTGTGCATCTTTCGCTGTTTGTAGCACCCAACTGACAAAAGGGATCATAGGTTTGACGCTCTTGGCGGTAGCTAACCATTTTGCTGCCATGCTTAACCCTAACGGTGTATATCCTCCAGCAGGTTTTGAAAAGCCATCGATTGCGATTGGAGAGTCTTTTTTTGATGTAATTTTCACCTGGCCGTACCATGCTTCCACTTGATCGAATTCCAAATCGATATCAAATCTTGAGAACGTTTTGAGACCTGGTTTGTAATATCTTTCAGTATTTTTTGCAACAGCGACATGGGTCAAAAAATCTGCTCTTGTGTACGTTGCAGAAGGAGTACACAGCTTTAGTAATCCGAGTGCACCAAGATCGTCTCCGAATCCCAGTGCAATGATGGTTCTTAGAGCAAACATACGAACAGTATCTTCTGAAGCTCTTCCTGTTCCGAATGCATAGTCTTCAGCCGTGTAAGTTAGTAGGAGCTTGTATCCATCATATGTACCCAAGTTTCGGTAGGCAGCTGTACCAGTTATTTTGTCCCATACCGTTGCAATACCGGCTATGGGTGAAGAAATTAGTATGATTGTAGCCCACAAAAATAACCTAATTGGAGGCGGGAAAATTTGAACTCCAAGACCAGCGGTCAACACAATGTCCATCCACCATGCCATTTTCCATATCTGACAGCGCTTGACAATGTGATTCGCGAACTTTAGCTCCTTGATCGTCACTCCATCACAACCATAGCGCGAGTAGCGGCGATCGCCCACCTCGGCCAAAAAACCCAGAATGGTTGCACTTCCACATGCCGTAGCAAACTGAACCAAAACCAGAAACCCGATCCAGTTTTCCAGTATAGTATTCCAGTCGGAGAGCGTCTCTTTCATAGCATACAGGACTGCAATAATGGCCACTGCTAGAGCAGCTGGGTCTATGGATCCAAAAGCGTCCATGAATGATAAAGTAGGGCCCGGAGGTGATGTTTAAATAATTGCCATTCCACGTAGTACAACCAATAACAAACGATGAAAGGCACTATCTTGAGCTACTACGCTTGATTTCTTGTCGCCTCCGACTCGCGTTGGTTGGAAAACGTGAATTTTTATTTTACAGATGGAAGAGGAGGGGATGGATTGAGTGTCGACAGGGGTATAAGAAGAGGGTGATCATTTACATTGAATAAGTCACAAAAGCATGAGTTGAACTGTCCAAAGGCAATTCATTATTGTGCATGGTTAGCGAGGGGTTGCTGAAATCTCGTGGCGATGGAATGAATTGCTGTGGTGATGGAATAAACTCTTGAGGAGATGTATTAAAGTCTTGCGGGGATGACGACGAGCTGTAATCGTGTGATGATGACTGGCTGTACTCTTGTTTGATTGGAATATCAAGCGAAGGCACTGCACTGTCGTCGATCTCATCCATATCATCGTCATCGTTTTGTGAGCGTTTTACTACCTTACGCGTACCAGCAGGTCCACTTTCATATCTCTGTCGTTTTTTAATGGTATCCGTTTTCATGGATAAAGGTCGTTTTTCGTGATGTAATTTGAGGCTAGGAGGAGCAGTGGTTAATAATAAGGCCGATGTGTGAGCCAAACTCGCAGGAACACTTACTATAGACCACAAGCATTACAAAGTGGGGCGCCGTTTTCATCTCTACGCCAAAGTGGAGTTGTTGTCGTACCACAGTTTGTGCAGTAGAGTTGAACAGCATTATCATCGGTTTTGACGTCTTTGCGAACCGAACTTGTCTTCATTGATTTTGGGCGAGGAGCGTTATGCAGCTTGAGACTATGAAACAAGGAAATAAGCCCTATGGATCTTTAGGACGGCAGTTAACCCAATAAAACTTACTATAGGCCGCATGCATTGCACAGAAGCTCGTCGTTGGCCGATCGTCGCCATAGTGGTGTGGAGGTTGCCCCACAATTTGAACACACTGATTTTTGTACAGCACTCTTTGCACCAGTGTCCCAACTCGGTGACGCACCTAATACTCTGTGCTCCACACGTGGCGAACCAATCGGGGAATTTGGCATGGATGTGGGGGCAGAGCTGGTTCTGTATTGGTTGAAATTTTTGGGAGTTACGTTAGTGAACTGAACAACATAATACCAATGCATGACCTGTCTACTTTACCCTGACGCTTCTTGCTGTTTGCTGAACGATTGTAACAGTTTGCTGTGCAATGTGCTAGGTGGAGGAGGTGGCATCGAATCGCACACGTAGAGAGCTGACTGCAGTTGATCCTGCTCAGTGGGTGACAATCCTTGTGGCGACAACGCTGGACTGTTTGGATGTGAGATGGTGATGCTGTTCATATTGGTGGTTCCACTTTGGTCTAGGTACATCATTGCATTGCTTATACTGTAGGGATTTTCATTGGTGAATGAGATAGCAGGCGAGGTATTTGACATGGGTGTAAACGTTGCCCATTGATCATAGGGAAATTCAACGACTGGACCAGCCTCAGAGCTTAGAAGTGCCTGAATGTCGCCATAGGGTTGAAAGATGTCTTGCAGCTCGATAGTTTGATCTTCTGCTTGGTCCGACGTGAATTGGTGCAACACAAAGTTGTTGGTACTCGAGTTCAAACTTTGGGGTTCTAGCTCCAACTGCTCCAGTGTGAATTGCTGTGGAGAAATGGCGGCTGCCTGAGGTGGTTGTGGTTCATCCGGCTGCTTGGATTCTTTCTTGACGGGCTTCTTTGCCTTCGCCATCTGACTGAGCGATTGTCCTTTTTCGCTTTCTAATTTACGAGTAGCCATAGACGATAGCTTTTTGAACTGAGATTTTCCTTTGGCTCCATCTACAAGTAGATGATGCTGAAACCATAGTCGCCATGACAAATTCTCTAGTCTTGACCCATTTTCGAGCGAATCTTTGACTTTGGTGCATACTCGCCAAGTTTTTGAAAGTTCTTCAAGTGAGTCCAAGTTTGAAAACGGAGAGAACGACTTATTGCCCTTGATTTTCAACACAATGGGCGCCATACGATGGTAAGAAATGAGTATAGAGGATAAAAGGGTTCAGCCCCAGACTATTTTTTTTTTTTTTTTTTTGGCCGGGAAAAGAAAAAAAAAAATTTCTTGGTCCCAAATGTGTCTCTACGTCCGCATCAGTAAAAAAGCCAGACTGGCATGATTTACAGTCAAGAAGCTTAAGAGGCGTATAAAGGACTTGTCAAGAGTGGTGGAAAGAAGTTTATTTGATTTCATTGCTTCAAGCAATGGTGCTGCACGTCGATGACATGAAAAAAAAAACGTGCCTGGGCGGGAAAACCTGGGAACGTCGGCATTTCAAACAAACCCTAAATAGTTATTTTGTGAAGGAACAGGACCCAACTTTTGTGCCTTTTCTTAAAATTCGAACGCTTCATCGTGGACGGACCAGCCTTGTTTGACACCAGCGTTTTTGACTGCGGTCATAAATTCTAGACTACCACAAGTATGCATGCAAACATGAGGATGCGAGGTAGAGATGCGCTGTATAATATCTTGAGGGTTGATGCGCTGGTACACCAATTGCCACTTGTGTTGTGTGCTAAGCCTTCGAAGCATGTCAAGCTGGCCAGGCTGTTGTTCTCTTGTAATGTTGATTTCGACAAAAAATGAGAGACTTTGGACAGAGTTTTCAGCCATTTGTGCACATTCGGCCAGCAGTGGCAAAAACGCTCTTGTATGCTCTGGGAAAAAAAAATAGCGTTAGCGGGGTGTAGAGTAATTATTCCCACAAAGACGAGATTGTACCTTCACTGGCCACACTCCAGATAAAGTAAATAGTGTTGGTCTCTACCGTTGCTAGACCCTGAGATCGTCGCTCCACAAGGTCCTTGATGAAGGCCATTGATGGTGTGACACCAACACCTGTGCTAATAGCGACAAATACAGGTTGATCTGCAAAATCCAAAGGTGATCCAAAGGGTCCATCTACACGCAACTTGATGGAATGACTACCCTTGTTTGCGATATCACGAAGTCGTGTAGTATAGTTGCCGAGTGTCTTGATATGCAAAGATCCAACCAAAGAATGATCGCTTTGCGGTGTAGGGACCTGTCGATAGCCAACATCTTCGTACTGCACGGCAGTGGAAGATGAGCTGGATGAGACACTCATATCTTTTTTTTCTTCCACAGAGTAGTCTAAATTGTCTTGAACTTCTACGATTTCTTGCTTGCGATGACGAGAGTTATGATGAATTTCCGAAATGGTCATTGGATGCCAGTTAGCCCATGTAAACAAACGTTTGAATCGTCCATAGCCATTGACGCCACCTGAGAAGGCAACAAATACGTATTGACCGGGTCGGTAAGACGATTTTGCGTGGTCCTTTTCGAATACCACACGAGTGATCGTATCGGTGGAGCCGTCGATTTCAAGCACGCTGGTGGCTTGATACCAAGAGTTATAAGAACGAATGGCTCGGTCACCTAGCCAAAGAGCAAGGGGGGGAACAAAGTATAGCATGATGCCGACTTCGTGCCACATACTTGCTGCTACGGACACAATAATCCCGACAATGTGGGAATAGTAAAACACTTCAAAGTAGTTGCGTCGTATGTAACCCAAGCTAGTAACATACAGTATAAGGTAGCCTAAGGTTGCAATGGTTCCAGTTCCTTGTTCGATATCCGCAAATAGAGCTGCCTTTGCGGTGCCGCTTCTCTGAGCTTCCACCATGCTATTCGAGTCGAAAGGAGAACAGTGGGTGAGTGAGGAATTTTTTTTTTCAAGTTGCTGGCAGTGAGGCTATATCTTGGAGCTCTTAAACTTACATTCTCCAGACAATATGTGTGATCATCTCTGCAAATCCAAGCTTGGCCAACCAGCGATGGTAAGGTATCAACTGCTCAAAGCTGATACCAGACATTTTGGTGATAATGGTATTACGAGAGCCGAAAATGATGACGAGCGAAAAATTAACACAAGCTACATATGCAGCTCTACGATCCATCTGACTAACGGCGGGTAGCATATATCCATCATCACCAAAAGTGAATGGAGCAAATAAAATGGTTATAGTATTTAAAACTAATATGAATGAAAGAATTGAAAGGTGCTTGACTGCCATGTAGTCTCCAACGACGGGTAAACGGATAGTGTATTCAAGTTTATGAAGAGCTCTTGCCACAAATCCTGGGTGGTATGGCTGTGGAAGACCAGTCTTGAGAGCTTTGTACCTTGACCAGTAGGTGCGACATCTCCCAACCTGATATAGGATGCAGTAAACCAGGAACAGACCCCACATGATTAGAGCATAGGTATAGCCTGCTTGGTGGAAGTTGCTTGTGGCCCGAAAATTCGATATTAAATCTTCTGCCATGGTTGGAAGGCAATGGGTAAAGGAAAGAGCAAAATTTTTTTTCAAGAAGTTGGCTCTTTAAATTAAAATCAGAGCCCATTTTCCAATAGGATTGCATGACAACTAGATCCAACTGCATAGTTGCCACCGCTTGGCTCCGATGAGTTATCAGATCTTTTTAGTGTCGGGTCCTGGTCGTTCAACTCCCGACTCATATTCTGTAAAAAACAAGAACCAGCACGCGTATACAGCTTTTGACCCTACGACCAAAACTTGTCGTCCAATGTGTTCGATTGCCGACATTGCCAAGACCATATAAACCGCTCGCTATAAAAAAATTGGCTAAAAGGGTAACACTTGTAATATCACTCTTAGGCCATGTCTTGCTACGGCTTCGAATTCTCAGAACTCACTAGGATAGCCATACCGGCGGAGAACAAGTCCTTTATCAGATTGTTTTTACTCTTTGCGGAAGTGATGCCCTGAAGATCTAGGTTTGCTTTGGCAACTGTCGAATGACTTGCTTCTTTGAAAGCATAGATCTTTTGGCATGAGAAGAACATCTTTTTTTACGAGCCTTTGTATTATGGTGTAAAAAGTCCAGGGCCTGTTGCTGACCTTCAAAGGCCGGAGTCCCACTTGCATAATGGTGGATCTTTTTTTTTTTTTTACTAATACTATTATATTCCATACTTGAGCCGATTAACATGCTCCATTTCAAGTCAAGTGGCCTCAAGCGCCGCCCGCCAATGATTATATTATTTTTTTAAAACAAAAAGGTGGGTATCACATTAGTTTTTAGACTTGCTCTACCGATTCTCCCCGATCGAATGGTGTAGACTGGATGACCGATTCCAGCAGAGTACTGCCGTTGATCATTTGAGTGGTGGCCACAAGGTAATCACGAACTCCTTCATCTTGTTGAGCTAAGAACCGAATGGCTGAAACTTCTGTGAAAGTGCATCCACCGAGGAAGAAGACAATAGTTGTCTTTTTGTGATGAGAACCCAGTGATCCTGCAAACCACTGTGATGAGGACATGGTCTCCGACAAAAAAAATTGTTTCATTGGTCATACTTACGTTTGGCACGGGCTGCAGTGGCTTTTGCTTCCCTCTCATTCTTGGCTTCAACCGTTTGAACTTCATCCACAGCCGCTCCGGGGAGCAGTTTGAGAATCTCTTCATACCCTTTCCACCCAGTTACAGTGGTTTTGTCGGTTTTGTCCTGGCCGCCATTTTGAGAAGCGGTTTGGTTGGACCCAATAGTGCCTGAGCTGCCTCCTCCAACGACATTGACCAACAAGCCTATTCCGGGTACGCTGCCGCCTGCATGACCGGCGCTTATCTTTTGTACCGCACACTGCACAAGTCGGACACTAAGTGGTGCATAGCCAGAGTACACATATGATATGTCGGCAGGATTGTGTTCGTCCACCTCATTGACGATCAATCGAAGGGTTCTTCTGACATTGGCATAAGCTGCTCTTGAAGCGTTGCTTGATGTACGCACATTGAATAGTCCTAGACGTTCCAAATCATACAGCGTCTGAATGTGTTCATAGCCGTATGTCTGTATAATACTATATGTTAATTGCCCGTTAAAACACCATGGTGGGCGATAGATGACTTACCTGAATGATTTCTCGCTTAAAGTGCTCTAGTACTTTGGCTTTTAGACCTCCTTGCACAAGCGACATGAGACATAGCACACGCAACACTTTGACGATGGGTTCTTGCTTATCGATTAGTTCCTCAATGTAATCCACTTCGCTGTTGGAGTCCACGCCAGCCACCAAATCTATTAACGGAGGGTGCGTAAGAAAAATGAGAAGGTTAGGCTAGGGTGTTGTCACATGAGATCACTACTTACTTTGCTGAGTTTCCAGCATCCGATTAAATTCGTCGGTGATGGTTTGGGACATGATTTCTTCAGCAATTCCAGTGTCTATCACAGTGTGTGGGTCAGTACTATTGCATTTCACAAGGGATCATTATTCAACCAAGGTACTTGCGAGTTCTTAAAGACTGGTGTTCTTGTTGCAGATCAGGAAGTTTACCAACAAATGTACGAATTTGGGCCATAGTCTTGGCCTGGTGTCTCTCCTGATAAAATGAAATAGAAAGTTGGCGAAGGGAGAACATCTAGAGCCACCTCAGAACAACAGGAAACAATACCTCATAGTTTTCATTAATGCGCTTCGCAATCTTATTCAAGAGTCCTCCAACAACAGCAAAGTTCAAATCGCAAAGCTGAGAAAACAGCTTATCACCAGAGTTGAGTGCATAATTCTTCTTCTTCCCAGCAGCAACCGCAGCACTTGCTCCAGCTGGGGTAGCCGCTGGCTGCGCACTCACTGATTGTCCAGGAGCAGGTGCTGTGCCAACAAGGGAAGGATCCAGTTCAACAAAGGCTATGAAAAGCAAATAAAATTAGAAGCCGGATGTGTGATACTGGTCCCTTTTTACCATCCCACTTACAATGCTTTATACGGAATATTTCATCAATTAGACCTTCATAGGTTAGTTGCGTGCAAAGCGGGGTGTATAAATCTACGTTGCGATCGATGATGACTAGTTGATCAATATGAGTGGAAAGTGAATTCAATAGAGAAGGGTTTTGGCGTGAGGTGGAAGAAGACACTTCTTCTACGACAGCTTGTTCACGGCGCATCCTAATGAGCATATCTGCCAGAGCCTAGGTAACGTGCGTGGTTAAATAGGGACGATAACGCGTGCATCAAGATCTGTCTGCATACCTTTGCAGAATCTCCCTTTCCTATTATTCGTGGAAACAAGCCGTATATTTGTTGTAATTTCATGAGTGATTTAGCCGCCTGATGAATAGCAGTGGTATCACCATCCTTGATTGATATAGACAGAAGCTATTAGTATTCAATGATGTACGTCGCTTCCTTCCGGTTCCACATACCAGGTTCAATTCTTTCCAAGTACTGTTATCAAGTTCCATAGATATGAGGTCATCTTCGAATGGTATCCACTCCATGGCAAATTCACCGAGAGTGATATCGCCAAGCACTCCTTCTTCTTCCAAAACACGCTCACACAACATTGTCCGTTGTGAGACAAAGAACAAGGAATACTCTATTCTTTTAGATGTATCCTGGCGGTCTTTGCGAATTTGAGCTATTTCATAATAGTGTGAGTGCTCCATTAGCCCTGATGTAAACAGAAAAAAAAGACACCATCCTTACCGGCAATATATTTCATATACTTGAGTTTCGGTCTGCATATGTATATCAAGTTCTTGCAGTCCGTGTCCAAAATATTGTCATCTAAGTGATATATCTTTTCCACGCCATGGTCCTAAACAGATATTCCTTGGTAAACCTCCCTATCCAACAAATTCGTATACAGCGTAAATTCACCTTCAATATTGAAATCTCGGCAATAAGACTGAGTGGTCCGGTTAATTGTGGATCAAGGATAAGTCCCTTCTTTCCTCGTACCTGCGGTCAATGCACGAGGTTAGGCTGTTTCGATTCGGATAATGCTGGAATAAGATAATGCACATACCGTGTCCAATAGCTCTGGGAGTCGTTTTCTTACAGCATCTCGCAGCTTAGCTATATCCAGAGGCGTTTTTCCTAAGTGAGATGCACTCATGCTGAAGAGTCCATAGAGAAGCGGTGTTTCAACTGATCGCTGAAAGTGCTGGATTTTGGACTGTGGTGCATTTGCAAGTATTTTTGTTACGACATAAACGAGGAAACAGATATCAGATTCGTCCATACCATCTCAAATAGAAAAAGAGATATTATAGCTTTGAATGAGAATGCTGAATCTTGCTCGTCCGATCACTCCCCTATGGCCATATTTCCGTCTGGACAAGAGATCATAGAATAATATGGAGATGCGTTAACTTAATACCTGCTCATCATAGTGTACATAGAAGACAAAAGTATCATCATCGCATTGCCTGATATTCTGGGATTTGTTCACGAAGTAAAAGTCCTCTGGCGAATTTCAGTAACAGAGGAGAGGCACTGCTTGTGACAGGCAATTCGATTTTTTTTTTTTTGGCACTTCTTCTTCTGCAATGAACTTTTACCAGCAGGCAGCGTCGATCCTCGATCGACTGGCTCAACAGAAGGGCACCATAAAGGGCCTCACTCTTGGAGATAACAAAATAAAAGACAAAAAGAAGATGTACGCTATTGTCTGTGAAACTTTGAAATGTATGGTCTCTTTGATTCCGTTAGTGTGCGCAAACGGTAATGGCGGTATGCTAACCTTTGACATTCATGTCATATTGTAGACAAAGAAGCTTTGAACAACATTATAGATACCAGCAAAATATTGACCATCGAGAAAAAGGTTTGGTGGTGCCTATGGTAATTGAAATATGGAACCTCTCGTACTGACATGATAAATCGATATACCAGCTGCCTAGAACAATGGCTTTACTATTGATCCACGATCTTCTGTTTACAAAAAGAGGAATACAGTCTTCTGATGGGCCATTGAAGCAAGCTGTCATGCGACATAAGGCTAGGCTGAAGGCTGAATTGGTGAAATACAAAATTAAGATGGGGGCCAAAAGCGACGATGATTTAGTGAGCCAAAAAGTCAAAGACGCAGGTAGGTGGTCAATCAAGAAAAGGCAAATGCGGAAGATAGGTTTTTAATGAAATGGGATCTGGTCCAGTTTTGATACCGCGTTATGTCCGAGTTAATGAGCACAAGACCACGGTCGACAAAGCCATACAGGCATTCATCAAAGAGGGGTACACTTTGGAAGAGCCTCGCGACGATCTCTCTTCGTTAAGGTTAAGATTGGCGGAATGATACGGTAGAGGTAGCATACATTGGAACTAACCCATATTATCATAGTAAATTGACGGTTCGACGAGACATCCATTTGAACGATTTGCTTGTTCTTCCGCCCAATTCCGATCTTCACGATCATCCCATGTACATATCTGGCGAGCTCATTTTACAGGTATGATTTCGTTAAAAAAGGAATGAAACAGCGGCCGAAATTGATCAAATTACATAGGACAAAGCTTCCTGCTTTCCGGCTCATGTCTGCAACCCGGCAAAAGGATCCCACATTATTGATGCATGTGCTGCGCCAGGAAACAAAACATCACACTTGTCAGCATTGGTGCGCAACACTGGAAAAATCTTTGCTTTCGATTTAGATATGAGACGACTTGATTTGTTGAAACGGCTCACAAACAAAGCTGGCTGCAAGAGTAAGTGGATAAAATCGGATCACTATGTTCGCGATGAAGGTTTTATTGACCTGGGACTACATTTAGATATTACTCCTTTGCACGGATCGTTCCTTGAAGTTGATCCCAATGATCCAAAGTATGCAGAGGTAAGAAAACAGCGCTTTCGTTAAACTTGAGGAGCTTCACGGTTTAACAAGTTGTGCTAAATTATTCTCAAGGTCGAATATCTGCTGTTGGATCCATCATGCTCAGGATCTGGTATCATTAGCAGATTGGATCATCTTGTTGATGATGGTATGTATAGAGCTCGCAACTGTGAATCATATCTTTAAACAAGAGTCAATGACTAAACGCATTTATCTCTCTCTAGAGCAAGAAGCAAACGGAACTGAGCGCCTAGACAGTTTGGCAGAGTTTCAAATTGCCGTCATTCAACATGCTATGAAATGTAAGTAAAATCGGCCACTTTCCATTCTATAGTGGTAGAGGTGTACAGGCGACATGAAACTAATAATATGGGCACTCGAAAACTCCAATTACACTTGTAGTCCCAAAGGCTAAAAAGGTCGTATACTCAACTTGCTCTATACATCCTCAAGAAAACGAACACGTTGTGAAAACGATCCTCGCTTCCACTGATGATTTTGTCCTTGGACCCAGAAGTGAAGCTATTCCAACCTGGAAACGACGTGGTTTGGTAGAAGAGTGCAATGACGACAAAGGTAGGTCCATTCGATAAAAACATGTGTGACACCGTCCATTACATGCTAACCCTTCATACCCAGATATCGCTGAATCCGTTATACGAACCAACCCATCTGAAGATTATACCAATGGGTTCTTTGTTGCTTGCTTTTTGCGAAAAGAAGCCACAACTGATGCTACCAATGAACAGAAGCGAAAAATAGAAGGTGATGCAGCAGAGGCACCTAGCAGCAAAAAGTCTAAAAAGAAGAACAAGAAAAAGAAGAAGGCGAAAGCAAATATTGAACCCAGTTTATAGAATTGTTTGCATATTGATACATGTTATTTACGAGTTCTAGCAACCTTCTTCTTGCCTGGTGCGGCTCGGCTTCCTGGGCCGCCGCCAGGCGCACGTTTTTTAGTCTTTTCTTCCTTGTAATCATCATCCGATAATCGGCTTCCTTCTGCCTTTACACGTTCATAGACTTCCATTATATCACGATGTGACACTCTGCGAGAGGGCCAGAATTTTTTAACATGAGTCCATAACTGTTGTCGCCATCCTTCTCGAGCCCGTCTCGGCTTTGTGTCCACTACTTCGTCAATGTGAGCACCGATTAAAGAGACGCGATCCCTTATCACAGCAGCCTTTTTGCGACCATGAGCAGCGCCTCCGTCGTCTCGAAGGCTGATAAGTTGCTTCTCAACTGCTTCTAGTGCTCGTATGCATGCATCTTCATCATAACCGCCATCTCCTGAGCTCTGATCCGACTCCTCTTCATACGCATCATCCTCAGAAACTTCGGTACTTGTGGCTAGTTGACGTTTGGGGCGGGTGGGTTTGGCCTTGGTAGCCTTTTTACTGGTTTTGGCAGGGGATGCTGCTGCTTTTCGTCCAGAGCGCTTCTTAGTACTTGCGTCTTCTTCGGCCAAGACTTTGAGCAGATAATCTACTCTTCGAACAAGCTGCGCCGGTTTGGGGTTGGAGTCTGCAGCTGTTTTTCCTTTCTTTTTGGTATCTGTGAAGGCGTCATCGTCGTTCTGCTGTCCTAAGGCAAACTTTTTTGCGAGACCTAGCGTTGTGTCTTGAGAGATGGCATTCCAATTGCCAAATCCATGCAAATAAATGCCGACCAAAAGCATGGCATCATCCTTTTGCCCCCAAACACAACCCCATCCTCGAACAGCCTTGACTGCAGCCGAGAAACGGAACTTTTCTGGTTTGGGGAGCTGACCCAGACGTCTATCCAACAGTTCAAATTGCTCGACACGTTCATTGATAGTAGAAGCATTGATCTGTTTGATATCTCTCCAATCGATTAGGCCCTGCGAAGCTGAACCGGTTGTGCCTTTAGAAGGTGGTATGGCACTGCAACTGGAGATGAGATCCTGAGACATTTCAAGTACCAACTTTGGATCGATGGCATCAAGGTCACATTCTTCCATGATCCGCTCAAGCTTATCCGAGATGTCGCCAAACCGCTTGACAGCATTCACAATAGCCGATAGATGTTTCCTGCTGAGACCAGTTGGGTCCTGTGTAGCTTTGCGGCGCTTGCGTTGTGTTGCTGGCGCGGCCTTCTTCTTATCACCCTCAACATCATCGTGCTCAGCATAGCGTCGCATTCGCTTTCTCGCTGCTCTATCAAACAGGGCCATTTCCGCCTTGATGCGCTCTTCTTCTTGTGCCGCCTTCCGTTCAGCTTCTGGAATAATATCGTCCCAACTCAACTGTTCTTCCGTGCTTCCAAAATCAGATACTTGGAACTGGGCAAGGAATTCTTGGTCACCAAGTGTTTGTCCACCTCCACTTTCCAAAGTCTCAGTATGCTCGGCTCTAGCAAGGATGTCGTCCAAGTCCATGTCGTCCAACTTTGGTGGTGGCTTGTCAGAAGCTTGGAACATATTCTGTGCACCAAACTTGAGGATAGCAGACAGTTCAGACTTGTCAAATGGTACTTCTCGGCTTTTGCCGGCAGGAGTATTTAGCAAATTGTTGGCATCAAGCTGAGACATGCCCGATGTATCCATCTGTTTGATAATGCAATACTCTAGAACCATTTTACGTTTGGCCCTCTCAATAAGATCTTCCTCCATCGTTCCCTTGGAAATGAATCGATACACATTGACAGATTTTGTTTGTCCAATGCGATGAGCTCGCGACATAGCTTGTAGATCATTTTGTGGGTTCCAGTCTGAGTCAAAGATGATGACAGTATCAGCCGAAGTCAGGTTGATACCCATACCACCAGCGCGCGTCGACAATAAGAACGCAAAATCAGGGCTATCCGGAGCGTTGAAATGCTCAATGGCCTTGTTTCGGTCGGTTTGGTTCATGCTTCCATCCAATCTTTGATGTGGGTGACTACGCATTGCCATATAATCGGATAGAATATCAAGGATCATCACCAGCTGTGAAAAAATGAGCACGCGATGACCGTCTTGCTTCAGCTTTGCCAAAAGCTTATCCAGTAATACCATTTTACCACTGTTGCCAATGATACCTCTTAACTGTTCCTCTCTATCATCTGTTCTGCGTTCTGCCTCTGGGAACAAGTAAGGGTGATTGCTAGCCTTTCGAAGTTCCATGGCAATATTGAGCCATTGTTTCTTTTCACCAGACCCCGAAAGAGCAGCGTAATTTTTGGTCAAGATGTTCTTGTAGTAGTGAGTCTGCATTGGGCTCATCTCCACTCGCAAAATACGCTCGGTCTTGTTCGGCAACGACCTTTCTACATCCTTTTTCAGTCTTCGAAGCATAATCTTGTTCAGCTTTTCATGAAGCATCTTGATCTTAGCTTCTTGATCTTCGTCAGGTTTGCTCAGGTCAATTTCCAGCTCGGAAGCTATCATCGCTGGGTTCAAGAATCGCACCAGGGCCAAAAGTTCCTTCACACTGTTTTGCAAGGGTGTACCCGTGATGAGGAGTCGATTTGTCGTATTGAACTCCAGTAGAGCTTCGTAAAGTTGAGAGTCTGCATTCTTCAATCGATGGGCTTCGTCGACAGCCAAGTATTGCCAACGAACCTGGCCAAGTTCGTTACGATCTTTAAGAGCGATCTCATACGTCGTGACCACAACATTGATTTTAAGCTTTCTGGAGTTTGGTTGAAACCATTCGTGGTCGCGAATAGTCTGACGAGCTTTTTGATTACCAAGGTAGCATATAGCATTGAGTTCTGGAGACCATTGCGCAAGCTCATTCATCCAATTGTCGGTGGTTGATAGAGGCACAACCAGCAAAAACGGGCCATAGACATTATGCTTGTGATACAAGAGGTTGAGAAAGGTAATGGTTTGGATGGTTTTACCCAAGCCCATCTCGTCTGCAATAATTCCATTGCTGTTGGTACACCAGAGCCAATAGAGCCAACTGACACCATGGAGCTGATAGTCACGAAGTTCTCCTCCTTTTACAAATGCAGGTTGGTCACGAAGGACAGCAAAGGCAGGTCTATTTTTGACAAAAGCTGCTGATTTTGATGGGATCTGTTGGCTTTGTTCGCGATCCAAGAAAGCATCCATTTCAGCCTGAAAGTCAGAAGATACCAGCTCGTAAGACTCCCAAGTGCATTCATCATAATGCAAACCCTTCCATTTACAAAAGTACTCGCTTTCCGGTGGTGTTCCTCTCATGGCGATGATACGATCCACCTGTTTCCAAGCTGCAATTTCTAGCCTATGACGCTCTAAATTGATATCGCGTAGCTCAATGTCCTCCATGGTAGTTTGTGGGTTCCTCCGAAACGCTCTATCTTCGAGGACGCTGTTTCGGATATAGTTTTCGAGTCTCCTAATACCCTTGAAATCCCTCAAGTATTCAAAGGTACTCCACGTATTGTGAATGTGAGCATATCCTTTCCATTTTACCAAAAACTCAAGGTTCTTCTCCGGAATGTCAGTGATGCCCGTCTCTAAATATTGAAGATGATGGGTAGTTCAGAAAACGAAGTAAAGGGAAATGCGTGGTGGGAATACCATCAGCGACAGGTCATAAAAGAACGAATTTTTACCTGCTCCGTGACATCGTCTGTGATCTAGAACAGCCTCTATAACATCGCCTTCATCTTCTTCGACCAATGGTTGGTCAACTGGTTTAACAGCTTCTTCGTCCTCTGGCTCCAAACCATAAATGTCATATTCATCCTCGTTGTAGACCGTTTCGGTTTTTTGACGTGTTGAAAATCGGATTGCTTCCACCGGCGTAGACACTTCTTCACTTTTGGCTACATTTTCACATTTATAAGTACAATCTATGGCCAAACATGAGGACGTTCCCATTCCAGACATACCTTTCTTATGATGTCGTCTCTTTGTCTTCTTCTTCTTTTTGGTAGATGTGTTCCACTCGGCATCGCTACCTTCCTCGCTACTTGAGCTTTCCGCGGACATAACGTCATCCATCAAGTCATCTATAGATAGAGGGTATGATTACGAATGATTCGGTGGTAAGTGCACCATGAGTACGTATGTCTTACCTGGAGTATGAGCACGGGATCTTTTTTTAGAGGTTGCAATTTTACGCGGTTTGGCAGGACCTTTCTTCTTTTTTCGTGAGCCTTCCATATAATCACTGTCATCTCCATCGTCCTCAGGCTCGGGTGACGATTCATCAGATGCCCAGTCATCGTCGTACACGTATTGGTCTTCCTCATCATCCTGGTCTTCATCACTTGCTTCCAAGTCTTCATCTTGGTCAGAACGCCATTGATCCTTTTGAACTGTTAGTTTCAAACCAAACCCAAGAAAGAATACTTCAAACGTCATACCAATGGTTCCGCATTTCCAGTTGAATCTCCATCCACGTCTGCATCCTCATCTTCTGGGTCTACATCTTCTTCGTCCTCTGAATGATTTATAAGTGAGGATATGCTAGGCTGCGTGTAGTGTGGTGACGGAACGCGAGGTTGCGTGGAGTCCGGTTGAACAACATTCATATCTGCAAATTGCCCATGTAAAGATGCAAACGTTGGAGTTTCTGCATCCTCTGATTCAACATCAATCTCGTGTGCTATCTTTTCTTCTACCACTGTGGTGTTTAAGATTTGATTCAAAAAGTGCGGAGGGGCTTCTACGGTAGTCGCTCCGTTTACCACATGTGGCTGATTCGTTATTGGCGTGTCCCTTGGAAGAGTTGATCCTATTTGTGACAGAGTTAGTACACATGTTATGCCACGGCATCAATAGTACGCGCTTGCTACTAGTCACATAAACTTCTTTTGGATGGCTGGGACTTGTCTTTGTCGGTGCGTCCGAACGCTGACAGTGCCTGATATATCGTTTGCTGCTGCTTGACGGTATGGTCGCTGGTATACATGCGGTTGCCATTGTTGTCGAAAGGCGTAGACTGCAGACGTTTCTTCCCTCCACCTTCTGTGAATGTTCAATTTTAAACACGATGCAGAAATTCAATGCTAACCTTCCATTGCTCGCGGATAAAAAGGGCCAAAAGTAACCAACAGCACAACAGTGACAGGAAACTTGGGAAAAAGACAGTCTCAGAGGACTGCTCGTTTTTTTCACAACTTTATTCTAATGTTGAATTGATACCACAATATCCAAGCAAACTTGGTTACTATAAACATATACATAGCGCACACGATGAATGAAACAGCTGTGCTGGCGTAAAGAGTTCTCATGGACATATTTACCAGTCCAGTCAAAAGGTTGGCCTAATGACGGAAAAGGATAAGTTTGAGCAAGCTTCGTGACTAAAACGCGAAAACAAAAAAAGGTATTTACCACTAAAAACACCACAAGGCCATTGATATTGATAGATTCAAACAACTTTGGAACTGTTGCAATTGAGCTGCTTTGCGAAAAACCAATATCCACCATGGTAAATATTAAGATGAAGCCAAAGTTGAAGGTCACAACCCACAAGACATAAGGAAGGTTAGCAATTCGTCGCGACACTTGATCGCCATTTTCGCCGTCAATAACCACCATAGATAAGGTAAATAAGGCATAGTACACCACAGACCAAAATCCAAGCACTCGAGCCAAGTTTCCATAGCCAGATTGTCGCGATTTTCCTTGATGTTTAAGAACACGCATGATGCGAGTATTTTGTAGTGCCGAGCTGAAGATGAGCTTACCAGCGTCGAGGCCAAATAGAAATATGGAAAAGTAGCCTAAAGAACTTGGGTTAGAAGCTGAAAATTTCGTTAGAGCACTAGGCAAAATAAACAAGCAAATTACCAAAGAAACTGCAAATGCCCTCTTTGTTCGCACTAATTAGGTCAACGCGCGGCGCGAACAATGCCCATTCTTGTAATCCTCGAGCGAGGGCTACTTGATATACTACTCAATTCAAGAAGACTTAGCAACAATTCAGCAAAAATCATGAAGTAGCCAAAATTCAACTAAAAGCCGTACCGATAGCAGTGGAGAGTCCAAGCACAGAAAATGGTATATGGTTGCTCAGAGACGCGGCAAGAGCTGTGAATGGTGGTAAAAATCCGAGGGTAAAGAAAAAGTTCCAATGCAGTCCATATTCTGAATTATGCTCTTGGTAATTGACTCCCTTTGTCGCCGCCAGCCTGATGAATCCAAGCGCAAGCAATGGGAATGATGCCCTTAGTGAACGAATGAAGTTTGGAATCAAGGCAGTTTTAGATGCATTGCCTGCAGTGTTGGCATATGTGCGTCCCGAAACTACTCCAGATGAAAAAACAAATGCGCCAACTCCCAGATCCATCTATCACGTATGAGTGAATCATAATTACTAAATGAATCGATGCACTTGCAGGATGGAGTTCGCCACTCCAGCAGTGGGTGGCTGGATCATGATGCTTACCATAGAGGTCCCAAAGGTCTCAACCTTGGCGAATCGACGAGGAAAAATGGGGAAATCTACGGCGAGAATAGCAATGCATGTCATTACCATCATGGTTGCTCTATACACTGACAAAAAGTTTTTATGCTTCTTTTCTTCGTGGTTATTTTGAGGTTTCGTCGCGGTGACGCGGGTACTAGGTGATAGGTACAGCGCCGAACTTGCTGTCAATAACGAAAGGTTGACGAACAGTACATAGTCAGCTAGCACAGTTTGACACGCGAGAATGGGTAGAATAAGGACCATGAATTGTGCCAGATGGCTTTCAACGTTTACTCTTCGTTGAAGACATACCCAAAACAGGTACGAACACTGTAAAGACAATTCACTTAAATCACATCTCGGGCAATCTCTGAATGCAAGACCGAACTCTTACCGCTAGTGAAGCAGATACTTGGTTAATCTCAGTGAGCGACCCACCAGTGCAATTTGATACCCATTTCTCTTGTTCTACTCTGTATTCGTCGTCCGTCATGGGTCTTCAGATTGCTTTGGTGGCGGGTGTAAAGTTTTCCCAAACGTCAAATCCATTTATGTCGGCTAAATATTTTACCACTACCAACGTCTCATTTGCGAACGATTGGAAAAGTGATGGACACCTCGTCTTTCGCTGTGATATGAAGGGCAGCGAAATATGTATAAATTCAAATTCTCCACATCCCTTCAATTGTAACGAACAGTAAATCCACCACCACATACTCTGAGAAAATTCCTTGTACTATATCGTGGCTCCTAACGGATAACCTTCGGTTTCAATTTATGAATTTTTTCACTAAACATTGTTACCGTGGTATGTTGCATGAAGCGTAAAAGGATGTTGCGTGGCTAGAGAGATATTTCGCCGTAAATGAGTGCAGTACATCAAAATGCAAGCCGAAGATGAATGGAAACGCAGTAGAATAAAAATTCTCAGAAGTAGCTCAGAGAATAAGTAGGAAAGGAATTAATGAGGTTGGATATAAATGGCTAAATTACTTGGATTGTTTAGTCTTTGGAGGTAGGAACAGTCAAGGGGTTGCCTAAATTTAAACGCGAGGAATCCCTGAATTCATGTTGAGCGAAACCATCAGATTATCAATGTCATCCATGTTAACGGTAAACTGTGTTTGTTTCGTGCCATGAACTTGTCGCAGAGGAGGACATGATGGTTTGGTCATTGGTATATACGCATCTGAATTGAGAAAGCAAATGATATAGCAGTGTCAATAGGGCAAACCTGAACAAGACATGGGTTAAGGGTGGGATCATACTTTGGGGTTTGAAAGCTTTAGGTAATGCTGGGCAATATTTTGGAACGTGTTTGTTGCAGTATAGTAGACCGTTGTTGCATTGAAAGTTTTGTAGTGTTAAAGTCAATTTACATCCGTCTTCGGAACAGCGAAAACAGCGTCGGTGATACCATTTCTAGAACGGACGAAAGCGGTGTGGGGTTGAATAGGTTGTTATAAAAACGTAATAATTGAATAGAGAATCAACGTGTTAATAACACGATTTTAGAGCAAATGTTACTTGATCGATTACCTCGTTCGTTTCGATTTTTTCAAATGGATATACTTTCTCTTGACATGTAGCGCAATTTTTCATGATGTGGTTTTTACTCTAATGATAAGAAGCAAAAAACAAAGGAAGAGGGATCTGTAGGATTCTTGGAACAGGTAATTTTAAATGCATTGCTTGTTTTATTTGGTTTCAAATTTGGACGTTTTGATCGGCGCTGTGCGCAGGCCCTTGGATGAAAAATGAACAGCAAAGTCACGTGCATATCGGTGTGTGGAAATCACGGCCTGAAGAGGGACTCAGTACCCGCAACACTGTGAATCCCTCTTTCAATATTCAATATGGTATGTAGTGTACATCAAGTGGTATCTGACGATTCATGTAAAGGTCAACGAGGGACGATTACAGATGGATGGATGGATTGATGGATCGCTAAAACGACTCGACACCATTTGAATTGGCATGCACCTAATGCCACATTGTGAGCGATTCGACCAGTGACGATGATGACAATCTTGGAACAAGCGCTTTCCACTGAAATAGTATCAAAACATGATAAAAGCTACAATGAGAATGAAAAAAGCAACCTTCTCCAAACGTTTGTTGGTGAACTCGGCAATCCTCAACCGACCATCCCCCGTATCGTACCTCGGCCCAACCAACCCTACGTCATGAGCGTCAGTAGAAGTAGCCAAAGCACTATGACTAACATCGTTTGTTCTCATTGATAGGCCAAGAAGGACGCTGCTGCCAAGCCCACCTCCTCTTCCGGAGGCAAGAAGGCCAAGAAGAAGTGGTCTGCTAAGAAGGTTAAGGACAAGTCAAACAACATGGTTGTCCTTGACAAGCAGACCTACGAACGTGTCTTCAAGGAAGTCCCCACCTACAAGTTCATCTCCCAGTCTGTCCTTGTTGACCGTCTCCGTCTCAACGGCTCCCTTGCCCGTGTTGCTATCCGTGAGCTCGAGGACCAAGGTGTTATTCGTCGCATCACCCGCCATGCTTCCCAAGTCATCTACAGTAAGATCATGTTTTATTATGCACACATAGATAAACCCCTTCTGAACTAACGATCCTATTTTAGCTCGTGCCACCGGTGGTGATGATGAGAAGAAGGCCGAATAAACATATTCCGGTTTTTATTTTTTTTGGACCCATTGTGAATTTGACATCAAAAAATAAAAAATAAAAAACCCACAATTGCAAAATTGAATACCTTTTTCAGCCGCTTTGCACTAAATACAGTCGCCAAATGGCCTCTATCCAAGGTGATCAGTTCATTCGCACCTTGGCACACTACTTACGAGCCAACGAAAACAAACTAGCTACAGTACGAAACCCTACCAAAGAGTCCTTTACTGGCGTCGGTGTTTCCAATGCCAACGCGCAAAGAAATGCATTCACCAACACCGTCGGTGCAGTTACATCCCTGTTTTCTGCAGTGCAAGCTCCTTCTCCTCGTCGTCCCATAGGCAACATTAGTACTGGCGATAGCCCACCTTCTTCCATCTATGGTGTTCCAACTCAATATTTGCCATTTTATCCATCGCCTCGTCCTCAGTCTCCGAGCAATGCAACTACATTGACCCTTGATCCACATCATTTGTATTTCCTCTTGGTTCAATTCGAGCATCTAGGACTTGAGATTGGTGATCCGGCACTGCTAGGAACCATTCCGGAAGGTGGAGTGGTAGAAACCGAAACGTCTGCTACGGAAAACAAAGCACCATCTATCATGTCCATTGCATCCAATATTTCCACGTTATCTCTCTCGACAGGATGGAACCTCTGGGAACGCCGATCAAGACACCAAGAATCACAACGTTCTATTGAAGATGAGATAACTTTCATCTACAAGGTTTTGTCACGGATAACGGCTCTTAAGCTGCACTTCAATCTGAGTGTCCACCCTCAAAGCGGAGCAACCCGTACAGGCAGGCGTGTTATAGTAGGATATGAGGCACCCTTGCCACAAGATGGAAGGTCTTTACGACTTTCCATGGTGCCTTTCCGATCTCTTCTTCATTTGGAGCTTATCAATATGCACCCGCGCATGATCGACGGTTGGATACCCCTTCAAGGACAGTTAACAACACTGATCATCAAAAGCGCAAAAGTAGAAGATATAAACGAAGTCATTGTAGAGGAAATTGCCGCCAGTTTACAAAAGCGAGGTCAAGTTGTACCTCGGGAGGACGATGAGGAAGCCATCGACCTTTCACAACATCTGGAATCACCTCCCTGGCAAAACCTCAAGCATCTATCTTTGGCTGATAATAATATTACCACATTGGACAATGCCCCACTTCACTATTTACAGAACCTCGAACATTTTGATCTATCCAGCAACTTATTAATCGATATCCCCAGCTCGCTCACCACCCTATATAATTTACGATCCCTTAATCTTGCAAACAATATGATATCCTCTGTGACAGGTGTGAACACTATTCTGGGCAATGTCCAGGAGTTAGACTTGCGCGGAAACCGGCTCACCCTTTTGGCGGGATTAGAGCGTTTATGGTCTTTGGAGCGACTAGACATTCGAAATAACCGTATAGAAGAGACTGCTGAAATCGGACGACTTGGTTCTCTTCCCGCTATCAAAGAGGTATGGGTGGAAGCCAACCCATTTACGTTGCAAGAGGTAAGCTTAGCCTTTTAACACACGAATAGAAGAAGCGAGGAAAAGGGACATTATGGCAAAAAAGCGTTCGGTTGTATGCTACTTTCCACTATCGATACTCATGATATAAACCTCTTCCCTACCTATAGACAAACTACCGTGTCATACTATTCAATAAATTTAAAGAGGCACAAGACAATGAAATATTACTGGATGGAACAGGACCAAGTGCGATTGAACGACGACACATCAGCGAAGGCACAAGTGATACTGGCAACATTCCGGCTGCCATTGTCTCTACTGCTACTCAACCCCATCAACCTGCAGCAGCCCCGACTGACCAAAGACGATTGTCAATCCCTGACAACAAGAAAGCACATAGCAAACAAAAGAAGAACAAGCGAATTGTTCGTTTGGATAGCGAACACTCTATACCCAATGTAACAGATGATGAAGTGCCGGCTCTACCAGAGGAGGATAGGAAGAGTCCGGATAACAACAACCGACGTGTATTGCGGTATACTGAGTTGGAGGCTGATTCAAGATCACGATCACCTAAGCCATCAGCAAACCGACGCAAAACTCGCAAGGCTCCGGTAGTCATCGATGTGCCACCTGTAACGGGTGACGAATATCGCCGCAAGATCGAGGCTATGCGAAATGAAGCGGGTAGTGGCTGGCTCCGTGTGTTGAACGAGATGGAAGATAGTGCCAAACATTCATAATCACAAGTACAAACTTTTTTTCATTCCGTTTATATATAATCATGTATGCAAGGTTGAAGTAATTTAGATGCATGTTATACTGTATAATGAAGCCAGCCTTATCTTCACAACTCTCCCAGCTAGCGTCATCTTGGATATCAATAACGTGTAATACGCCTTTAGTCATAATCACACTTGATTTATTTTTATATTCAGTTGAGGTTTAAAGAATTGGATTTGTATGTCGCAAATGCTTTTGTGATCAGAGCAGACATATGAGCAAAACGAAGTCTGTAAGGAACTCGAGTTGCTATACACGAAAGCACTTTAACCAGCACTGCAGGATAATCTTCCCTATTTTTCCCATGTCACAACTCATGGGCAGGAGTTGAGCATTGAATAATGATAGGGTATGGTATGAAGAGACATCACTCATAACCACATGTAAATGTGCAATAATAAAATAGTATCTTTATTGAAGATATTGCTTCAAAATACAAGAAAGTTACATTGTTTGTGAAAAAAAAAAATTGCGACTTGAGCCGCGTAAAAATACTTTTCAGAAATGCTGATGTCATCACCGCAGTCACAGCAAGGTCAGAAATTTTTCCCTATGCTGAGCACGAACGGTGTCAATTGTCAATGCAAGGGGTTTGAGACAGCGCAAGATGGCTTGCCTTGTATCCGATAAGAGAGACAGGAGTAATATAATATAAATCCTATCAGCTATAGACTGGAAAAGCTTTGGATGGTAGATCCCATGATGTATGGCAGAAATCAAAAAAACATCCATCGCCAGACCAATATCTGCAACCATGTGGGGCTTCTTTCCCTTGACTGTGGATTTTTATTCTATTTTATTCTAGCAGACATGTCGGTTTAAAATCGTGTATTTGGGTTACATGTACAGACTGTAAAGGTATAATGTCATTTTTGAAGAATTGACCTTATCGCCACAAAAGAGGAGCCAATATGTAGACTGCTTTGGCAGGGCAGTACCCAGGAGTTCCACATCTGAACAAAAAATCCCAAAAAATCGGGAGTTGATTTTGAGAGCTGATTGTTCTACGTCTGAGCATAGTTGGCGCTGGTTTTCCGAATCCATGGACGCTTTCGGTGTTTCTCTCTTTCAAAGTAGTCTATTTCACATGATATTGACATATTATATTTTAGAATGAGGCCATATCAAATGGAAAGGCCGTGGTTTTCTACCATATAACGTTTTCTTTTTCTGCGTTTGGGGCTCCGACCTGGCAAGTCTTATTCCGACAACGACAGTTGCACGTTGCCGCTTTAAAACTCTCGTCCGCGACTGTCCATTACTTCGCCAACCTTCTTTTACCTCCTTTCACATTTCCCTCGCCCCGCTCATCATGAAGGGCACCATTGGTTATGACATTCTATCCTGGATCTTCAACATTATGGTGGACATCTTCTTCCGTGAAGTCCGTCCAAGAGGAGCTCACCGCATCCCTCAGGAAGGCCCAGTTATCTTTGTTGCAGCACCACACGCCAATCAAGTAAGTGTTCCTCTATGCCAATTTCTTTTGAGTATGCGTTTTGACAATGCCGGTTTATTCCCTCTTTGAATAAATCATCAGTTTGTAGATCCATTGATTGTTATGCGAGAGTGCGGACGACGAGCATCGTTCATTATTGCTGCAAAATCTATGGGTGAAAGAGGAATTGGCACGTTTGCTCGACTGTTGAATTCTAGTAAGTATAAAGGCGATGTGGGCCAATTTTTTTTATGTGTACACATCAGTTTCCATATCCGCCGATCTTCCCCAACCACTGCCTGTCTAATTATTATTTTCCCGCGCCTCAGTACCCGTAGTGCGACCCCAGGATCTAGCCAAGCCTGGCAAAGGACGTATTCAGCTGTTAAATCGAAAAACAGATCCGTTGAGAATTACTGGTATCGACACCCATTTCACTCAGCAACTTCATGTCAGAGACTCCATCGTCCTACCCAAGAACGTCGGTCAGTCTGAGGTTGTAGAGATTGTCTCCGACACTGAGATCATAATCAAAAGAGAGTTCAAAGACCTCAAGGCGCTCGAACTTCTTACACAAAATGACGGAACTCTCTACAAATGTATGCCCCATATCGAACAGGAAGATGTTTATAATACCGTATATGACGAATTAAATGACGGCCAATGCATTACCATCTTTCCGGAAGGTGGTAGTCACGACCGCGCGGAAATGCTTCCTCTGAAAGGTATAATCATATATTATATTGTTTGTCTTGCGTCACAAAACTGATCCAAACTACTATTTTGGGGTGCACCCTTTATCATAGCCGGAGTCACCTTGATGGCGTTGGGCGCGATGGCTAAATATCCTGGTTTGGATGTAAAGATTGTACCGTGTGGTAAGTTGGGAGGCCAGCCATAAACTCAGTGCATGGCTCACACCGATGCAGAATACGGAACTAACAAGCCAAGTATTTCAGGTCTGAATTATTTTCATCCTCATCGCTTCAGATCAAGAGCTGTCATTGAGTTTGGTGATCCCATCACTATCTCACCTAAGCTTGTTGAACAATATAAAGCAGGTGGTACAGAAAAGAGGGCTGCATGCACAAAACTATTGGATAACATTTACAACGCCCTGAAATCGGTCACAGTCAATGCCGCCTCATATGAAACCCTCATGGTCATACAAGCTGCTCGCCGCCTGTATAAACCAGCTCATCGAAAACTACACATATCCCAAGTGGTCGATTTGAATAGACGCTTTGTCATCGGCTATAATCTATTCAAAGATGAACCCAAGGTGAAGGAATTGCAGCAGAAGGTCTTAGCCTACAACCAGCTTGTCAAATATCATGGTTTGAGAGATCATCAGGTGTCTCGTATGGAGCTTCACACATCACGTATTCTAGCTTTACTAGGCTATCGAATACTGCTGTTGATCATTTGGGGATTGTTGGCCTTCCCAGGTGCTATCTTGAATTTGCCTGTGGCTATTGTTGCCAAGATTTTCAGTGCTAAAAAAGCTAGGGAAGCACTCCGTGGATCTACCGTCAAAATCGCTGGTCGCGACGTACTTGCTACATGGAAAATCTTGGTCGGTTTTGTCCTCCTTCCCACTATCTATGGTCTCTACACTCTGCTCCTCTTCATCACATTGTTGCACACTGATTTACCCCTTAAATGGAAATTCGTTGCTCCTGCCGTTGTATGGATTCTGTTACCTTTTATCTCGTATGCCAGTTTACGTTTTGGAGAAATCGGCATGGACGTCTACAGGTGAATATTGTGCGTTCAAATATCTATACATAGCCATATTTTTCTAACATATGCATTGGTACTTTTTTCTTCAAAATAGGTCCCTAAAGCCCCTCTATCTTGCTCTTGTTGATCATCAAAGCACTGAGCAACTTCGCCAAAATCGGGAAAAGCTGTCTCATGATATCACAGAGCTGATCAACGAGTATGGACCAAGAGCCTTTACTGACTTTGATCGTAGGTTGATTTCTTTATAATGTGATATTAGGTGGGTTATGGATACTAACGTGTGGATTTTTCTACTTCGTAGCCGACAATATCTTTAGAATCGCACCTAGTCCAAGTGCAAGTAATAATGTTAGCCGATCTACCAGCCAGTTCTCATTCCCCAAGATCGCCAGTGGCTTCTTCAATCAACGAAAAGAATGGATGGATGATCGCAACATCTTTAACTGGAGCAAAAATGCGTCTGAATCGGATGCAGATGACAACTTGTACTTTTTGGGCCGGTCCTCGCAAGGAAATCGAAGTCGTAGTGGATCCGCTAGTGAATTGGATGGCGGCTGGACACCCGATAGCAGAAACCGTAGTCGAGCAAGCAGTGTATCCAGCAACAACGGCGAGGGGTTCAAAGTAGAGTCGATGACCAGTTTATCGCCCACATTACCATTCAATGAAAATGGCTTGAAGCAGCGCCCAATCTTTAAAATTGAAGATTTCGACGAGGCGCCACCCAAGCAAGCTATTGTTGGATAATCCACATACTAGCTATCTCCATCATGTTCTAGATATCATTTGCCACACGTAACTGCACACGCAATCCCCCAATTTCACATTCTACAATCTATCTCATACAAGCATGCTTCAACCCCACGCACACAAGCACGATAATATTGGGCCATTTCGCTATGGAAATGTTACTTGCATTGTGTGCTATCCATTCCTTCCTTATTTTCTACCCTGCTGTATGCAGGGTTTCGCTATGGTTATTCCTTTGTGAATCATTACAACCTCCACCTATACCTTTTATTTGTCCAAATATATATGTTTCTATACATCTATTCGTGAGACGGCTTAATTGATCGAAACGGACGATGGTAGGAAAAGGGTTGACGCTTGATTCTTCTTCAGTTTGTTTGGGTTCGTTGACGTTAAAGGGTCACGTAGATCAGAAAGCTATCTGCAGAACGTGTGGGGAACGATTCGATGATTATCCATGCCTTTTGTACCTACAGAAGGCAAATTTAAACATGCATGGCGTCCCTCAAAGTATTTTCGGTTGGATCGAAAGAAAATGGACGTTCTAAAACGTCGTATTCGCCCTGTTTGTCCTTGCGGTACCGAGAATTTTTTGATGTCCATGACTCTTTGAGATGCGGTGTTCGATGGTTAGAAAGTTCTAAACAGTATACCAATGCTGACTATTTTCTGACTTGTGTCAATAGAATTTCAAGTTCTCCGATTTTGATACGCAGATGACAGCAAAATTCTTGATAACATCGTCTTGTTCGACATGTAGCTGCTTTTTCAACTCCTCCACTTGTCGAGCCCAATGATTTTGTGCACCAGCGTGGCGCGATGGCTCTTGGCTTCGCGAGGCAGTCGTCGCATGGTTTGCCTTTCGAGTGAATGACTGCTGCTTCCTCCTCGCAATTCTTGCATTAGATATTCTCTTTGGCCATTTTATCACTTTGGAAAAATTCTCTCTGGCTAAAATTCATTTAATTGAAATGGTTAAAACAAATGTTTGCAAAAAAGTCCTTACGGTTGCTGACCGACGACGAAAAATATCAGTGCTTGACATCAGAACTGAAAATGATTTAAACAGCCGGCTGATGGGCACCATAAGCAACAAACGGGCGTGCGTTACATGCGGCGAGTACAGTGCGTGTCCAGGCCATTGTGAATTGATCCGTACGTGGTGGTGTACCCGCTTTCATATAAAAAAAAAGTGTTGAATTACGTCAACAATCACTGCCATTATTGCGGAGCGAGAATTAAGCATAAAAAAAAAAAAACAAAGGTAGAATGCTTGCTGTGTTACCTCGAGCCAAACTTCGACATGTCAGCATTCGATGCATTCGTAACGGTCCATCAGTACCAGCTCTCTGCAATTCCTCAAGAGCTATGGGAGGTAATGTGCATTGCAGAAGCTTGGTCCTTGCAACAGCTAGCCAACTTATTCACACTTGACACTCGATATGCAGACGCTCTTTATGAAGCTTGGAGAAGACTACTTGGACGCTGGTGAGGGTTTTTTAAAAAATGAACGTGAAAGGTAGAGAAAGTGTGACTGACGTTTGGGTTATTCAGGAAATGCTTTTGAGCTTCATTATGGCGATAATGTAGAAGGCTACTCACTTCATGCCAAAACTGATCTCGCAAAGGAAAGGTAAGCTATCCATGAATCGTAAGCACATTCATCGTGCAGACACTATCGGTAATTAAGGAAACTTCAAACAGCAACATCTTCTTGATTGACCATGCATGGACCACTAAACCAGAAAATGCAAAGAAAGAAATCAAGTCGGCACCAGGGCTTTTGGATCGTCTGGAAACAATCATGGACATTGAGAAAGAGGAAGTGGTCGATAGTGATGATGAAGATGAAATTGAAGAGGATTCAAATATGATTGATGTGGTTGCAGAGCAAGCTAATGTTAGCAAAGAGCAAGCGAGGGAAGCTCTTGTTGCTCAGCGTTATGATCTCGTCAATGCTATCATGCACCTGACTATGTCAGAAGAATTTAAAGCAGAGTCGGAACGTCTGCAAGATCAAGTATTGGGTCAAGTCCTTGGTAAGTCAATATGGTAGAAAGCTGGCCACATTTGAAGAAACAGATCTGTCTAATAATTGCGTGTTTTCACAGCAAGCGGTAAGCCGGAAGAGAAGGAAGAGCGTCTCAAAAAGGAGAAAGAAGAGAGAAGGAAAGAGAAAGAAAAGGAGGTTCTTGCACGTAGAATAAACCAAGTGTACTCCAAGATGTGGACCTACAACCAAACCTACCAGTACTCGGTTGTTACACCGGAAGGTACAACTGGTGTTGAAAGCGTATGGTGTAAGTAGGAGAAAGCTGTTGCTTCATATCGTCACTACCAGCATATTAATATCACAACGTTTTGATAGATATGAACGATGAGGTGGGCTCGGCTGTCGTACACTCCTCGGAACCCAACTGCGTCATGTTGCCCTTCATCTTCTCGCGTGGCCATGCTAGCACCATCCCTTATAGTGTCCTCTTCCCAATCAAGGATATTGCCCAAGGCGAAATCGTTACTCGAGACTTTATACCGAAAGACTTGAAAGAGAAACTTGAACGTGAAGCCTACTTGGCCGCTTTCCCGGGACGAATTGCTAACGAAGAGGAGATCGGAAGTGAGGATGATTTCATTGAAGCATTTGAAGTGAGTTTCATAGTCATAGTGTCATCAATGCGTAAATGTTGTTCTTAACAACCGTTTGCATAGGAATCAACCGAAGCCACCTCCAAGCCAGTAACTTCTGCCAAGCCAATCAACGCAGAGGCGATACTGAAAATGCCTACCACTCAAAATGTTGAAATCAAAGTCTATACTACCGCTGACTTTGTGAAACAGAATTTGACGTTACCGCATATCGTATTCACAAATGACATTCAGTCGGCTGATATCATATGGGTGGTTCAGGATTTCAGTGACTGGGATAAACTCAAGTCTAACCAACGCATCAGCCAAGTTCCCAACGAATCCTGTCTAACTTATAAGAACAACCTTGCCCAGCTTTTGTCGTAAGTTTGTTTCCTCCAATGTATGCTATCGAATGGCAGATTTTCATAGCTCACCTCATCCACCACAGCCAAACATACGGCAAGGTTTCTTGGTTCCCTCAGACGTATAACTTGATCAACCAGCTTCCAGCGTTTGTAGGAGATTATTTGCAACGATCACGTAACCTTGAAGACAATAACCTGTGGATCACCAAACCATGGTAGGTATGAACAAGTTGTATGGTGCGACAGAACAAAGTGGCTAATACGGTTGAATATAGGAACTACGCTCGAGGTATGGACATCGGCATTGCAGAATCGCTTCCGCAGGCCATCCGACAGAGAGAGACGGCTACACCAAAGATTGTTCAAGAGTACGTTGATAAACCTTTGCTTTATCACGATCGCAAGTTTGATTTGCGATACATTGTTCTTTTGCAACAAACACAACCTATGGTTGCTTGTGTGTATAACATGTTCTGGATTCGTCTTGCCAATAAGAAATATGATATGCGTAAGTGAATACATCTTGGAGCAAAATACCATCAGCGTGATGACTGAATTGCATACCATATTATGGTTCTTACAGATAATCTTGACGACTATGAGAAGCACTTTACGGTCATGAACTACTCCAATTACCAAATGACTCAGATCCACTATCAAGAGTTCATCAAGAATATAGAAAAGGAGCACAAGGGCTTGAAGTGGGCAGAGATTCAAAAGGATATCAATGTCGCTATCAAAGGTAAAGGACTGTTAGATGCAATTGGCTCTGGCTATGTGGTACTCACAACCTTCATCTTATAGATGTCCTTAGTGCTGCATGTATACAGGAACAACCTCTGGGCATGGCCAGCCCTCCTACAGCATTCAAGCCATTTGCGGTGTATGGGTTTGACGTGATGGTCACCAGTGATCTCAAACCCAAGATCATAGAAGTGAACTTCTCCCCTGACTGCACGCGTGCATGCCAGTACGACTCGGAATTTGTAAATAATATTTTCTCGGTTGTAGATGGCCGTGTCGGCCAAATCGGTAAAGCACTAGAAGCATTTACTATCCTCTAGACATGCAACTGAACTCAATATATACAATTAAAGTATCAAAGACATCGCAGATTTTATTGCTATCGGACAAAAGACAAACGATGGAATGGAATGGAAAGAAAAACTCACAGCTTGTGGGTATGATACAATGTATGTGTAGAGGAATTACAAAGAATACAAATGCTTGACTGAAATGGGCATGCGTTATTGAGAGATAGAGAACGAGAGAGAGAGAGGGTAGGGAAAGGAAGAGTACGGGGTAGTTGTTTTCAAGGGCCCAGCCCATGAGCTTGTAATATAAACTGTATTTAATTCTCTACTTCGTATGCCTGTAATTGAGTGCCATGCTGGTGCTCTACATCGGCCTCGTCTTGAGGCAATGACATCCAGCCATCATTCTCGTCTTGCTTGCGTATAGGTAGCCAAATAAGGTATCCCAAAAACATCTATCAACCAGAATGGATTAGTATGCGACGAAGGTGAGTTTAGTCTAGAAGAGAGATTCTTTTCACTTACCAGATACGAGATACCGAGGACGATAGCGACCCATACCGATGGGATAGCATGAAGGTATGTCGAGAACAGAAAGATATCGAATCCAATGACAATTGCCGCCAATATCCAACAGATTGTATATAGCACGTTGGAGATTTGGAATTCGGCTGACATAACGCGTGTTGATGAAGACAGTTTGAGAATAGGAATAAGTGCTGTCGGTAAACACAGACTGTATAATTGACGTTGTCAGTTATAGACCCTCTCCCTTTCATTAGTTTGATGGAACATTGACGCACCTTTGTAATACATTGAGCAACTCTCCCATAGTATCAAAATGTTGGACAGCAAAGATTGAAACCAACATGCTGGGAACTAGTGACACAGCTCGAGTAATCGCGACTCGATGCCAAGCTTTCTTAAAAATCGGTCGAAAGAAGCCTTCGAGGGCAAATCCTCCAGCCATCATGCCCGTTGTGGTTGAGCTCTGACCAGCCGCCAATAATCCTGCTGCCCACAAGTACCGAGCTCCTGATCCCAGCGTCTTACTTAAGACATCGCCGGCGTCATATAATCCTGGTAAAGCTGTTGTATCCGAACCTGCATGTTCGTCGTAAAACACTGAATCGAGAAGGCATCGTTAGACAATGCTGGAAAAGAACCTGTAAATACAAAGCAAACCAAACATGCATATTACCTTGTCCAAAGCATACAACAATAGCAAGATTAATGAGGAAAGAAACAAGAAGTGCCAGTCCAGACTCAATAGCAAAGTAAAAGTTGGCTTCCTTCAGTTTACGGACGGTTGGGTTCTTTCCTAGATCTCGTGACTGGACCAAAGCACTATTTCAATGTTAGAAAGGCTATCACAGTAAATGCAGTGCAATCATTTCAACTTACGAATGCAAAAACATGTTGTGAGGCATGACTACAGCACCGAGCATACCAACAGCTTGGATAACAGAGTTTTCAGGTATGATTGGCAAGATGATGCCTTCAAATATAGAGGCAATCTCTGGACGAGACATGAACATTTCAATCCAAAAGCATATGGCCATAAGAGCAATGAGCACCATGAACAAGGCTTCCAACTTTCGCATTCCGTAGTATTGTACCAAACTGAAGGTGATGGTGTCTGTGGCAGTAAGAAGAACTCCGCTCCACAGTGGGATATTTAAAATGATTCGCAATGCGATGGCGCTGCCGACAATTTCCATGATATCAGCACCAATGATGGCACATTGTGTAAAGCAATAGAGTGTGATGGAGACCCGTCTAGAATAATGACTCCGTATCAGCTGGGCCAGATGTTTGCCCGTTACTGTTCCAAGTCGAGCTGACAGAATTTGAAAAAGCAGACCTAGCGTACTATTGTTAGATTACTGGTCAAGTCGGAGCCAGCGGGATCTGATAGGAAATTGTACTCACCGGTTACATGTGCCCAAAAGAGGAGCCATAATAGGCTGTAGCCAGCAATTGCTCCAGCCTGTAAATCTGATTCCAGATTGCCCGGATCCAAATAGGCTATAGACATCAGCAATCCTGCCAAACCAAGCCAACAAAGCCAAAATTTTAAAAGTAAAAGAATCAATATATGAAAATTTGCAATGTATACTCTAAGAGCCCATCCGCCTGTCAACTCACCTGGTCCAGCATATGTCCATAACTTTTTGAAAGAAAACCATTGATCTGATACATCTCCTGTGTCGATTTCTGCCTTTAATTCTGTGTCATTGAGAAATCGACTCTCTGATGTGGCCAATTCTGATTCTTCCATAGTGTCGCTGCTAATGCTCGGTCGTTTCGAGCTTATTTCAGTAGATGGGTCTATGGTTGTAGTTAGATGTAAGTCTTTCAAATGTGGCGGCGTCATGGCCGAAAGACAACCGTTTAAAAAAAGATATTAGCCGTGCAGCAAACCAAAAAGTCCCCTCAGTCCGCCAGTGAATTTTGCACGTGACATGAACGAGCGACATTGTTTCCACAATTTCATCTTTCAAGAAAAAAAGTACGACGGTGATTTATTTTTTATACAATATATGCGATGAACATTTACAATATCATTTTTGATTTTAATCCTCCTTGCTTACAACTGAAGCTCTATTCAAAGTATTTTTGGCATCGGTTCCTGTGGTGCCGGTACGAGCAGCATAGGTGCGAGCCTTGGCATAGGCATCATTGGCAGATTGAACGGCCAAGTTTTGAGCGTTGTGGAGTTGTCCACTAAGCATAGAGTTGGTTTGGGCAATACGAGAGTCAACAACATGCTTGTTAGATTGGTAGAATCGAGGAAGAGTGAAGGCAGCAAGGAGGGAAATAACGACCAGAGTGCGGGATGAAATGTGGGCAGCAAAGGTCCAGACAATGAAGGAAATGGCAAACCAGGTCAAACTACGGCTCTTGTCCTCGATCAGAACAATCTTCTTGACTTCCTTTCCAACAGTATCCATGATCTCGCAAAACAAGTCAACATAGTGATGAAGGTGGGTCTTGTCGACCAAAGGATTAGGGTTATTGATACGTTGTCTGAGAATGATGAAATGACATGAGAACACGCATATTGAATTCCCGATGATGAAACAAAATGGTCTTACCTATGGGGATGAAGGGCAGGCTCGTTGTTATCGCTGAAGATTTGCTGGGCGCTCATCGAGGTAAACACGTAGGCCAAATTCAAGCCAGTGGCGACGGTCATGGCTGCAGCTCCAATTTGCAATAGGGAGTACTGTCTGGTCATATAAATAAACAAGAGGGATACAGTCAAAGCCACCATGGAACGAGCAGGTCTTTCCCAGTAGATCAAACTTTGCAAATGCGTTGACACCATAGTGGTAGGATCTAGGTAAAGAGGATGAGTGAGCATTTTCAAATCAAAGCTTTCTTGATTATCAGAACGTGTGTCAAGTACCATTGGCGGTGTGGTCAACCCCGTGTGCGACACCAGAAAGGTTCATATTCCTCAAGTTGCTGTCTTTTTTAAGAAGACTTTCATCATGCGGAGGGGTAACTGGACGCATGTTGAATTGATTTGCTGCTGCTGTGGCCATTTGGAACGAAGTAAAGAGTAGAGAAGAATGGGAAATTTTGAAGGCGCCTTTATACAAGGGACTGATTTTCATGCGCGGTTTGTTTCATCATCGTTGCGCCAGTGGGTGGAAAATTTTAAGAGTCCGTGCACAGTGAAGACATCATGACAGCGCCTTTCCCAATGTCGACATTGATATAATATCCCTTTTCTTAACGCCAGAGTATTTGCAATAAGCCAAAACCATGCTTCCCACGTTCAACGTCAATGTTCGATCCATGTCGACATACCTTCAGAAAAAAAAGCCGATATATTAACGTGAAAAAGTCGATCGAAAAGTGATATGTTACGCGAAAGGGTCGATCGATTTAATTAAGTCACTTGAAATCAACTGTTTATTTTTTGAATTCCTTCAAAACTCTCATGACCTCAGGTGATGTTATTTCATGTGGAAGAACTGGCCAAGTTTTTGTGAAGGGTAAGTGGAACGCTGTGGCTTAGCTGGCGGATTTTCTTGAACACTTTATTGCCAGTCACAGGCGCGTCAGATCTTTTTGCGCTTTTCACCTTAACCGTTATCCAAAATGGCATCCATGCGTATCGACCAAGTTAAAAACACAACGCGCGAGCAAAGAGTTGCTGCACACACACATATCAAAGGCTTAGGTCTGCGCGACGATGGATCTGCTGAGCCCATTGCTGCTGGATTCGTCGGTCAAGAGAACGCTCGAGAGGTATGCAGGCTTTTTTCAATTACCAATCGTGGTATAGGTCTTTCACCCTGTAATCTAACCAACAATAACCGCATTCTATTGTCTCTGTCTACCCTTATTGCAATAGGCAAGTGGTGTAGCAGTCGAACTTATCAAGTCAAAAAAAATGGCTGGTCGAGCATTGTTGCTTGCCGGAGCTCCCGGTACTGGTAAAACCGCTCTTGCTCTCGCAGTTTCACAAGAGCTTGGACCAAAAGTACCTTTCTGTCCTATGGTTGGCTCAGAGGTTTACTCAGCCGAAATTAAAAAGACGGAGGTTCTCATGGAAAACTTCCGTCGTGCTATTGGATTGAGAATCAAGGAGACGAAGGAAGTGTATGAAGGTGAAGTCACCGAACTTACGCCTGAAGAGACGGAAAACCCCTTGGGCGGTTACGGCAAAACCATTTCACATGTCATCATTGGCCTCAAGACCGTCAAAGGTACCAAGCAGCTTAAACTCGACCCTAGCATTTTCGAATCCATTCAAAAGGAAAAGGTCAGCGTTGGAGACGTCATTTATATCGAATCTAATACTGGAGCCGTCAAGCGAGTTGGACGATCAGATGCCTATGCAACTGAATTTGATCTTGAAGCTGAAGAATATGTGCCTCTTCCAAAGGGTGATGTGCACAAGAAGAAGGAGATAATACAGGATGTTACCCTTCATGACCTTGATGTCGCTAATGCCAAACCACAAGGAGGCCAGGATATCATGTCTATGATGGGACAAATGCTCAAGCCCAAGAAGACCGAAATCACCGATAAACTGCGAAAGGAGATTAACAAGGTCGTCAACAAATACATTGATCAGGGTATTGCTGAACTGGTACCTGGCGTTTTGTTTATCGATGAAGTTCACATGTTGGACATTGAATGCTTTACATATCTCAACCGCGCTCTCGAATCATCTCTTGCTCCTATCGTCATTTTCGCCACCAATCGGGGCATGTGCACTATTCGTGGTACCGAAGATGTTGTGGCTCCTCATGGCATTCCCATCGATCTGTTGGACCGCCTGTTGATCATCCGTACATTACCATATACCATTGACGAGATCAAGGTTATTGTGAGAATAAGAGCAAAGATAGAGAACTTGAATGTCGAGGATTCTGCTGCAGATTTCATTGCCGAGACCGGTATCAAAACATCTTTGAGGTTTGTCATTGTCGTCATTGTCTCCAAGAACATCGCTATGATACTAAACCATTCCCTACAGATTTGCTATACAGCTTTTGACACCAGCCAGCATCTTAGCATCCATTAATGGCCGCGACACTATCACACAGGATGATGTCAACGAGGTTGATGATCTTTTCCTGGACGCTAAGAAGTCAGCCAAGAACCTCGTAGATAAAAATTACCTCTTGTAAAATAAATAAACGATCGCTTCGCCCCAACGCAATGGAAAGGACCGACGGAAACCCTCATTGCAACTTTGGACACTTTCTCTTTTTTCATTACATACTTCTCTCATATATGTTTACCGTCTGGTCATATCTGATGAGGTCCTTCCAATAAAATCATTCATTCATTAATTTTTACACAATTATCCAAAAGACAATCCCATATATGATTTTGAATAATCATCTCTACACAATTTTATAGTTACATAGATTGACTACAGCATTAAAAAATCTATCGCATATATCGGCGAACAGGGCCATTTCTATTGCATGGAATCTGCGTTGAGTTCAGATTCATCAGGCAATACATCGGACAACTTGTCTCGGACAAGTTCAACACCGCGCCAAATACGAAGAAGGTTAGCACCTGCAACGCCCTTGACATCTTCATCGCTCCAGCCTCTTTTCAAGAGTTCAGCGATGAGATAGGGGTACTTGCTCACATCCTCCAACCCAACAGGTGTCAAGTCGATGCCATTGTAGTCAGAGCCGAGACCGACCTTGTCACGACCAGCAATGGATGCAATGTGTTCAATGTGGTCAGCGACATCTGACAAGGTTGCTCGCTTAGATTCATCACATTCAACGAATCTACTGTAGAAGTTGACCATGACGACGCCGTCGGTTTCGTTGAGTCTACGAAGCACGGAATCTGGCACATTGCGCTCGATAGGGCAGATAGCATTAGCGGAAGTATGACTGAAGAGGACGGGGGCAGAGGTGGTATCCAAAACGGCATGCATGGTAGAATGAGCAACGTGAGAAATGTCGACAAACATGCCAATGCGGTTCATTTCTTTCACGATCTTTCGTCCAAAGTCAGTAAGACCTGTACCCTTTGGGAAGGGATACTCAGTAGCCGGGGACTGAGACTCGGCCTAAATGTCAAGCGAATGTGTCAATTCATTACTCCATAGTGCCATCCTAACAACAACCATGGACTATCTTACCCATGGGGTGTGGCAATTGTGAGTCAAAGTCATGTAGCGTACTCCAGCGTCGTAGAACTGACGCAAGGCAGACATGGAGCTGTCGATAATCTGACCACCTTCGATACCTTGCATGGAGGCAATGCGACCATTCTTGATGGCGTCTTCGTACTCTGCTACCGAACCAGCCAATTGGAATGTATCAGGGTAGCGTTGAACCATGCGCTTTACCAAATCGATCAATTCCAAACCCTCTTTAACTTGGTTGGCCTCTTTGTCCTCACAGGGATAGAAAATACTCCAGAATTGGCCACCAACATGACCCTTACGCAAACGTTCGATATCGGTATGGCTCTCATTGGTCATGTGGGTCAAGTCAATATTGTTGAGTTTGCCCTTATAATAAAACTTGAGAAAGATTGGCCAGTCATTGTGGGTGTCAATGACAGGTTGTTGCTCGAGTAAAGTATTGGCTCGAGCGAGATATGAGGATGGCTTGGGAGATACTGGAATCTGTTCCTGAGCGCAGACAAGCGTCGCAAAACTTGCCAAAGCTACAGCTAGAATTGACTTCATTGCGGAATTGGTTGGAAGTAGTACTTTACTTTTTTACAGCCATTTGAAAGATAAGCTGCTTGTCACGTGATTCGATTGGTAAGCGACGCCTGGCAATTTCGGTATGAATTATTAACATAGCCGTTGGGACGGAGACAGCTGTAAGGTCATGTAACACTAGCTGTTAAAAGTTTGGATGACTTGAGCCCATATGACATATTATATCTTAGAGAAAGTGAAAAGCGCGCAAACAAATAGTTCTATCAGCTGGTGTACTCTTTCACTTGCAAAGAGGCACGACTGTGAGGATTCATTCCTTCAAAGTGTAAGCTTCAAGTGTAGCCGAGATCAAGATGTATCGTACATCGAACTTGACTAACGGTTTTGCTAGTATTTGGTTCAAATGTAAGGCTGCTGAAGGGTCTTTTTGGTCATCTGTGTAGTACTATTTCGAAGAACGCGCGACACAACTCTGTGCCCCTGTGTACATCAATCGCTCTGCGGTGGCCGTTTAGACTACAAAAAGTTATATAGTGCGTATTACTATTTTGATAAGCATCTCAATTCTCCACAGAAATCTGGGATGTTAATACAGTCCGCATAAAGAGCAGGTATTAGGAAATTCCTTGTGGTTTATGCACCTTACATCCACGTTTACACTGAGCTCAGGTTCACCACGTATTACCAACAAAAATAGCAGTAAATCTGAAGTGTATGTTTGTCCGTCTTGAACAATATAAACATTGCCTTTATTCTATGAATGCACCATGGCTTCTGTCGAACCGTGATTATGAAATGAAGGCGGCACAAAAATCCTATCACGTCACAGTGTCCGCAGCCCGATTTGAGACAGTCTAAGCATCGGCATCCATGCATAATCTATAATCCGTGCCTTTAACTAGAGTAGATCAGCCACTGTAACGCTTCGTGTACTGTTTCGTTCATCTACTTCTCTCAGTCGGTCGCTGAATCGTTTGCTCTTTGAACAAATTCGGCCGATTTTAACAGATCCGCGGCTCGGAACCATGACAGTCACCACTATGTCATTATTATAGGTCCCCGGCTTGAATGGCCATGGCTTTCCTGTTCCCATAGGCATAATCAGGACTGTTAATCGCTTCAAAAAGAAAAAAAATACCGAATACTCGGTGTGCCTCGGTTTTCAGCTTGGCCACAAGGTTTCAAATGATTGGACCGCGGTTTGAATATTGGAAGGCAGCGTCCATGCAAAAGAAATAGTTGGCTCGACTTGTAAGAGTCCAAACTGCTCGAAAAGTGATACTCGACTATGCGACCATCGATATCTTGTATTTTTATTGAGAAAACTCCAAGAGAGTCAATATGATTGCGATATCTAGACCCTTCAATGTTTTTATCTGTCAACTCAGCACGTCCATTGGTACCTGAAACAGCCTATCTACCAATTTTCGCCATGTGGGGAAGGCCTACTTCCTCTTTTTCAACAGTAGTTTTTTTCTTTTTTTAAGAGAAAACCTATGCAAAAACCAGTGCATGAATGCGGAACCGAGTAAATTATGCAAAAATCCTTGCGAAATTCCTGCGAAAACCGCATAATTCTCATTTTTCTTTAAAACCCCAGTGAGAATTTTGGACATTTCGTCCTCTATCCTTTCTGGAGAGCCCACAAGGCTCATAGGACCCAAGATAGCCTGGTAACAGTCCTGAGATTCAGAAGAGAGTGTAAGTTCTCAAGATACTCACAAGAATAAGTCCCTACTCTGACTCTCTACCTTAGCTATGGGGCTCTGGGGCTTCAAGAACCCCTCCGGACACGACATGCAAGATGTCTGCCTTAGCTAGATGGGTGTTGGTGTTTTTTCTTGTGGTGTTCGGGATATTGCTTCTAAAGATCTAAACCTGGTGGAACCTCCTATGACAAGCCTTGCCCAGCTTTGAGCGGGACTCCTAGATCTGGACGGTTCTCCGATGATAGCACGGCTGGGCAGGCCCTGCTTAGGAAAACTGGTCATCGTGGTGCCGCCATATGAGAGCGAGTACCAGGTGACAGCACGTCTGAAGGGGTTATGGTAGCCTTATAAAAAGCCATCTGATGAGACCTTTGGCATGGTCGAAACCTCCTCTTTTAATAAAAAATTTGAAAATTTATACTCTTTGTATGCAGTATTACGGGGGAAATCGGATGAGTTGAGATGAGGGAAGTACTAGCCATGGTCCGTTTTGCTATTTTCATAAGAGTTCTAAGCCTAGCTTCACATCTGTTGTCCTCGAGCCTCTTGTAGAAGCTGGAGACTATAATAAAGTCTTCACCGTTCTGTTCCAGTAGGTAGCAAGGGGCAGCTGAAGGTAAGCTGAAGGTACCGAATATTTCCCGTATCATTAAAGTGCGACAACTATCGAAGACCTGTCTTTCAGAAGCCTGTCTGGCAACAATGTAAGTGATTACCCGCAGTTATATCGCCAACTACACCTTAAACTATGTACAGTATCATGTACATTGTCAAGTAAACAAAATCGGCGTAACTGGGTTACAACACCATTACGCTCCTGCTTTGCCAAAGCTCTTTCATTGCACGAGGAACACACAGACAAGCTGTCGTTTAAAGTTTTGAATAGATAAAGAACCTGAGTCACCAATTCTATTACTTATCCATTACCAATGTACAACAAACATGAAGAACAAAAAAATCTATGTACAAAGAAGAAGGCATGTTTATGCCCAGATCCCAATGACGCTCATAATAGCAACGCCTATCCACATGGCAACGAAATAACTCCACTTAGTAGCATGATCCAGTTTCATAAAGCTCTCGTCATGGACCATCTCCGTAGCAATCAGGTTGACAAACGCCATATAGATAAGAATGCCTGCCGAGATAGAGTCGAAAATACCTTGCGTAAGCAATGCAGCCACTGAGTTCGCATTGTAAGATTGACTGATGCCGACTCCGATGACAACGCCTACAGGTGTGGTCATGGCAAACACGAAAGCCATTATGAATGCGTGCTGGTAGGTTTGGAAGGTGAGTTCGACCAGTCGAGCACCAAGTGCGAAGCCTTCAAAGAATTGATGAAAACAAAGCGCAATTAAAAGTCCCGTGAATTCATCTCCAGGACTAACACCAAGGGCAATACCAATAATCACAGAATGGAAGGTGATGCCCAGCTCTAGGATAAATGTCGATAGATCTTTGCGTTGGGCAGCCAAGAGTAAGATATCTCCGTGATCATGGCCATGAGATTCGGTATGTGGGTGGTGGTGATGATGTGCGTGAGGATAGTGATCGTTTGCGCTGCCATGGGTATGAGTGTGATGGGAGTGAATATGGGACAGTGCCATGACAGCAGCAGCATCTTGCACGTTGACCGGAGTTTGGCATGACTTGTTTCCAATGAGGGTTTCCTGCGATCTAGTAATAGCTCTAGTCGCATTGGCGTCTTTACTGGGATCCAGTATCTTCTCAACACTTTGTAAAGCTTCGGCATCTTGTTTTGCATTCTCCTCCTGACGCTTTTGTGCATGCTCCGATGCCAGGTGCTCTATCAGCTGCATAGCCAAAGCTGCAGTCATGGCAAACAAAGTTGCGAACGCCGTATATCCTGTATTCCAGATGGCAGGTAGACATGGCGAAGTTAAATTTTCCAAGGCGGAAGGCAACATATGTATAAATCCAGTGGCTAGAATGATGCCACTTCCGGCAAATTTTCCTAAACGCAAGCACGTTAATAACGCATAGTATTCAACATTGATCCTTTTTATAGTTGACTTACCAAGAGTTATAATTCTACCAGATATTCGAAAAGCAGGAAATGCTTTTGATAGTACTGGGATGAAGGCACCCAAACCTGAGGCGAACATAATGATGAACACGGCTGCAATGTGCATGCCAAGGTTATAATTACTTGGCTTTTCACTTGAGCATTCGTCAGTGGGCTCTGCGCTAATCCTTCGAACGAAGGCCAAAAAAAGGCCAGCCAATAACAGGGAAGGTGGAGGCATTGGCAAGCAAAGATGAGCGAGATTAGCTTTTGTCAAAAAACGCTCTAAAAAACGACCTTCCCGGTCATGATAAATTTTAATAGCCTGAGACAGTCACGATTGTGCATCCAAACTGGGTACCGCAAACGTTACAAGCTTATTTTAGCCCCATCTCGTGTTGTCCTTATCATAGTGGCCATACCAACGAGGACTATATCTGTTAATAGTAAAAGACCACTGCATCTATGGTGCGATTTACTTCAGATGTCCCAGTAATTAGTGCAAGTGCGCTGTATCGCAACCTCACACAACTTTGTTATCATACGAAAAAATTTTCCAAACCAAAAATCGCAATGTCATGTCTATCAGTGATCGGCATCAAACTTCAGTTTCACTTTGCAATTTTTCACACTTTCAAGTAAAACCAAGACAATTTACCCAGAGTTCTTTACCCTGGACGAAGACAGAGAGGCGTGTTGGTATAAGTTAGCGGCGTTTTACGAGAAACAGCGCTTGTTCTTAACGTCATTACGTAAAAAGTCGATAGTATTGCATTCTCTGATTAGATGCAAGCAGAGTAAAGCGGCGGTTGGTGGCGCAAGGTTTTATTGTTGACTATTGATCCTTTACTGCGTTTTCAAGGGATGAGACCTGTTCATGCAAATGCAGATCAAATGGAATCCAGGAGTGCACATCGCTCTATGAAATCGAGGGGGTTAGCGATGCAATGACAATAATGAATAAAAGCTATTCAACCACACCACAGCAAGTCAAATATTTTGAGATAAATAATCTAACACAATGCGTGATTTTATCAAGAAACCATTAATTGATACTTTGAAACAACAAAAAAAAAAAAAAATATTTACAGGCAAATGCCGACACACCTCAGAACGGTTTTATAGCGTATGCTGCCCTGGCAATGTCATCATAGCTGACCTCACCCTCGCTAAACGCCACAGGAGGATCAAACGGATTATATTCAAAAGGACAGTTTGATCCTTTGGGAGGTAACTCTCCATCGACGAAATATTTCTTGATGACTTGCAGTGTGCATTGGCTCGGCTGACCAAGGCTGCAGTGACCCCAACCGTAATGTTTGTGGAAGACACCGTTACCTTCCATAAGCTCTTCCAATCTTGCTGCATTCTCCACTGGCGTAACAGGATCTCCAGTTGCACCGACAATCAAAACCTTGTTCTTGGTTGTCCGATTCCAAGGACCAGTGTATCGCTCAGACGCCTTAACATTCCAATACAGGCACCGCATCATAGAAGTTCCCATTATGCGACCTGCAGTTGAGCTAACGTTGATGGCTTCATCGACTCCTTGCATCCAACTTGTAAGATTTTGATGTTCGTCATGATGTCCGTCGAGGCACATTATAGGACTTTGTGCTGCAAGATAAGGTTCAACCAGCGGACATAGATCCGTATCCCTTTGCATACTAGCATCAACAATGGCATCGCCACGGCCAGTGCGGATAGCCTCATCGATTGCTTCCGCAAATCGCGGCCACAAAGCTGCCTTATATGTTGAAGAAAATAGAAAGCCGGATACATCGAGCTCTGTCACCACCGATATCACGGGTTGGTTAGTTGCCAGCAGCGGTTTTTCGATAAGGTTGTTCACGAATTTGCGGATTGTGGATGCAACGTAGGAGTCACCGCTCAGAGAGTTGTTTGATTTGCGGGCTAATGCGCACTTTTCTGGTCCAGCAGCTTCACATGCTGATCCCATTGCGTCTATTCCATCGTCTGTATGGATAAGCGAGCTAGCAACGAGTTTGAGATTTTCACCAGAATAGAGGGATGGATCCAAACAGCCATCCACCATAAATCGACCAACTCTGTCAGGGAACATATTGACGTACACAGCCCCAATGAAGGTTCCGTAGCTGAAGCCGATATAGTTTGTCACATCTTCACCAAAAGCTTCTCTTAGAGCATCCAGATCTCTAGCTACCGAAGCAGTCGACACATATGGAAGAAAGTCTTTGTTTTTTCGAATACATTGGCTTGCAAATGCTTCTTGGACAGCCGCGAAGTTTGCTACGTTGTCTCCATATCCGAGTGCCTGCGGTCGATTGGCCATAAATTTTTTGCTCTCTATTCCATCTTCAAAGCATCGGATGGTGTTACTATCTCCTACACCGCGAGGGTCGAAGCCAATAATATCGTAATGTCCGTCCACCATCTTTGATACGACGTCTCCTGCTCTTTTGATGAAATCAACCCCAGAACCTCCGGGGCCACCGGGATTAACAAATAAGGCTCCTTTGGAAACTTTCTTCGTCGCTTTGAGTCGGATGAGTGCTAACTTGAACCGGGGACTGTCGGAATTATGCCAGTCAACAGGGACCTCAAAGGTTGAGCAGGTAAGTCCACTGCCGCAATCTGTCCAGGTGAAATTCCCATCTCGATACGTTTTTAAAGGAGCCTGCGCCTTCATTCATAGATTAGGCGGAAGGTGAATAATCGACACAGTATTTCAAGTATCTGAATCGTGCCTTACCCGTGCCGTTCGACAGCTAGGCTGCCAAAATTGAAGGTAACATAACATCGTCAGTACCAGGATGAAAACAACATATGGTTTAAATTTGTTGCGAGCAGCCGAACGTGTGAACTTCTGGTTTTGCGGCGATAAGCCGGCTTGCTTTTCCATAATGAAAGAAAAAGAAACGAGTTACTACGTTCTACCTAGCGAACCTTTACTGCGTCTCTTTTATTACATGCCTTGAGAAAAAATAATTGTTACACCGAGATATTTTACTGGCACAAATTTACTTTGCGAGCTTATCACCTGATGCGTAATACAGTTCAAATGTCCTTATCAATTGATTTGAACAGTACGCCCATTGACATTGTAATTACAGACGAGTCGTCAAAATACCGTCATCAAATACCATCTATATGAAGCAAGGGCCCATCAGTGAAATTTCGAGTATGTTTTGTTGATATCGGGCAAATATACAAATAGCAATTGCATTGATTTTACCGAGGACTAAGAGCCAGTATTGCTTCTATTCCAATATCTTATAAAAAAGACACCACACTTTGACCTTTTCTTTCTCAGCATTTTGTGATCGCCCACCTGCAATGAACACAGATGGATTGGCTGGCAAAAAGATAAACTTCGCTATATATTCATTACTACACTTTGATTTATTGAAATCACAATTTATCAGATGTCCATTTCATGATGATATCGCAACGCTCATAGTTGGGATGGGCCCCAAGGCGAATGGTTTTGAAGCCATGTTGTTTGTACAGGTTGATAGCGTTGGCTAGTCTTTGACTGGAGAGAATGGTGATCTCTGGAATATTGCGTGCTTTTGCCCAGTCGAGAGAAGCATACATAAGAAGGTGAGAGTATCCCTTGCCCTGATGGTGATCTGATACTGACATCTTTGAGAGTTCATATTCGCCATGTTCGGAGACCACCGCCACTGTGCCTATGATCTCTTCGGCATGTTGCAACAAAATAATCTCACCACCAGGGTCGATGATACTCTCTTGCGGGCGCTCAAGCTGGTTTATGTCGGACTTTTCAACCTTGAAATGACGCTCTACCCAGACCAAATTCAGTTCTCTAAAAGCTTTTTGATGTTCGGCAATTGGCAACCAAGTCACAAGATATACTTTGTCAACAACTTTCTGAAAATTGCCTTGCATTTAGTTGTCTGGTATGCGAATCGAGAATTAGCTTCCCTATGTGTTGCATTTACCTTTTCGTTCTTGTTAATTACATAATATATATTGATACATGACTCGGGAATGGGTTCGTTTGGTCTTGGTGCGTTTTGCAAAGCAGTTTCTGCCCAATCGTTCTACAAGAACCATTTAGGATACCGAGGATCAACATCGTTCTCAAAACATTCAATCATGCCTCTTCGCAGAACTGTTTCCATGGAGTCCTTTCGCTGCGTACAACGGCAAATTCAGTTCTTGTGATTGGTGCCATAATATTATTTCGACAGGTCGCAGGTTAAAGTGGGTTCATTTTATAGGAGGACAAAATGAGTCAGAAGGAGCTTCAAATATTAAAACACAGTCATGACTTGTCGCCATCACTTTTTCTTTTAAATGAATTGTTCGTGCGCAGACGACTGCCTCGTCGAGGTAAAGTAGAAAACTTCTTCGCATTTCCTTCTTTCTTCATTCCAGATGTATCCTTTCTTTCAATTTTGTGGGGCGATACACTGCAGATGGCGGTTTACTGATAATTTTTTTGATTAATAATCGCGAGGTAGCCTAGGAAAAACGTGAGTGACTCAAAAGAAACACACTCCGACTCTCCTGTATGTTGAACTTAATATCAGCAGCCAACAATGCCGGTAGAAGGTTGACATCGTAAGGAGCTATGAAGATGTAATTGGTTTGCGTATCTATCCACCACTTGAGTATGTCTGAAACGAGATTTCGCAAGTAAACGTGTCAATATAGGCATTGGCTGCAATGAAAAGGGGTTTGACCTACAAATTGTAGTCTTTTTATGAATTATGAGAACTGACCAATGGACGGAAAACTGCAGTTTTTGGATAGGCTTGTTCAGTTGAAGAGATAGGTTTGCAGATCTTTTTTTTTGGCACATACTTTGCCATACATCTTTCACTGTTCTGCTCAGAAGAATATTACCAGTTGAAACGAATATTACCTAGTATTCGTTATATTGGAAAATTCGTGTCATCGATGACATCTTGTTGTAAACCTTGCGGTATCTACTGAGCACAACGATGAGATCCAATAATAGATCAACGTTACCTTTTTTTCTCTGCACTAGACACAAAGGTTTATAATGGAAATTTCCTGTCCATCAACATGGTATGTCGGACACGAACGAGAATTCAGTTGCACTGATCCAAATTAACGGGATTGGTCACAATATCATTGAAAATAGATGCGGATATTCGGATGTTCTGCCCGATGAGCATAAGCGCTTGTTGAAGGATGGCGTTCACAGCCACATTTTCTTCAAAGGAAAACCTTGGGTTTCAAATTCTTCATCTGTAAGATCTCCAAGTCAGAGAGAAAGAAGCCTATAAAGAAGCTACAGTATTTATGAAAAAGACAGCATACTCCATCCTGTTTATTATAAACGCCATTCCATATACACTACGGTAAAAGTCGCTGACAATTTCAGCCTTGATAGCATGCCCATTTTTACAGCAAACAAAACCTTTGTCCTGAACAGCGCTAAGAAGGAAATGGATTGCCAGCCAACGATGGTACCAAGAGATCAGTATTTCTGCAAGACGTTTGGTTATGCCACCCCCATACCCACCTACAAAGGCGCAGTACATTCTGTCGACAGCATCCCATTACTCGCAGCATCTCAAAGTCATTCCACCAAACTTCCAACAAGTCCCCGTACACTTCCATCAACATTTTTAAAATAGGATTCGTTAATGTGACATTGGGCTTCAATTAAAAGATTTTTTTTCATGGTTGAGGATCGTATGTACAACAAGTAGCCTGATTCAAATATTGGTGTTTGCGCTTCCACTTCACATCTCCGTATCTTCGTCTACACCTCGTATATATAACACATTGTTGCATCTAAGGAGGAGAATGATGTTAGATCATGAAGAAAAAAACTACATACGTGTCATCGAGCATGGCTCTACATACCTAATGAGGACTTCGCCCAAAGTTCCTGTTGAAACACCATCCTCGAATTCCTCAGTGTTTGCGAGCTACATTAGAAGATAGAACATGGTAAGTTGAAGATCGAACGAATGCATAGATCAACGTTTATCGTTCCTAACCTGGAGGTTCATGTATGAATCAACTGAGACGAGGTAACCCTTGTATTCTCCTCCCCACTTCAGTTTGACCATTACTGGCTTTCCGGTCAATTCGTTGAGGAATGGCTTTGGGTTAACGGGAACAAACTGTTTCAAAAAAGCAAGATTAGTTCACTGTGACCGAGAATTCCTTTGAATCACAGGTACTGATAAAGCAGAGAGGTTAATCCTTACCGCAGACATTATCAACTGGGGAGCTGCAATCTAATCCTTGATGTCAGACTGAGTTCGCGTTTGCTTCCTGAAGAAAAAAAGACCTTTTTGTTTCACGTCATACAATTTTATGACTCTTTTAAATTTTTGATTGCTTTCAACCTCACCGATGACAAAGTCAATTCACCACCTTTCTCAGGGTGTATGTTTTGATTATTATAGCGAAGGAACTTCCTTGTCAATCTATCAATTCATTGAATTAATCTAATATTCTACAGTATCATTGGCCATGTATGTCGAAACAGCTAGTTTCCGAGCATTGAGCTTCGCAAGTGTTGCAATTTGGCAATGCTCTACCCTTCAAGCACACGCGAGCTTGCCTAATAGAGCAAACAATTATAATGATTAGCCATTATTTCGGCCAATCTGACAATGAAACCCGGAACATGGCTTGATGTAGGCACAGTCTGCAAAAGAAGGGACATGAACTAGATACACAATACTCATTCCAAAGTCGGCATTGATTGTTACAGGGTTCTCCCTTTTCGAGACTGATAGCTTTTCAAAAATACTTCGAACCTTGTGGGCATAGTTTAGTCTAATCAGTTTGCAACGACTTTGATGGACTCTGTGACAACAGCGAGAGTAGAGAGAATTTAATGTGCTGGATTTAAAAGAACAGCTAAGAGATATTTCGGTAAACGATGCATGTAAAAGAAAATGTGAAAAAAGAAGGATTGTGATGTATTTACAAATAGAGTGGGAGGAAAGTGCATGAGATGAAGTGAGCTTTTTTATATTATGCGAATTTTGAAAGAGGCTAACTTTTGCTTCTTTTCAGACCATGTCATATGGCGACGCTTAGGAGCACATTCTTCCGAGCATGCATTGGCAGCTTTCTTTTCCAACTTCAACTTTCGCTGGGCCTCCCTCTTCACATGGCATTGGACACACTCATCGTACTTTGCTTCAATACCCTTGTCGTCCAATCCTTGCAATCTCCACAATGTGTGCCAGAAAAGAGTACGAGCTTGACGGAACTTTCTTTCCTTAACAAGCTTCTCTTTGATGGTAGAGAGATGCCTTAACTCCTCGTCCTTGGTGGGGCCGTCAGGAGTATCTGCAGCAGTCTGAAAACGCTTGTTCAAAACATCCCACAGCAAATCCAATTCGTCTGGAGAGAGACCATCGAGTCCTGGAGAAAGGGAGGCGCTTCGCTTTACATCGGCAACAACGGTTCCATTTTCCTGGTAGGCGGGTAGTGCTTCATTGTAAGGGAAGTTACCATTGCTGAAAGCAAGGTAATTCATGTTGAAGGTATGATTGACGACGATAGAAAGTAAGGCAGGTGCAAGCAATGGGTAATCCCGCAACAGTGCAACCGGGCTACGAGTGGAATTGGCAATGGCCAAAGTACCATCTGAAGACTTTCCTTTTAAGACAGTAGGAACATCCCAGTTAGGCATTACAGCCTGAGAGATAAAGGAAGCGAAAGTATTTGGTGTGGCGTCAGCGGATGCATATAGATCCATAAAGTCAAGGTCTAATATTTCAGCAGCTTGATGTGGAGAGAATGATGACGATGATGAAGTTAATGAGTGTGGTGAAGAATTATCATCGCTATGGTTGGAAGATGGTGGCGTTATAGGCGGAACTGTCTCAGTATCCGATTCCACTCCAGTTTCAGGTTCCCCGTGCTTTTGCCGTAAGCGCTTGAGCTCGGCCTTCAGCTTGTTATTCTCATCTTGTAATGCTCTATTTCTTGTTTGAAGCTCCTTGTTGCGATCATCACAATCTTTGACTTGTTCTTCAAGGGTAGAAATATATTCTGGGGAAGGTAAATAAATTTCAGGTTAGGATTTACGCCCAGGTAAAGATCAAAATTGCCCCTTGAGAGGCTTTTTTTTTTTTTTTTGGGTATCCAATAAACATACCCTTTCTTCGAACTCTAAAGTTTCGAGCAGAAATCTTATTGCGGAGCTGCCTTCGCTCTTTGGAAGTCATCTTCTTGAGAGTTTCTGGATCAGGTCGCCAGTCAGTTTCATCATTGTCAAAGTTTTGGAGAGGCGAACCATGTTGCTGGTGAGGCGGTGAGTTGGCTGGTGGAGAACTAGACTCTGATCCATAGGCGGGAGGCACGTGGTCTGAGAGGGATTCCATTTTGATTGGTTGGCTTTCGACATGTTCAGTGATGGTAGGCATTGGAACGATATCGCCTGAAACGATGGAATCCATGGCGGACGTTGATACAGCAGTGTTTGCGGCAAGTATATTTTCGCTATCTGCTTGCATGAGATAAGTGAGAATGTCGATGTCATCGAACACGGGCAGATCAGGTTGCCGATTTGCCTGATTATTCATCAAACCAAATATCAATGGGGAGAAACTTGAGGTAGAGTTAGGCAATTGGGTATTGCCCGAAGCGACACTCGGGTTCTGGTTTTCCTCACCGTCAAACCACTGCATTGTATTTGTATTCAGTTCATCAAAGCTAGTCATATTGAATAAGGTAAGAAAAGAATGTGGAAAGAAGAAAGAAAGAGGAGTTGAACGATGAGTTTGAAAAAAGGGTTCCAGTGATATTAACAAAGTCCGCATCCCAAAAGCAGTCCTGTGGTTGCGCTTACGCGTACGCGGACCGAAAAATCCGATTGGTTGGTCGGCTACAAGTCCACCCGCTGCCTACGTATCTCACCGCTCAGTTCATTTGACTCATACACCTTTAAAACGCCTGTCTGAAACCCATTTACCTTTCAATCACACTGTGCTGTCTAAATTAGGAGAATAGATTTAGCACTTTGCATTCGCGTTTTCATCCTGTCCTATACATTAACTTACAGGTCATCTTTATGAACTCGATAATAGTATTCTGCAATATCTGATCGACCGAGAAAATCGACAAATTCTTCATCATGCGTGATGACGATCAACTGAAAGTTGGCTTGTTTTCTGCGAACCCGAATAATGCTGTTTACGACAAACCATTGTCAGCACGTGCATTGCGCCACATGGAAGGCACTGAAGGTTCTGATGCATACCTGGCCAAACTTGTTGCCAAGCTCTCAATGTTATCTCGATCAAGGTTCGTCGTGGGCTCATCCAGAGCTAATATTCCGCAGTTGATACAAAACGTCTCCGCCAACGCAAGCCGAATGATAATAGATGTCAGCACCTTTTGCCCTGCACTGCAACGCCCCCGCATTTGCATTTTAACCCCGTTCTGTACCATCATGACCTGGTGTGCAGGGAGCAATTAGTCACCCGTGACTGGCTTCTAGGTTTTCTCTTTCCATTGCAGTATACAACTTACTCTGTAATTATATGATCGGTTGGACGCTGGCCCATCGTTGTCTGACTGGATTTCGATATAGTCGATGTCTGCAAGCAGATGTCATTATCGTGAGAATGCATTCACCCACACAAATCGAACTCTCATTTTATCACCTACCTCCTCCTTTATAGGTATTAATCCAAAGTTCCTTGATGATTTTATTCAAATCTTCCATTTTCAGGGCATGGAACCGCATGATAGCCCTGAAGAGCAAATTGTCAGTAGTGGTGACTAACAAAACGTGGTTAGCTTGAGCACATACTTTTCAAGCGCAGAGGCATATTTGTTCATATCAGCGATAGCCATTTCCGATGCCTAGTGTCAATAGTACATTATAAGGAGGGGACAGGTAAGCTCAGCCATATCCAAGGCATGAAAAATTAGATCTTAGATATATTTACCCTGACGCCAATAAAATGCTTTCGATGCAGCTTATCAATGTCCTTATATTCAGTCTTGAGATCATATTCATAACGCTCGATTTGATCGTCCATTTGTCGGAGTTCTCCTTGGATTCCGCCACGCTATACCCCACACCAGAAAGGCATCAGTCACGCCAATACATCTTTATGTTACGTAACAATGACTTTTTCTCTCTCACTTTGTCAATTAATTCTGCTTGCCGACTCTGAAGTGTCTCAAGGTGACTTTCATAGGATGTGTTGTCCCATTGCTGCAGCTGGCGATGAAGTTCGTGGATTTCGACTTGCAATTTTTCGATGTTGGTTACAGCAGCTCGGTATCGCAGATTGTCAGTCAGATCACGCTCGAGATTTTTGACCTCACTTAGCCGCTTCTCTATTTCCGCCAACTTGGACGCCAGAGTCGCATTTTGAACTTTGATGCTCTCGACCTTTTTATCCAGTGCTTTCTTTTCCTCCAAACATCTGTTGAGTTGATCTGGACCGGCTTGTTCAACATACCTATCGACATATGTGAGCTCGAGATTCGAAGGGTGGGATAAGTATGTATGCTTACATTTGAATTGCCGCCGCAAATGACTTGAGTTTTCCAGAGTCTTGCTCCATTGAGTTGATCTCTTGTTGAAGTTCATCTTGCTCTTGAGCGCTACTTTCTTGAAACCTTCGAAGGTTCTGCAACAGCTCTCCAATTTTGGTTGACAGCGTGATAATCTTGTCGTCATTCTGGGATTGCGATGGTTCTAATGCTTTGCTATCGTTGAGCAGGGAATCAATTTGAGCCTGCAAGTTCTCCTTGGTTTGCAATTTCTGCTCCATATTGACAAGCTCTTCTCTGGCATCCCGCACCTTCACTTCAAGAAGTTGTGCTCTACTCGTCTGCCGAGTTCGATCATCATGTAACGCTTTGACCGCTCTTCGCAACGCTCTCCTACGTGCATGCATCAAATCAAGATTAAGAAAAAGGACAAAGACACAGTGAATGATAAAGTGGGAGCCTCTTTTACTTACCCTTTGTCAGCAAGCTGTTCCATCTCACGACTACATTCGTCTATGGTTTTGGTCGACCCCGATATACTGAGCTCTTCCTCTAACGACCGAATTTCATCTGATAGCACTCGAATTTCCGATTTGATGCGGACGACATCCTCAACCTTGCGTTTTACATTAGAGATATTCTTCCTTTCTTCTTCTAGGGTATGTACAGTTTCTTTCACCTTGAAAACAGAGCGATAAGTCGGTTATAATGTAACCAATGTACCTGTATTTACAGAAAAGCTTACTTTCTCAGATTCTGTTGCCAGCTGTCGTTTCGTTTCTTGTAGCTCAGTTTCTGAATTTTTGCAAATGTCCAACTCGACATCACGCAACTGTATGAGCTTGTTCCAGGAAGGCTGTGCTTGCTTCAACCGGGAGAGCCGTTCTTCTAAATCGACTATCTCTTGTTTGATTCCTCGTACTTGTTGAGGTTGCTTGACCATTAAATCATCAAGCTAGCATGATGGTTCATTGTAAAATGAATAGCGGTAATCGACTGGCTGTATAATCGATTCACTTACCTTCTTTACCAACACATCCATCTCTGAAGTGTCATGGAAACCACGTCTACACAAAGGACAAGTGTCGGTCTTTTTTGCTGCCGCCAAGAACCGCTTGTACATTTCAACAGCACCATCCACTCCAGACAGCATGCTATTGGGCGTGTTAGAAAAAATTTGAAAACAGGTATTTAACCATGTTATAATGTACCTTTTGTTTTCTTGGATTTCTGCTTCACAGTCGGCAATCATATCCGGTAGCCTTTCATCATTGCATACTTGACGAATTTGCTCCTCAAGGTCTGCGAAAGCAGATGATGAGATACGCCTTACTCGAGCAAATACTCACAAAGCATCTTACCTCGGCATTCACTTTTCTTCTTATTATAATCAGCTTGAGCAATATTCAATTTCGTTTCGGCGGAGGATACTTGTCCAATTAGATCAGATAATTGCTTATTTGCATTTCGTAGTTGTTGATCCTTGGTTCTAAATAAATTCACAAACAATTAATCGCTACCTCTGCCACTGCCCCACTTGCCGACAATACGCATCAACACATACTCTTCGGCACTTTCGACATCTTGCTCCAAGCCATCAATGGTAGGTTCATGGCCTGTCATCTTTTGTACGTGCTCTTTGCATTCAGCGTAGCTAATTACAATTGATCAGTCTTCGAAGGGATTTGCCTCGTTATATTTGGCATAATAATCAGGCACCTACAGTCCATTCATAGTTGCCGAAAGCCGGTCCCGATCCTGTTTCTTCAGGCTCAATTTAGCTCGAGTATCGCCTTGCTTGTTCAATACAGTGATCTCATCATTTCGGGCAGATATACCGTCGTCAACATCTCGCAGCTCTCTCTCTTTATCAGCCAGCTGTTCTGAAAGATTATCTGCCAAGCTTTCATTTCGGGATGCTTTTAGATCATTTTGGGCCTGCTCAAACTTCTGGCGCAAGTATTCTATTTCGCTTTTGCTTGCTTTGATTTCCTTCATCTGGCTGGTGAGTCGCTTGATATTTTGTTGATTGATTTCCTGGATATGCATGTTAGCACCAAAGTTTTATAAGAAAGTATGCACCGCATACGTACCAATTGCTTTTTGGTAAACTTTATGCCTTCTTCGAGACTGGTCTTCTCACTACGAACGAGTTGAATTTCGGAATCTAACTCTTCTCGTTTATCACTGGATTCTTTCTATGAACAAGAATTGCCATGCCATGCTTTAGCGTACGATTTCTTTAGCATATATGATTTGATTGCTTTCAACAATACTCCATACCTTCAATCTTAGTCGTGTGGCTTGCTTCTCTTCGATCAAACGAGCGAGCTTCTCTTCAAAGCGATTGATGTCATCGTTGCCAATATCCTCTTCACTAAGAGCCAAAAAGGAATATCGTTGATTTGCCTTGAGTATAATATCCTTTCGTTCTTTAATTCTTTGTTCGTTGGCCTGAAAGAGACCCATATATGCATTGCAATTAGTAGATAAGACTCTCATGAATAAAATGGACACGAAGTTCTTACATCTTTCTCGGCTTGAAGTTTTCCCAAGTGTGTCATCTTATCAAGAACCTGTTGTTGGTAGATCTTGAGCTGGGCTTCCAATGCACCTTGTTCTTCTGCTATGTGTTTCCTGGTTTCTTCGTCGGTGGATATACGTGACTGATGTTGCTCCTTCATCCTCTCCAGTTCTGTATCGGATTGCGACATCATTTTCATGTTGGCTGCGAGTTCATCTCGATTTTCGCCAGTGACCTGCATCTGGTGAACTTTCTGCTCAAGCTTAGCTTCCAGTGATTGGAGTTCTTGTACTTTTGCTAGAAGTGAGTCTATTTCGGCCGCTACTTCATGCATCTGCTGATCCAAAGTTGTCACACTCTGCCTCTTCTTTGCCATTTCGTTTTTCATCAATGCAACTGTTTTTCTAATCTTGACGGCCTTTTCCTTGTCACTTGCCATTGCCTGCAATTTTTGTGTGTCCACACGCAAGTTTTCATTTCGATTCTTTCGAAGGTCTTTGATATTAACGAGTGCTTTGGTATATTTCGTAGAGGAGAAGATTTCATCAAACTTTTTTTTTAGAATGCTTGCTTCTGACAATGGCCTTACGTACTCATACAATTAGCGCATGGATATCTAGCTCATTAAATTGATGAAACGAGACTCACCAGTTACTTTCTTCTTGATGGCAAAAGATGACATTGTCCAAGATAGCCTTTGGTACACCTAGATGTAGCGGCAGCTCTGCATCCAATTCGGCACACCGCGTACTGATACTATAAGTCTAATAGTATTTAAAATCAGCTTATATTGTACCCAGGTCGATATTGCCCTTTTTATACACCTACTTCGCCAGTCTGTTCATTTCGGGTCTGCAGCAAACTCTCCAAGGTCTTCAATTTTGCGGTGGTCTTGGTCTGCGTCAAGCTCATTGACCGCGTACATGTCATATGCGTGCCTCTAACGTTTTTGAATTTCAGTTTGATCTGGGCTTTGACCTCTGCCTTGCCTGCAAGCTAATACAAGACACTCTGCATTTATAATCCGTGTTACGCATGATGATTCTTGAACTCCAGCAACTGACCTTGGTATCGTGGATGAAGGCACCACCTTTGCTGTTTGGGGGGAGATCGCCCGTACATGCATACTTGAGACACTCAATGATCGTCTATAAAGTATGCGAATCAATTTATTAAAAAAATGGAAGGCCACTTTGAATACTGTCTGGCGACGCATATGTTTGCTAGATATCATAAAAGCTGCGCGTTCGCATAAGGGTACTGACCGTTTTTCCCGAGCCATTAGCACCGACAATTAGGGTGAGAGGGCTATAGAATTGAATGACATTTGGATTCTCAGGATCGAATGAGCGAATTCCTCGTATAAGGAGCTTGTCGACCGACGACATTAGGACAGAAGGAAGAGACAGTAGTGACTGCGAGGTAGCGAAAGTGGTTACCATGGCAATTTTTTGGACTGCCGTTTATGGATGCCACCCTAATTCTATTATCTCCATTGATTAAACACTATTAGTTGATGGCGGTACCCAAGTCCCCATCATAAAAGTCAGTCGATGCTCTATTCTCTTCAGAAACACATATTTATTATCCAATATAGTCAATCAATTTTGCCATCGGCCAGTGTCTAGAAAGATTACTTGATAATAAGATGTTTTTCAACTTTGTAAGCTCTTGATACGCGATAGTCTTCTCCTCGTCTTTTCCTTCTCTTTGAAAGTACTTGAGTACCGCCATCCCAGTCCAGCTGGACTCGACAGAATACAAGCACCAAGGGCTATTTGAAGCTGCATCCAAGTAGACCAGATGCAGGAGCTTTTGGGCAGACTCAAAGCATATATTTCGAGCGTCAACGATATCGCCATTTTCTTGGTGAGATGTGTTTGTCATTGGAAAGAACAGTTGGATCTTTAGAAAGTAGATATCTACGCTCAATTTGTAGTAGCCTTGTGCGCTGAACTCTGCTCCCGCTCTTCTATTTGGACTAATGTGATCCACTTCGGTATCAAAAAAGTGGCGAAGCTCGTCAATTTCGACGTCAAGATCATGGATTGCGGATATTTCAACTTCTGAGAATTGCATGCAGCTGGTGATTTTTCGAAATAGCTTTCGTAAATCCGTTCGGCATCTAGCATACTGGACACGAGCACATGTTTCTACATCTTCATTTGATAGAGGTGCCTGAGGAAGGACGGTGATTTCATGATCGGGTATCATCATTGTTGGCTTGTCGGTTTGTCCAACAGCCAGAGCGTCCAAAAAATAAATTAAGGACCAGAGTCGGCGATACGTCTCTTGCAATTCTTCGGAGAGCTCTGGATGGGCTACATGCATCTTGAGTTCTAATGCCATCTGAGTTGCCATTCCTAGATGCAAGTAAGAACCTGGTAGTCGGCGGCATGAAAGTGTTGCAGACGCCTTTCCAACGTGATACCCATATAAGAGTACAAGTGCAAAAACACAGTCAACATCATTGTTGTCGAACATGCACTCAAAAAGTTGATCCCGTGCAAGCTGATAGTAGGGTGCGCCGGCTTGTTCACCACCGCTGCCCGAGAACATCCCGTGAAATACAGCTGAATGCTTGCAAGCCCAAGCTGTCACGGCATTCATCAAAAACGGCTTGATTCCACCAGAGAAAAACTTTGTCCTAAACGCAGCTTTGCAAGGAATTTGATACCCTACATAGCATGTAAAAAATATATCCAAGAGTTGGTTCATGGTATCGCCATTGTTAAGCATCCCGGCGAATGTGGGTGGGTCAATATGATAGATGGTGGGATGTGCATTGTACAAAGGTACCAAGAGAAATGATGGCTGTGTATACACAGGTATCCTTGCAGTTGGCACTAGGGCGGTCTCATTTTCTGAGTTTGCTGGCTCGCCGTTAGTCGAAAATAAACTTGAGTATAGTAAGTCTCGTAACTTCTGAAAGCAGATGTTCTCGGTACGGAACTCTATCGATATTCCTTTGTCCGTCAGATAAAGGTCACAATCTTTTTGTGAAATGAACAGAGTGTCCTTTGTAGTAGACGATATGTCGCTATTCATCTGCTTGCTACTAGTGTGATCAAATTTCAGTGCTAGTAGTGAGTTGACAGAGTGTAGAACGTGCGTCAGGTCGTTTTGCAGTTCAGACATTGTACTTCCGAGTTCATCTACTGACGAAGATAGTTTGACTACGTCTTCTTCACGAATATGGAGTGCTGGCGGTCGATATATACAGTTGCGATTACTTTTTTCACATTGCCCGCACGATGGAACAGCCTATAATGCTGCGTTAGCCATCTGTAAGTGTCATATATTTGACATTTCTCTCCGCTTACCATGTCGCAATAGACTGTCAAAGTGCAATGACCGAGTTAATTCCTAGTGAAGGGACCAGTTGCTAGCTACATTCTGTTTACCTACCTTTTCTTGACCCACATGATTCACAAGCCATGCACGAATGGGAGGATGCAAGCTACTTAGAGTTGTTTGGTGGAAAAAAAAAAAGTTGAAGCAAAAGGGATGGGCTCGAACCCTAAAAATTTCGGACCGTCTCATCAGAGACAAAAAGTCACTTGTAGCAAATGTTCAGCTTTCAGAGTAATACTTTATTATTTATTGAGATTTTGCTCCAAGGCCATAGATAAAAGTAACAGTAGTTGGAGTATCTGATATTCCTCGCTTCATAGCCTCATCTATGATGGCTTGGCTCGCGGTGGCCCCAATGCGACTAACGCCAATGGACCTGACCGTCAATAAATCGTCGAGCGTACGAACACCACCTGCAGCTTTGATCTGGACATTTGGAGGACAGTACTCTCTCATAAGCTTTAAGTTTTCAATGGTTGCGCCTGTATAGTTATATGCATTGTTCTGTTTAACGAACCCGTAGCCAGTGGATGTTTTGACGAAGGCTACACCAATCTTTGAGCAAATTTCGCACAATTTGATGATATGTTGACTTTGCAAATAATCCGTTTCAAAAATAACTTTGAGGATAGCTCCACCGGCAACAACAGTAGAATTGATGGCGTTGATTTCTTCGTAGATGTAATCCCATTGCAATCCGAGAACTTTTCCAACGTTAACGACCATGTCAACTTCCTGGGCACCCTCCTCGACGACTTGCTGAGCTTCGAACACTTTCACTCGGATAGAGCTATTTCCAGCAGGAAAACCAATCACAGGACAAACCAGTACGTCAGTTCCTGATAGATAGTTCTTAGCCATTGAGGTTGCATAAGGCTTGACGCACGCTGAGGCAAGGCTCAAGTCCTTTGCGAGCTGGCACCCTTGTTTTAGATCCTCATCCGTCATTGTCGGATGCAACAAAGAGTGATCGATCATCTTGGCGATATCTTGTATAGTCACAGTGATATTTGAGTTTTCCATGGTGTTGTTTTTTGAAATTCAGAGAAAAGGTAGTACTTGTGGTTCCAATTTTATGGAAAAAGGCGCTGGACTGATGATCAAGAAGATCGGGGAAGAGCCCGAGATTGACATGCGGGGATCTCCCCGTGCGGACTTACTACACGTGATATAAAAGGCAATACAGGGCCAAAAATCAAAAGAGCAACTTTACTTGCCCTGAATGACTGTGGAACTGGTCTGTACTGACGTCGATGGTACCATAGTAGCGACTGTCTACCCGAAAACGGAGATATCTCAAAGGACTTTAGATGCCATAAAAAGTGTCTGTGACCAAGGCATCAAGTTCATTATAGCATCCGGACGACCCCTGAGGACAATGCTACCGGTAGCTGAACAACTGGATTACAATGGCATCATGATTTGTCTCAACGGTGCGCTGGTATATGACTACCAAAAGAAAATGGAGCTTTATTCCATCTCTATGACTCCTAGCACGGTCACTGAGTTGATCATTGACAGTATTCGAATCTTTGGCTCCCATGTCGGATTTGGGATAGAATCTGGAAATACCTTTCTCTGTGACAAGAAATACTTTTCCTTACGAGAGCTTTACATCAACCACGAATACCGTCTATTTGATAATCCTGTTGAAATGTCAAAAGCAATAGAAAAAGCTGAAAAACTCATCATCATACACGAAAACCTTTCTTCAGCTAAATTATATCCACAACTTTTGGATCATTTTGGAGACTCTCAATGGCAAAGCAAAATTCGTATTTCCTTAGGTCATCCACGGTTCATCGACATAAGCGCAGCTGGAGTGACAAAAGGTGTGGCATTGAAGAAAATGTGTGAAGGTTTGAACATCCTACCGGAAAATGTCGTTTCATTTGGAAATATGCTTAACGACACGGAGATGCTTCACTATGCTGGTAGAGGAATTGCAGTCGCCGATGCTCATCCACAACTTCTAGATAAAGCGGATGAAATTACAGATACTTGTGAGAATGATGGTGTCGCTATGGTTCTTGAAAGTATTTTAAGATAAGATCAAACGAAAAAATAAATTGGCTTGCAAAACAAACATTGTAGTACTTGGACCAGTACCACGGTTAGGACATTGTTCATCGGCATTCATTCCGCCACATTCAAGAGTGTGATAGTCATGATTTATATCGTAATCAACATTATCACGAAAACACATCTTTAACTATACTACATTGAAAGCATTGATTGTTCAGGAGCGAATAGTGAAAATTCCATTTAATAACGCTTAGTTGGTGCAGGAGGAACAGTAGTCGAAGGTCTGGCAGGGAGCGGATGAGGCGGACGATGATCTTTGCTAGAGCTGGAGTGATCATTTCGATTACTTCTGTCTCTATCTCTATCTCGATCACGTCCTCGATCTCTGTCCCTGTCTCTATCACGATCCCTATCACGATCCTTGTCTCTATCATGCCCATCCCTTCGATCAAGCTTATCATGATAGCTTCTATCTCTATCATACGATTTGTAGCGATCATTGTTATCGTATTTTCGACCTGCCTGGTTGGATCCGTATCCATGCCGTCCGGCGTAATTTGAGGACGGTAATGCTTGATGAGGTGGAGCTCCGATGGCGGGGAGAGAGCTATCTCTACCAGGTTTATGGGGACCATTGCCATTGTGATGCTCTTGCTTCTGTTTGCGTCTATCGTATTCGTGTGAAGCCTCATATTTCGGCAAGCTAAAGAGAGCTAGTTGGTTAAAACTAGTTGCACATATGTATACTTTCACCATCATCGCCATGACTTACTCCGTAGGTTCAGCAGGCAATGGGTTCGTCCAGAAATAGTCATGATCCAGAGCAGCGTCGGCAGTCAAACGCTTATTTTTGTCAAGGACCAGGAGTTGATCCAACAAACCAGCGGCCTGTGATCCAAAAGATGAAAATTCATCTTTGACTCGACGTTGGTATGGGCCAAACGTAACGGTGTTCGCTTGGGGTAAGTTATCCCAGTCCGGCATGGTTTCCTGCGTGGGAGAACCACATAACCAGAAGATTTTCTGCAGCTGGTCAAGATCGGTTGAACCTTGTAATATTGGTCTGGACTTTAACATTTCACCAAAGACACAGCTATGAAGTAACGGAATTAGTAATCTGAACTCCTTTAGCATCATACCCATGAATAAGTATTTTACCCAACACCCCACATATCAATGGCCGTTGTATATCGTCGTTCACCAAGGAAGAGTTCTGGTGGTCGGTACCATCTGGTTACAACGCAATTGGTATATTCTTTTCCATCTTCCTCCAGGCCTCTGGCCAATCCAAAGTCAGCTATTTGAAGTATACCTTCATTGCTGATTAAAAGATTGGCCGCCTTCATGTCACGATGCAAAATTTTGTTCTGCACAATATCGATGGTTTGTTAGAGTTTGGTTTCCCTTCCTTCAAACCATAAAATAAAAGCTTACATGATGTAAGTAGGAAGTTCCTTCCAAAAGTTGCTTGAGATAGGTTTTAATTTGGGGTACGGAGAGCTTAACAGATGGGTTCTCCAAAAGGCCAGCCAGATCATGGTCCATATACGGGAATACCATGTATATACTTGTTCTTTCTTTTTTACTTCGGTTTCCTAGTGATTGACAATGAGTAACTGGGTTATACACATTAATAGGAGCATGTATGACCATTACCTTTCTGAACTGCAATATCTGTCAAAGGAACGATATTTTTATGATGAAGCTGCTTCAGGATTTTGATCTCACGGATAGCTGTTATGGGCACTCCATCCTTTTCATTGTGCATAAGAATCCTTTTGAGGGCTACTAATTCTCCTGTTGGTTTTCGACGTGCTTTGTGTACTTCTCTGCAAATATTCGCGAATGAGGCATAGTGGCATGCATTGCACAACACCTCAGAAGCAAAACGTACCCAAATGTTCCTTCACCTAGCTTGTCCTCCATTTCATAGTCGGATATCCTGGAACAGCCGACATATTTCCTAGTCTCTTTTGGTGATCGTCGATGTTGTGGAGTATATTGGGGCGAAGAAGACGTTATAGAAGCAGGAGAGGCATTGCTGTAGTATGGTGGAGGAGAAGTTTGTGCTGGTGAATGAGTGTGATTCAGAGGACGCTTCTGGGTACTGGAATGAATGTCGTCGGTGGCTGATCTTTTCATTGTGGGCTAAAGCAGCAAACTCTCAAAGCCATACAGAAGCATGCCGTTGGAAGGAAAAGAAAAATTGGGTCAGTCGCAAGTGGTCACGTGGTTACCGAAAGTCTATGTGTGAGCGCTGCAGTTCGATATTGACACGGAAACTTATCATGGAGAAAGCTAGTCCCAATGTCGAAAGTCGGACATTGTTCTATGAACAGTTGAATTGCGTACCAGAAAGTAACGTAAGTTGATTGCTTTAAGAACCGGATTCTCTTTCTGGATAGTCACTCACGTCTCCACTTAGCCGGAACAAATAAGAGCTGAGTATAGAAGGCTGGCACTGCAATTTCATCCCGATAAAACAGCGGCCAACGAACAGGGCAAGTGTAAACCTAGAACCTCTAAACTCGATTAAGGACCCAGCGATTTTCTTATACCCGTCGTAGATAGCAAAGTATTTGATTCCATCCAGAAAGCTTATAGTATATTAAACGATCCAGCCAGGCGAGCTCTCTACGATCGTTGGCGGACAAGTCATTTGCAGATCCCCTTTGAAGTCTTTGAAGGCCTTGGTACACATGCTCAAGTAATCATTTATCTCTTACCTGTTGTATCATTCAGCTGGCCCTTCCATAACCTTTGATATCTGATATGATTTTCAGACGCTTCATTGGCAAACTCTGCCGTCTCAACAAACCATCACAGCAGCTTCAGATACTGCCTCCTCAGAAACTCAAATTAATCGATCTATACCAGTTTCAAATGACCGTCAAAAGGAAAGAATTCAAATACAGTCTGTATGGAAAACCAATGATTCCGATGCATTGTATGATAAATTTCGGAACTATGGACTTTAACGCCATGTGGAGAGCAAAAGACCAAGGAGTATGCATGTCGCAGTTGTTTCTGTGCTAGAATGTAGAAATGGCTTTTTGTAAAAGTTTATAAAGAACAAAGATATAAGAGAAATCCCGCTCGGTACATGTATTTACTTTTGTTGGCACTTACGGTGATGGCTGTCAAATTATGGAACATTCATTATCAAGGTTCAGCCCTTCGGCTTCAAGTCACTCCATATTATATTCACGCAGACATCAAGCTTAAAATTTTAATAACATAACCAAGGTAAAATGCTTGACTACTTTCATTACTCCTCTTCTTCCTCTTCTTCCTCCTCGTTGTCTGTTACATCTTGTCCTAGTGACCTGAGTCTATCTTTATACTTTTTGATGTCCATATCTTGTTCACCTGTTATAATAGGATGAATCAGCAGTGAACGTTATTCGTGTCGATTGAAGTGCTCTTCAACTTACCCATACAAACTAACAAGTCTTCTTGTTCCTTCTCTAGAGTGGCAAATCTCGCTTGCTCTCTAAGATATTTGTCCTCTACTTCTCTCTTCTCATCTTCGGCAGCCTGCTTTTCAGTAGTCTGTGATCATAACATGTTGAGAGTGGAAGCTGCAATTTAGCCTATGGCACTGATATACAATACAAAGCGTGGCACTTACCAAAGCCTGGACTTGACCCTGCAGTTGAGCTAGCTGTGCTTTCAGATTCTTGATTTCATTATCTTGTTTGCTGATAATATCTTTATAAGATTGTATCTCATTGCTCCCTGATGACTGGTTATTAGCTCCTGTATCATATAACCAAAGGTCAGTACATTGATATGTCTTCCTGCAAGGGATGCTTTCTACTTACCAAAATTTTTGGTTTTCGCAGCCTTGGGACTACGAGTGATGGCTCTCTGAATGGAATCTGCAAGAAGGCAATTTTCAGTAAAAGGTATATATACAAGCACTGTTTTGGACATCGCATGAACACGAACCATATGACTCCTTGAACAGCTCGACAAAATGGTAATCCAGTACCAGCATTGGCAAACTTCCGTTCAAATTGAAGGCCTCATCCTCTTCAGCAGAAACATACATGGTCTTCGACACATTGATGAAAGCAGCGGAATCCCGAAGCCGTGATAAACGATTCTTGAATTGATCTGCTCCAACACGGTTGAGCAATATGTCTCTCAAGGTTTCTCTGTAAAACAGACGATCAGAAGAAAAATTTCACGTTTACCACATCCACTCTCTCTCATACCTGCTGAATGCAGAGTCATTATCGTCGTCATACTCGAACGCGATTCCGAGTAAGAACGCTGCCAATCCCTGAATTACGGGATCAACGTTCGTTTTTTGCATCTCTTCAATTAACTGTGGAGGTACAAAAAATACGGAGTGTTATTAATACACGGGTTTTAAAGCTCATGATCCTCGCCTACACCAACTTACAAATTGAACGTGAATTCCTTCGGAAAGAAACTGTTTAACAGAGGATGAGCTCTCAAACAACCAAGTACACAGCAGACAAAGGTATCCAATGGGTGCTCGAGAAGCAGCAGGAGATTCTTTGGACGACAGCATCAAAGCTGCCATCACCTGATGTAATAAAGGCACTGGTTCTTCACCTACACACAGTATAATAAGTATACAGAAGCAGGTACATATAAGCAACTGGCTATGCTCCTACCTTCTGCCTCCTCGCCGAATGTTACTCTACCGGCAACTTCTTTCGCTTTTTCATTTCCGCTCAAGATATGAGACAAGATAACACAAGCAAACCATGCAGAATATGGATCATTTTCGTTTGTGTGCCCATTTTCAATAGCCTCAAGCAAGAGAGATCCAGCTGAATGAGGTTTATCTAACAATCAAACATCAGATGATCCACCTTATGAAGCAGTACCGCTAGTATGCACATACCTGTAAACTTGGAATTGGCATTATCTTCAGGAACCTTTTGTAACGTTCCTGCCAACACCAACTGATTTTCATGGTTGTCATCAATGCAACAAGTTGCAGCAAAAGCAGCAGCAGCCCTGCTAGATAGTGCGTAATGACTTTGGGTATCACTAGCCGCTGCAATGGATATGAGAGACACTAATGCTGGCCGAGGAACATTCGCAGGAGTTGTGATATCATTGTTAGGCGTAGTAAAATCAGGCTGGTTGGCAACCATGGTTCTAATGAAAGCTGTCTGATTCGTCTCATTTGCACACACCAAATAGCCAATGGCATACAAAGCTTCCGTTCGGACACGCGGAGGTGCATTAGAGCAGAGAGCTAGTTGAATAACGGGAAGTAATATGCCACTTTGAGCCATCACCTTCTGGTTGACGGCAGTGTTGATACCAGCAGGCTCTGTCAGAATTCGAATGAGCTGGAGAACAAGAATGGTGTTTGAGACTTTCTGAGTTGGCCAATCCTCGTACGAGTATGGAACATGTTCAGCATTGCTGTCTCCAACATATCCTAAAAGGCCAGGGATTTGCTGGATACAACTGGTTTCCCTAAAATAGTTCTGATTCCACGAATATCAACTTTAGTTCCATTCTCTATGCCACCAATGAAAGCTTTTAGCGATACATACCTGATTGGAAACATTATATCTTAAAAGATTGTGAGTCAACGAAAGACTGTCTTGGACGATGATTCCTCCTGAAATCCCTTCCTCTTCCTCGATGATTGCAAGGAGCCGTTCAAAAGTATTTCCAAACGCTACAATCTTTTGAATATCGGCATTCGTTTCGGTCAATGAAATCATAAGCAAAAGTCCCTCTGTGTCGGAAATCTGCGTTAGGACTGGCGTTGATCTCCCCAAGTGTATTCAGTTTCCCCCCCCCATATACTTACCGTTTCGCACAATTTCTCGCTTATCATCCAGCAGTTCGATGAGACGTGTAATTCCGATAGGGCTGGTCAGAATGCATTCTTGAATTCGATCGCTACGGTTAAATAATAAAGTGACCAGAAGCTTGACAGTGTTGAATCGAACGTAGAAATCGAATTCCTCCAAGATATCCAATAAGATTGTAACATTTTTAGCGTCCTAAACACATATTGTAGGCATACGTTAGATGCTATAGATATACGATACGACCAGAATAACTCTCTAAAAGCCAATCGTACCTGAATGAATTGATCTGTGAAGCGAAGTGCATATCCCGATGCTTTTGACTAACAACTGCATGTGAATACATTTTCCTTTCCTCTTTGAGTCTGATACTATCTGCTATTTTACCTTTTCAGAGACGGTGCACAGAATGTTGATGGTCTCCAAAACAGCTTTCGTAATGTCAGTATCCTTGTAATCTTCGTGCAAGACTTTGATGAGCCCGTTTAAACTCCTATCTCCCACTTTCTAGTAGAGTATGTGATTAGATTCAAAGTAACCCATCTGGCATGCCGGTCCATCTTGCCATACCTCTGTCCAATCTCGAGCTAGACCCTTTAGGCTAAGAACGCCAGCCCTCCGATCCTCAAGCAAAGTGGCGTGTTGAACACAGTCAGCCAGTTTGTCGATTGTTTCATCAGCAGATTGAGGCTGCCCTTTATCCGACAGAAAGGCATTGTAACCTCTAGTTAGAAAATCCATTGTAACAAAGGGGAAAAGCTACTCAGATAGCGTACGAACGCTCATGCCACCATAAAACCCAACCGTAAGGTTACACGTGATCATAAAAATCCAGCATTGATTTGCGAGTGCTTTATGCCTCTAAAAAGGAACGTTCGTAGTTACAATAGATTACTTAGTACATAGGATTGATATATAGATTTTTTATGATGACCACCACTTGCGGCCCACGTTCATGACACGATTGATGAGGTCTGAGGCAGGAACACTTGGTTCCTCTTGATCGTGGGTCTCTTCATGCTCCGACCAGCCTTCTTCCGCATAGTTTGGGGTATCATTTTCATTAATAGTATTATCCAGGAGGCCATTGTAATTTTGAAGTTGTGAATAGCGCGCGCGGGATCGATCATTGCTTTCGAGTTCTGTATCACTAGCAAAATAAATCCATTCAGTTAGCTTTTACGCCACCTAATTGGTCAAAAAGAGATAAATACAGTTCAACTTACGATTCTACTTCAGGCTGTTTTCCTAAGGTAGCTGCTGCTGTCGCTGCTGCTGATGAAATTTTTTGGTTGTCGGGTGTATTTTCATTTTTTCGAATCATCATATTCTCCTTTATGAACGTTAATTTGTCGGTCAAGTCTACCAACTTTGTAGTGAACAGCGTTTGTGCCGCTTGTATTGCTTCTGCTTCTGCTTTTGGATTATGCGTTTGCGGATATTCTTGCTCTTGGTAACCTCCGGAAGTTGAAGACATGTCATCCAGTTGATTATGGTCATACATGAGCTGAGGCATCTATATTATTGCATAAGTCAATATTACAACAATATCTTCATCAGTTTCATTATCTTGTCTTTAAATTTACCTGTTGGTCTTCCAAAATACGTGCATCCTCTGTATCCTCTTCTGGGTATATTTCATAAAATTGAGACTGTGAGTGTGTTGGATGTCGTCTTCTAGATTTGCGAGTCGATCGTCGCCCTCGTCGCCCTCGAGATAGGGACCCGCTCTGATCTGTATCCGTTGTTGTAGTGCTTATAACAGATTCAAGGCCGGTTACGTAGCCTTCGTCCGTTTGTCGGCGCTTTTTTTTTTTTCTGTGAATTTGTGCCTGGTGATTATATAGTTCCTGAGGTACAGGTTCATCTGGAGGTAGCTGAATTGGTTGAGTTTGCCTAGATGGCATGCATATGCAAAGCTGGGAAGCTGAAGGAAAGTAGTTCCTCCAGGTCAAATCGAATGCATTGGAGTCCATTCGATAGGCAAGAAAGCGAAGAAGTGGCAGTTTCCTCAAAGTCAGAGCTGGTCAAGAAAAATGACCCAAAATTGGGCACCATCACATGAAATTTCTTGAAGCTGACATTCTCTCATTTTTTGGTCACACCCACACCATTCAGTCCTCGTTTAGCATTGCCCTGAACGGTTGGAACCTCTTTATTACTCCACTATTCTGTGCATACAGCCGAATACTTTGACTATGTTCCTTTTCCTGGACTATATGCCAACAACTCGCAATATTGCTCGTTACAAAATATGATGGAAGCTACTTGGAATCTTTCTTAACGTTGGTGCCAAACCACGACAATTTTACTACCGTTCATTATTTCGCCATGTGCATTGACATGTTTGACCCGAGACGTTTGTACAACACTTGCACGATTTCATATGTTGTAAATTTGCTGACTGGACATAATCCACAAAGAATACCACCGTTTACATTTCAACCAAGTGTACATTACTCATTTGTGCTCAAATCGATTTCAATGTTACTTTGGCTTACGGCTGTTACTCAAAGCAGTATTATACTTGTGGAAGTCACCCATCTGAACATACTAGACAGAAACCCCATGTTACATGTTCAACAAAATATACAGTCCCGGCTTCCAACTGAAGAATAACTACATAAATCTCTTCTATTTCGACGGGTCATCTTATTTGACATTGATATAATATGTCGATTTTGTTAAATCCGAATGTGTGGGAAACGTGTGTGAGCTGGATGTGAACCATTCGGTTGAAGCTAAAATTTTGTAGGCTATACAGTTCATTGTTGGGGCGACTTGACACCTGGATCGTGCTTCAATATTCTTGTTTATCCATGTGTTATTTTCTGAAAGAAACAACCAAGCAAATATACCCTAAAGCTCTTATCAACTCGGCTCGTACAATAATGCCAAGGAATACTACAAAGGCTACCTGGCCAACTTGTGTACTCTGTTGTTCGTGGCTCTCTACACGTGACTTTTTGCAATGATCCTCATGAGCTGTTCATACCTTGGAAAGTAAACGTTGTCCTCTCTTCATCTTCTTTCGATTTCACAATCTCCTGCAGTTATACTCTGGTAGCCTGTGTACTTAATCAGTGTGATCCGTATCGATTACCATCTGGAATGGCAGAATGGAACAATCTGTTGAACATCGCCAGAGAGACTAATGTCAGGCCTAATCGCAACAGCCCTTGTCACCTAAACAATCATGCACATCTACATAAAAAAATTTATATAGTATTGAAAAGACATTAATAATATACGACAAAGCGCACAATTGAAAAGCCTAGGGTAAACGGTTTATCAGCAGCTTGAGTTCTCCACTTTCGACATTGTATTTCACCAATGTACGATAGATCTGTCTTCAATCGATTGAGGCTCATAGATTCTTTCAGTCGGTGCAAAATGGCCGCATATTTTGATTAATTGAGCTTGTACGTGCGCGGGCATTGTGGATCACTTTTGGTCGAAGTAATTGATGTTGAAAGTGTGTCTATGGCACCCGTCTCTTCGGGTCGGATGATGTCTAAAGAAAAAATTAACCTCCGTATGTAATTAGCTTCAGTATAATCTATATTTTTATGCAGTAGAGTTGTCTAAAAAAGAATGACCGCTAAATGAAGGCACCGTAATGAGACTTTTAACCAATTTCTCGTTTTGCCCGTAAAAAATAACTATAGCTCACTCGACCCTAAAATTCTCAATCTCAGTTTTCTCTTATAAATTCGATGACTTTAAAAAACTGTTTCTAAATTTTTTTAACCCTTTTCAGAGAGATCGATGGTTTCAGAAAGAAATAGATAATTCGTTTGTACCAATATGCCCCTGAGTATGAAAGAGTATTACTCATTTTGATGCAAAGCACTATACCATTTTTCCCACACTATATTAAGAAGCAATAAATGATACCAAAGTAAGTCGCATCTATATAAGCTAGAGGCTCCCATTTAGCCTCAATATGAATACTATACTTTAGACCCTTCCTTGTATCACTATTTGCGCACGTGATAACTACGGTGGTCCAAATTTCAGAATTGGAGAGATGGCCGAGTTGGTCTAAGGCGTCAGGTTAAGGCCCTGATCTCTTCGGAGGCGTGGGTTCGAATCCCACTCTCTTCAAATTTTTATTGGCTGTTAGTTTTAATCTAACGCTTTTGATTGGTTCGTTCAACTAGAGTAACAATGTTTGATTGGTCGGTTATGAAGTTTTCCCACTGGTAATTTGCAGGGCGAAGTGTCGTTTTGCCCCATATAGACGTGCGGACGATTCGTTCTATGTACAAAGATTGCACTCATGTGCATTATTCGTTCCCAGCGATATCGAACCTCCTCTCATCATGGTTTTTTGATTCATTTGTCATGAAGCAGGTGACGCATTTCACCGCTTGTTACTATTATCGTACTGTGTTGGCTTTTTAAGTATATAACCAAACCTTTGAATTTGGGTAGCAACCTCAAGAACTTCCACAAGTACAGCAGGGGATGTTAACATTGAAAATGGTTACTTGTAAAAAGCCAGCATACCAGGGTATATGTGGAAGTAAAGAAGGCTGGCTCCGATGGTGACGACTTTAACTCGACTGCCGCACGCTCTACAGCAAAAAAATAATTTCTCAGAAAACATAAATTTACAACCAGTTAAAGTTGGAGGCAAGAGCCAATCAAACTTTGTTACTCTAGTTGAACGAACCAATCAAAAGCGTTAGATTAAAACTAACAGCCAATAAAAATTTGAAGAGAGTGGGATTCGAACCCACGCCTCCGAAGAGATCAGGGCCTTAACCTGACGCCTTAGACCAACTCGGCCATCTCTCCAATTCTGAAATTTGGACCACCGTAGTTATCACGTGCGCAAATAGTGACACAAGGAAGGGTCTAAGGTAAATTTACTGTCTAGAGATGGAGTACATGCGTTTTACCAAATTGAATCGACTGTAGTTAGATTAAATTATGCACGAATTTTTGAATTAATTTTTTTGTCATAATCTTTGGACGTAATATTTGGACTTTGTACGAATTTCTCACATGACGGCTATTTTTGCCTAAACTATGGACGGCTCGATTCTAATAAATGCACTGCGGATTTCTACTGGATGATAAACGAGAGACCAGGTTTTATTGAAAAAGATCAGGAAAACGGAGTTCGATGGAATCGTATGTTTGTTATTTTTCACTACGCCCTGCCGATGACACATCATGTCTCAGCTGCAGCTGTCATTGAACTTTGCCTTTCTACCGTTATGCCAGAAAAGGAACTTTGCAACTGTCCTGGTATTCTCATCTATTTGCCAAAATTAGTTTTTATAAATCTCCTTTTTTTCCTGTCCAGTCATCTCGAACATGGCCTTTTTGAGACAGTATGCTTAAGTTGACTATGGTAAATTGTCGACCGCGGGGATTGTTTCAAAATGGCGAGAAAGAACAAAAGGCTAATGAAATGAAAACCATAACAATTTGAACGCAACCACAGAACGGTGAGAGTAAGCTGTAGAAAATGTACAGTATAAGTGTCTGAATGGACTGTAGTTAAACCAATCAAAAAAAACAAAGAGCGCCACTACACATGCATCAAAAAGTGCAGTAAATTAACTCTTATTCTATCCCGAAATGTTTAGGTTATGCATTCATCCTATCAATCAATCAGATGTAAGAACAATTACCGCTTTTAATTACAAAATTTGGTTACTATATACAACTAATGGAGGCTATTTCCAGAATAGCTATCAACCAGAGGCTTCTCCAGAAGTATGGGATAAGGTGGTTAATTCCATCGCGTCTAATTGACCACTCTCCATCCGCCGGTCCAAGCTTTTGACAGGAGGTGATGGTAGCTGCAGTACCTGTACTGAGCTTCGAGTACTTCGATTACAATTGTTACTGGTCTCTCTCATTAAACGCTTAACGAAGTTGGTTGTAATCAAAACGTTGATAGTCATATCTGATTTTACCAGAATCAAATCGTATTTTGGCGGTATGACAGTCAGGACGAGCAGTAGAGAAAATACAACTTGTGATATTCCAGATAGTGTAGCACTAGCCGCAGATGAAATGAAGATGATTTGTAGAAGCGAGTCCTTACGAGTTCGGCGAGCTTTGATCATTTGATGGGAAAATACGGCGGTCAAGATCACGCCGCCTATGATCAATGTGCCGTACCAACCAGCCGTAAGATATGGAGGGAGAACAGGAGAGCATGCATTGTTGGCTAGCTGAACAGGCGCTGCCCTGATGCAAACTGCTAATCCAGTGCCGATCTGCGCTGCAATAATGACGGAAGAAATTACCCAGAAGGATCGGCGAAAGGCTAAGGATGTCAATGTGATTACAGCGGAGGCACGAAAAACCATGAGGAAGGTTGTACTGATGACCGACGCTTGATAGAAGAGTGAACCGACAGGTACCCACCAGCAATGTCCAGGAGGAAACAGGGTGAGAAAAAGCAACATACATAGGTTAATTGCTCCACAACAAGAACATATAAAGCATATGATCTGCAGCTTTGCTCTTCTCTCCATAAGAAAGCCGATGGATTGAAAAGTACTGCTGACACATAGCGCAAAGCATGCAGCCAACACAGCAATATACACCGACAGATACTCTGCATCTGTCAGAGCCATGCAAGATAGGATGGAAAAAACTGTGGAAGATGATCGAAAGAACGAAACAGAAAAAGTATTTCACCAAATTGTCCATGCAAAATATTATGTATTTTAGCCACATTCGCCCAATATGGGACAGACGACAAAGGCGGACCCTCCTCCCCCCCCACCAAAAAAAAAAAACCTGTTACGTTTGCTGTGATAACTCAAACATTTTTCACAGAGGGCTTGGCTAATGCTTCTACCGTCCGTCAACTACTTGGCTAAAGCTTCCACCGTCCATCAAATTTTAGTCATCTATCAAGGCCAAAGCAAATCTGTGCAGGATGCATAACTTTTCACCAAGCCGAGGTACGCCATGACATATTTTCTTTGGTTTGGCGAGTTTTAGAGAAATAATGCGTCTCTCTATTTCTTGTCTCATATCTTCATTTTTCCTACTCTTAGCGAAAGCTATCCAAATCAAATGGGTAAATACGCAGACGGACGATATCAAACTTTATTCAGAAGCTACTGGTGACCCAAAGGGCCATGCCATAGTATTTGTCCATGGATTTGCTCAGGCCGGTCTGGCGTTCGATCATCAATTTCACGATCATGATCTCACAAACAGGTTTTACATGGTGCGATACGACATGCGTGGCCATGGCTGGTCTTCTGCTCCTGATAGCTTGGACGCGTATAACTCTGATACCAAGTGGGGTCAGGATTTGCAGTCGGTCATTCAGGCATGGGATCTCAAAAACGTCAGTCTAGTCGGTTGGTCATATGGCGGTGTTGTGATTAGCGAATACGTACGAGTTGCAGGTCAAGATAATGTTGCCAATATGATCTATGTCGATGCTTCTACTTCGATTGGCATTCCGGGCCCAAGTACTTTGAATCCAAATTACACCGCCATCTTCCCAACTGTTGTTTCAACCGATTATGAAACAAGAATGCTAGGATTCAAGAGTTTCGTTGCAATGATCACTAAGGAACCGCTGTCACAGGATACTTATATGAAGGCACTTGGATGGATGCTTGCGACGAAACCCATCTGCTCTCAAGGAATGCGCAAAAGGGTTTCGGACAATACTGAGACTTTAAAAAATCTGAGGAAGCCAACTTTAATCATTCAGGCTGACGATGACCGTATTCAGCTACCGCTTTGTTCCCAAATGACTTTACAGTTGATACCCAATAGTAAATTAGTTACTATAGATAACGCAGGACATGCTTGCTTTCTTGATCAACCTCAAGTTTTTAATCAACTAATCTCGCAATTCATCGGTCATTAACATACTGCAGTAGTGGTTTGCTGTCAATAAAAAGTAGACAATCGGTCTATTGGATGGGGGTCATCCTGACCTAGCTATTGATACTGAAAAACGCTACATTACATAGGTGACCGCAGCTTGATATCGCCAAGATAAAATCAAAAATAGTATGAAAAAAGATATGACAAGGGTTGAAGATGTATTGATCATCAACTTTGATATACAAGTAAGGATGGCTCGTTCTCATATAACGTGCCATGACCATGGCTGTTAAGAGTTATGATACAGTTTAATTATGATTGTACAAATAACTCAGAATGTAACCCCATCAAGTAGATGGATATGTAAAATACGAAGTACAGTGCTTCGGAGAGCGAGATGGAATCCACTACTTTCCGTAACATTTTTCTATGGAGCCCGCGTCGTTACCCCTATATAGTATTGAATAAACCGTTAGCAAATGGTCATTTGCGTTTTGCCTATTCATCAAGGGTTACTTACCACCAGTTTGGCATCTTGACTTGTTTTCCAGCAGAAAAGAAGATAAAGATCGACTAAGCACGGTGACGCTACTTTTAGCCATAGTTTATATTAATGCTCGAGATTATCAACACCTCAACTTACCAATACTGCCAAATTAAAGCCAGTGTCCAAAGCACTTCCCACTAAATAGTTGTATTTTCTCCAAATCTCATGGCGATATCTTGAAGTCGCTCAGCTTAGTTAGTTATTTACCAAGTGGAAACAGTCTACCACATGGTTTCAAAAAAAGCACCTACCTGAATAGATAAAATTGACTGAAGAAGCCTACAAGGATAGAAGACAACGGACCCGTACTCAAGTTTCCCCACCAATTAGAAACCCTATTTCAAAGTTGATTAGCTCATGATATTATTTCTTATCAGGTTTACCAATCATTCCTTACCCTCCAAAGAAAATGGTAGCATTCCATAAATCGAATCTTGCTTTTGGAAAACGGCGGTGTAGTATATATAAGATCATTGGAGCAACTGCTCCAACTAAAAAGCCATACAGCAAGGGTGAATAAGTTGAGTCCGCAAACAAAATCTTCGGGCCAATCAAGCCATATTGAGTACTTGAAGTCTAGTCACAGATGGTAAGATATCGATGATGTTTCTGCAATATTCTTGATAATGTATTTCAAGCATACGTACATAGTAAGACTTGGCTGCCTGGCCGCTATATTGTCCATTAGGATCCGTCAGCGTTCCATCGAGATAGGGTCTCTTGGAATTGACAACCTATGTTGAGGATTACCATATACTGACTTAGTAAAATAGAGCATTCATCGACCGTTTTTGAGAATTTGCTTACCCATCGGATAACTGCATAATTGATTGGAGAGCCAAGGAACGTCCCAAACACTTGAGAGAAGAAAACAAGCTGATAAAAGTGAAATTTCAGTTATACAGTTACCATACATCTAGCCTAAAATACCACTTACACGAGGAGGAATCATCATATAATGACCTAGCTTCATATCCAAAAGAATAGACTGCGCACGGTACCAGGTTTCGGCTGCGATACAGCGGTAGAAAAGTGAAACGGTTGGGTGTAGACCAGGCGCCATGTAACCAAACAACAATTCGTTGAAGACTCCAACTTGAACTTGATAGTTTGAGATGGCAAAAATATAACCCATAGGCACAACGCACAGAGCTCCAAACAGCACGGCAACCACAAAAGTCCATATGGGCACACCAAACTCGCCTTTGATGATGGTAACTAGAACTGTAACAAAAGATAAAACAAACAAGATTGTCCACCATAGTAAGGGGACTTCAGGGTACTTGGACATGATTTGACTGAGCTTGTCGCTGCGAGAGGCTCTGGAATCTCGTTGCCGCAGTTGCTTAAAGGTGGCCAATAACTTGGGTCCAGCGAACAGAACGATGTACACAAAGACGCTGATGTAGGATGCATATGAGGCGAAGATGGTGAGCATATAGTATGGTGAGATGCGCACAGGACCTTCAATTGCATAGGCAGTCTCATTGAAAGTGTAGCTTGGTATGGATATAATTTGGGTGACATTGTAAGACTTTCCGTCAGTAGTCCACAATGCTTGCGAAAATATCGGAATAATATCCGCATTCCATAAGCCTAGAAACCAGTATACATTAAACTTGGGGTAATCTCATTCTGCATAATGAAAGCTGCGTACCTTTGAAATGGATGATGGGAACAATGATCCACATAGTCACAACAAAGCTTGTGAACGTTATAACTTGAGTCCACCAAGGCATTAAATAAACAGATCCAGTGGAATTGCTAAAGTTGGCCCAATCTAAACTGAAGTTTAGAAATCCCATACCGCCGATACCAGAGCCAACAAACTGTGAAAACTTGGTTTAGAACTTCATTAATGGAGGAGTGCTGTATCATGTAATGTACTATACCTTTGCTGTGGGGTTATGTGGAGCGAACCTATCGAATTAAAGCAAAAATTAATGCTTAACTTGACACTGTAATGCACCGCTTATTCTCCAGAAGATTAAACTTACCAGCATATAACAGCCAGAGAGCTTAGGAAGGGAAAGATGTATTCGGGCAAGAACTCCCAAAAGTAGATACCAACTGCTACGATAGCGAATATACGAAGCTGCTTGCTAGCGGCAGACTTATCAAACGTATCTTTCCTAAGGGTTCTGAAAAGCTGTGTCTGCATGAGAGCTTGGGGGAATATGAATTCCGGCTCATAGATGAGAAAATTTCTGGCAATGCAGGCAAAGGAATAGGACAAGGTAATGGCGGATATCATAAAAAATATTGCGGCAGCAGGATGGTAAACTCTCTCGAAGAAGATATCTGTTGGTCGTACACGCAGTTAGTTCCGGAGTGCAAATTTTTGAGCACCAACATATGCTAAATCTTCATTACCGGCTGTTGCAATAGCGATTTCACCTAAATGGGGTAGTTCATGCGCATCTTGTTAGTTTTTGAATAATAGATATAAAAGATACATCACATCCCATATTTACCCAAGTTATTCTGGCTCCCAGACGCCACACTAACAGCATGTTAGAAAACGAATGTAATGACATGACAGGTGCAGCACAACAGGCTCCAACTTACCATAATGTGATAAGGACATGTTCCTTGAGAGAAAACGGACCGGGATTCTAAAACGAAGTCGGTGAAGATAAGCTTAAGGTCCATATTTGTATAAGGTTGGCGGCTCGCTCAGCTTACCAAACTAAACGAGTACTTTCCACTGCCAATTGTCCAGTCAGGTAATATTTTAGCCAACCAATGGCCCAGCCAATGCGTCGCAACTTGTACAAAAAGGATGCTGAAGGGAGCGGAAGTTGTACGAAACCATGATAGCTGGGTGATGAATGCACCTAATACCGAAAACGAGACACCAAGAAGGAAAAATCTTTGACCAATCGCGTAAACAGACAACTTTGTTAGCCCCACAACCCATTTGTTTTCGAACACAAAAGTATTGATGGATACCTGAAGGTGATAGTCAGATCTTCTGGTCTATCTTCCAGAGAAACGATTTCGCGAACAATAACTGGCAATCCCTCGGCTTCTGCAACTTGCTCAATTTTCTCCTCGCCGTCACCTGACGTCAAGCTTGGTTCCTTCTCTGGCAAAGAAGCAAAATCTTCTTTCGTAGATTTAACGCTGAGGCTTTCCAGGGCATCTTCAAAACCTCTTTTATCATTTGTAGCTGTATCTGTCATTCACTCTGATACTGTTGTCTGCAAGAGAGAAGAAAGAGAAAAAAATAAGAAGTCAAAATTTAGCTCTTGGGGGTCTGATCCAGCATTCTTATTTGTACTGATAACGGTTAAAAAAGGAGGGGCTATACACCATGTTTGTCGTTCTGCATTCTGATTGCATCATTTGACCACTCTCGTATGAAGAAGGCTTTCTATCAAAAATTGATCCAATCAACGATCTCTTTTACAACAACTCTTTCTCTATCAACCAAAAGCATTTAGTACACCATCCATTAATTGACGCTTGTTTTGTCACATATTATAGCTATCGAATGTGATGAACGCTTCAGTTATCAAACATGGTTAGAACTGGTGCAATGGAGAGGTGAGTATGTGCCATTTCCGCTGTGCATGGCGTGCTACCGATTACATTTACTGGTCACAATCTTGCATTTGATAGCTTCATATCATTGGACCTTCGAGATACTTGAAAAATCCAGTTACAACAATCGACCGAATGGCTTGCGGTATCCACAATAGCAATGTTTTGTTGAACCATCTTTCCACACCAGCCCATTTTTTTTTTTATCTCTTAACGGTAGATATTGAATTTTATTTGTATTCTGCAGGGACCTAATTTGGACAAAAAGCGGGTTGGTACGACATGGTTGGGGCTTCTGACCCGATGGTAAAGGACATGACAACGAACCTGAAAACATATCCAAGCACATCGATGGCGACATCCCCGAATGCTAAACTTCGCATTAGAAGGTTGTATCGCAATGCTCTGCCATAAAAGGAATTTGAAGACGAATTCTTGAATAATACTACTGTAGGAGCCGTTCATGTAACGGTGTTCAGGGAAAGATTTGTAGCCTTTCAACTCCTCTGATAATTCAACATGCATTAGCCACAACACTAACAAATTTGTCAAGTTTACACCAAAAGATTATTTCTTGTTCAAAACAAAGACTTATGATGCTCATACCTTGCTAATAGACACTCCTAGGTTTACCATCCGTCTCATGTACCTTGTTTAGGCGGTTTATTTTAACGAACATATAAAGTACATGATCAAAATGCAATATATACCCTGTGGAGCATAAAATGTTGACATTTATTTAAGCAAGTAAAAAAAAAGCATCCTCAACTGTCTAAACGTGGTTAATTTAGATGCTGGCAGAATATCAGCATTTCATATGGAAGTGATGAGCTTTTTTCTTCTTCTTCTAGAGATGTGCCTAAAATAAAAATTCTGCAATACCAACTAAAAGCCATGATAGCTGCCATAAAGCGCTATCCCGCTTTATCAACTAGAGTTTGCAGCGTTCCTTCTGCATTTCCGTTGTAACGGAAGACGAGAGAGGGGTTTGAAATTGCAGACCCGCCCCTTATATTACTTTTACAAACAAAAAGCTCGTTTTACAGAGAGTATTAGCAGTTTGGATGACAATAAAATATATCTAATGCTGCTGACATGAAAGGCTGGCAGATGCACGTTTCGTACACTGATAATCACCGGCTGAATGTTTCGCCATCAGAATTAAAAGTAACCCGAAGCTTCGGTCGGGAACTACTAAGTCTTTTCCGTCCTAGTTGAATAGCCAAAGGCTAGTTATCTTGCAGTAAGCATAAAATAGGACAAGCATGCACTGACCATTCTTGAAAGATGGTCTTGGCTTTTCATTAGACTTTTGTAGAATGGTATGGATAAGCCGTTGTTCGTGCGTTTTGACGATGGCAAGACAGAATGATCTGTCCCGAGATTCAAACAACTCAGTTTGAAGTGGATCTTTTGTACATTGCAGCAAAGCATAGTTTAGATTGTTGCAGCAATGGCAGAGATTTTAAACATCGTTGATGGATCATTAAGTTGTATTGTATTATATAAAAAATAATGGTAGCAATATTTGCCAAAAATGTTCTATGAGAGGGTCAGCAATGATATGTCTGGTACTGAAAGACATTGAGTAGCCGATCATGGAGTTGTAACTTTTTTCATTCAATTTTTTTTTTTTTTTTTTGAAGTTTTGTATTACAGTCCACGGAAAACTCTCTTGGTTTCCTCGTCCTCGCTGTACTTTCTTCTGTTGGGCTTGTTTTTAGAGTGAGTTTGTAACTGACCCATTTCATAACTGACGTTCTGGCCTGCTTCAGATATTTGTATCATTGTTGATTGGGAATCGTTTGTAACGGGAATAGCAGTAGCAGATGGAAAAGCTACAAAATTGTCGGGATATGAACTGTTGCTGTCGGGCTCGTAGTCCTTCGACAAAGGCTGGCTACTGGACATACGGTAAAACGGTGAAGTAACATCATCAACCTTTTTAGTTCCTGACAAAAAGTGCTTTGTAATCCAGCGCGCAAAGCGATGTTCGGAAGGGGTGGACTGTAGAGATCCTTGCTCGCCATACTTCTCCAACATGTCTTCTTTGATATGACGCAAAGCATTTGCTAGAGCGGGGTCCATACAAAAGGCAACAAAGTTCAGTACACCGGGCAGATCCGTTGTGACAATAAGGTACCAGTCCAATCCGACGTTCTGGAAATGGATAATAATAAATTTTTTTTTTTTGGGGGTAAGTAACGCAAGGGACAGGTATAGGAAAAATTAACGCAGCCTCTTACCAAATAATGCTGAAATTGCATGATACACTCACTGATGTACCAGCCTAGTTGAGTAACGATGGGAATAAGAGCGTAAAGAGAGATTCTCAGAACCAGCTTATTCATGGTCCTCTGAGTTCGGCGTGCCCGAAGTTGCGCACTTGTCAAATCTTTGGACGACGTAGTATGAGAATTATAAGTTTTGACGGCAATCGTACTTTTCCTCAGCTTGAAAATGACAGCGACAACTACAAAGAAACAATAGAGCGTTCCCATCATATTCCAGCTTAAGAAAGTCAGCCATTCCCATAGAATAGTCTTCTTTGATGAGTATGCGATGTACCAGCATACACCGTAATTCTCATCCAGTCCTAGCCGGCCAGCAGCCTAGTGTAGCCAGTAAAATGAAACATGGTTAATATTGGGATTCTCGATAGGGCAATGTGGCGATAATGGTCTCAAAAGGCGAAATTAAGCCCATGTATTTTAAATGTATAATTACCCAGGGTGGTACGGTGGTCGCAAGAGCCAACAGAACGGATACTGCGAAGTAACTGATTTCAAGCCAAGGATGGACACGTTTACGGAGTAAGAACAGCTGAGTTTTGAAGATCTGTTAGAAAAATCTACGACTGCAGGTCAAGGCGTGTAACAGCGCTGTGTTTCACGCCAGCCCGCGACGGGAATGTAAATTAAGTGCTACTAACCCATTGTAGATTGAACGCAATGGCAACAGAAAGGAAGGTGTAGAGATTCGTTAAAAAGAGAATCAGCCATGCTGTTGCTCCACAAGCAGCTCCAGGAGTCGCTACGAATGTGAAGATGATGTACGCGGCAGATTTGACGGCGTCCACTGTACTGACGGCAGCTGTCAAACGCAAACTGACCCGATCGACCAATGTCTTATCGTAGAGTCGAACAAGCAACAAAATGATGCAAACCATCACAGCACAAAACATGCCTATTGAATTGACACACAAATTGACGATGGTAAATATTTTGTTTGCCTGTTGAGGATGTGTTAATGTTTCAACGGTATATGTAATAGTCTTCATTCTGAATGAATTTACCTCATCGCCTGGTAGGAGCAAATTGTATCCAGGATCAAAATCCCAGGAATCTGGTGATAGATCTGGTGTTGGTGTGTTTGGATATAGAGCTGTGACATTTTGTGTCGACATCTCTGCAGGGTATCAAGAAAGAAAAGAGATCTGAGAAAGGGCTTGAAAAGAACTGTTTGTGTTTTAATTAAATTTTTTTTTTTCAAACCGATATTTTCTGCAAACTCTGTCTGGAATAGGGTTCAGAGACTTGGCCGTTTGGTTATACAGCATGGGTCTGAACTGAAATATGCAACGTGGTCAATCTCCTCCAGAAACATACAAATAACCGATGTAGCACTTTCGTACCTTTCTTTCTTTATCTCACCGTTCCTTCATCATTCCAATGCAGCGTCTGTGGTCAGCATTCCTTTTGGCCCTGGTGTGTCTTGCCAGTCTATCCTTGGCTGCTCCTACTGGTTCTACTTCTCCATTCCCCATGGCCAAATGCCATGGATTCCAATTAGAGGAAGCTTCCATTGACGAAATCCAACAGCAGTTGGCCAGCGGCAAGCTTACTAGCCGTCAGCTTGTTCAGTGCTACCTCGATCGTATTACGACTGTCAACCCCTATCTCCAGTAAGTTTGATTGATTGACCTATTTCGCTATGAACCTTGAGAAATTAATTGCTCCCGCTTTTTTTTTTTTTTTTCTAAAAATGATAGCGCTGTCATTGAAACCAACCCCGATGCTCTTGCCATTGCAGATCAACTTGACAAGGAGCGCGCTCAAGGCAAAGTAAGAAACATTTAATACTTAGCATGCGCCAGCTCAGTGAGCCAAAAAGTTAATGAAATTTAATAGGTCAGAGGCCCATTGCACGGTATTCCCATCCTTGTCAAGGATAACATCGCTACTGATGATAAGATGAACACAACCGCTGGTTCATATGGTAAAATATTTTTCCTTTGCCCGCCGATTTCTACACTATGCACGACCGGCATATCGGTATTTAAACTAACGCAAATGTTTCTTAGCTTTATTGGGAAATGTCGTTCCACGCGATGCTCATGTCATTGCTTTGTTGCGCAAGGCTGGAGCCATTATTCTTGGAAAAGGAAATATGTCCGAATGGGCGGATATTCGCGCTAACTCCTACTCTGAGGGATGGTCTGCTCGTGGTGGCCAAACTCGCAATTCTTACAATTTGACTCAGGATCCTGCAGGCTCTTCTTCTGGTCCCGCTCATGCAGTCTCTGCCAACCTTGTCACAATTGCTATCGGGACTGAAACTGATGGAAGTGTCATTGCTCCTGCCCAGCGTGCTGGTATCATTGGTATTAAACCCACCGTCGGATTAACTTCAAGAGATGGTGTCATCCCTGAAGCTCACTCTCAAGACACCGTTGGTGCTTTTGGAAAGACCTTCAAGGACGCTGCCTATGTTTTGACTGCCATGCATGGTGTCGACCCTCGTGATAATGCTACCTACGCGCAGCAGGGCCATGCTTCCAAAGACTATTCCCAGTTTGTCTCCAATTCTTCAGCACTAAAGGGTGTCCGCATTGGTATCCCATGGAAGAGAGTCTGGGAATCATCTACTACTGTTAACCAATACCCCCAATTGTTCAGTGCCATTGCTGAACTTCGCAAGGCTGGTGCCATCATCATTAACAACACTAACCTTCCCGATATTGATGATATCACTCCTAACCCTCCCGGTAAGTACTCAACTGGATGAACCATCTGTCATCTGCCAGCCAAAGTGTGGTCTAGTATCTATATCTCATCCAATATCTTTTTGTTGACAGGTTGGAACTGGCAGTTCAAGAACGGCCTTGGTCTTGATAACCAATCTGAATTCACCGTTGTCTGCTATGAATTCAAGCAAAATCTTAATACCTATTTGTCTGAACTTGTTTCATCTCCTGTTCGTACCTTGTCTGACATTGTCAAGTTCAACGACAATCACAAGAGCATTGAGGAGCAATACTTTGGTCAGGAAGTTCTTGCCCAATGCGACTCCAGCCCTTTCTCCTATGAAACCTATATTGAAGCCAAGGTAAGACACTAGAAAGCAAGATTTTGTAAATTTGGATGAAACTAATATGACTTATTGTACCAATAGGCTTATGTTGATAACACCACTCGTGCTGCTGGTATCGATGCTGCCTTGAAGAACTACAAAGTTCAGGCACTTCTTGTTCCTTCCGACAATTTCAGCCCTAGTACTGAGATTCCTGCTATGGCCGGTTACCCCATGGTCACCATCCCCGCTGGTATTGATGGTTGGGGTAAGTTTAAAAATTGAATCGACGGGTGGTTTTGCGAGCGTACGCTAATATCGATGAAATTATTTCAGGTGTTGCTTTCGGTCTTGGTCTTTGGGGAACTGCTTTCTCCGAGCCTACTCTCATCAAGCTTGGCTCCGCTATTGATGACACCCTCAAACGCAGACAAGTTCCTACCTTCTTGGAGCATACTGCTACCAACATTCCCATTAATTCTGAGATTGGTGCCTACTAGATTCATAATTGCAGCTTAATAATTTATTTACTGTAGCTCTAAGCTTGATTACCTTCTTGACTATCCAGGTGATATTAACACTCCTTTACGGCTAGCTGCCAATGGAATAAAAAAATGTCCTCTGGTATTAGCTGGATAATCGTCAGCTCAAGATCGCAACTCAGTTGTTGATATTATTTGTAGATTGGCACCAATAGATGGCTCACAACTTGTTTGCAATATTCGTCCATGGTCCACACTTGTAGCAGCAATGTGATTTAGTTTTAGTAGCTTCGATCTCCCAAATGGTCACAATTAAAAAATTAAAGCTTTCACCAAGATCCTTCCGTCAGGGGCGAAATTTGGATTGTAAGACTGCCATTGCTGGCGCTTAACCTCCAACCAGTACGGTACAGACTTCCCACTGGATATAACTCTGAGCATATCTAACGTTTTGTACAGTTCCTTAATTCGAGGTTTATTAAAACTAAAAATATTTCTGCACTTGGTGCAAATGACTTTCTATCAACATTTTGTTAATACCGACGTTGTGCCAGTTTCTTTGCATGTGTTACACTCATAGTCCACTGGCATATTGAATAAGTCTCTGATCCTACAGCTTGGAGAGCTTTCAGATGGATCGGCAATTCCTGTAAACGTTTGGCTATAACCTTTGCACTCGACACTGTCCTTGTATATTGTGACCGTACATGCCTGAGCAAGGGAAGCGATATTCAGGAGAAATACAATCTTAAACAAGACGAGATTCCAGATAGATAACAACATTGATGTGATTTGTACTGTGTTACGTCTGTCACAATGAACAATGATATCTACGTTGATTTTGGATCCTTTAACCGGAAAGGCTCACTTACCTTGACTATGGTATGAAAAGAAGAAAAGAGTTTGATTGGAATTTTTATTACACTCTAGTGTATTATTCATTCTTCGTCCTATGGACAATGATGTGCTGCGGTTTTTGGTTGCCCGACATGCTATCTGCTAAATAAACTGACAGAGTGAACATATCTGGTTGTTCTGTTGCCACTAGCAAAGGTGACCAACAAAGCTGCGGTTTGCCTGTCACCTTTTGAACGGAGTTGAGAACCCCTTCATTGGTATATCGACAGCACCGCAGTGGTTAATAGCCGTTTACTAAATGTACACATTATGACGGTATATTTGTATCCAAGGTCATGATCCCCACATTCAGCGCGGGTGTGTAGATGTTGATGGATAAATATCACCGCGATAACGGTAAACAGTAAAGTGGTGTTATGGCACAACTAAATCAAAGCCTGGATACAAGGATCTGGGGATACGTTTTGATTGGCTGAATCACATTGAATCATGGTATGGTATGCCCACAAATGTAACACTGGCGGATGAGCTTATATCCAGTGTGTGTTAACACTGTCATGATCGGAATCTCTCCGTCAATACGTTTTTCCGCACCAATAATTTACAAGCAATGTTGACAGCTGTCTTAAAAATTAAGGGAAGTGGGCTAAAGAAATGAACAAAAGTAGTTCTTTCTATTAGAAAATGCGCTGTAGGTGCATCGGCTTGCTCATGCAGCTATAGTTATGATAGGGTTACTTGCTTCAAACAGGCTACATTGAAGGTGTTGTACGTCATGTGACTCATCTTATCGCTGATTGGGCAGAGCGGATCAAACGAAACAGTTTAAAGGTCTCAGGAGAGAGACTCATTTTTTTTGTAGCGAACACTTTTTATCCAAGGTTCTCTTCACTTCACATGCCTGCTTCAACTCAACCACGCACACTGTACGACAAGGTGTTCGACGATCACCTTGTTGATCGACAAGAGGATGGCACCTGCTTGCTTTATATTGACAGACACTTAGTACACGAAGTCACGAGCCCACAAGCCTTTGAGGGTCTTCGCAATGCTAGCCGCAAAGTGCGTCGCCCAGACTGCACTCTTGCCACCGTTGATCACAACATTCCCACCTCTACCCGCAAGAACTTCAAGAACATTACTACTTTTATTGAAGAGTCTGATTCACGCATTCAGTGTGAGACTTTGGAGTCCAACGTAAAGGACTTTGGCTTGACTTACTTCGGCATGGACGATGATCGTCAAGGTATCGTTCACGTCATTGGACCTGAACAAGGTTTTACTCTTCCCGGAACGACTTTGGTTTGCGGTGATTCTCACACTTCTACCCACGGTGCTTTTGGTGCTTTGGCTTTCGGTATTGGTACCTCTGAAGTCGAGCATGTGCTCGCCACACAAACTCTTTTGCAAAAGAAGTCCAAGAACATGCGTGTCAGAGTGAATGGTGAGCTCGGTGAAGGAATTACTAGCAAGGACGTTGTTTTGCACATTATTGGTGTTATTGGTACTGCTGGTGGAACTGGATGCGTTATCGAATTTTGCGGATCCGCCATCTCCTCTCTCTCTATGGAAGCTAGAATGTCTATGTGCAACATGTCCATTGAAGGTGGTGCTCGTGCTGGAATGATTGCTCCTGATGACATTACTTTCGACTATCTTCAAAACCGCCCTCTCAGCCCTAAGGGACAGGAATGGGAAAAGGCTGTCGCCTATTGGAAAACTTTGCACTCCGATGCTGATGCCAAATACGATATCGAAGTCGAGATCGATGCCGCTGATATTGCACCCACTGTGACTTGGGGTACCAGCCCTCAGGACGTTGTGCAGATCACTGGAAATGTTCCTGATCCCTCCAAAATTCAAGATCCTTCCCGACGCGCCGCCATGCAGAGAGCTTTGGAATATATCGGTTTGGAGCCTAATACCAAGATGGAGGAGGTCAAGGTGGATAAAGTTTTCATTGGCAGCTGCACTAATTCTCGCATTGAGGATCTCCGAAGCGCTGCTCAGGTTGTCAAGGGCCGTCACATCGCTGAGGGTGTTTATGCTATGGTTGTCCCCGGTTCCGGTCTTATTAAGAAGCAAGCTGAAAAGGAAGGGTTGGACAAGATCTTTACCGATGCTGGTTTCGACTGGAGAGAGGCTGGTTGCTCTATGTGTCTTGGTATGAATCCTGATCAACTGAAGCCCAAGGAACGCTGCGCAAGTACCAGCAACCGTAATTTCGAAGGAAGACAAGGTGCTGGTGGCCGAACTCACTTGATGAGCCCTGCTATGGCCGCTGCTGCTGGTGTCACTGGTTATCTTACTGATGTTAGAAAACTCGTCCCATCCCTTTCAACCTCATCTCCTAGCAAGACTACCAACCCCCAAATCGAAAACGAGGCTGTCGCTCACAAGCAAGAGGATATCCATGCAGATGAACAGGCTGATATCGTCACTGATGCTCCTACCAGCAGCTCTAGCGATCCTACTGTTTTCTCTGGCGAATCTGCTGGTATGCCCAAGTTCACAGTCCTCAAGGGTCACGCAGCGCCATTGGATATCGCCAACGTCGATACTGATATGATTATTCCCAAGCAATTCCTCAAGACCATCAAGCGTACTGGCTTGCGTGATGCCCTCTTCTACGCCCTTCGATTCAATCCTGAGACCAACGCAGAAAACCCCAACTTCGTCCTTAACCAGGAACCTTATCGCCAGGCTCGTATCTTGGTTTGCACTGGCCCCAATTTTGGATGCGGTAGCTCCCGAGAACACGCTCCGTGGGCATTGAATGACTTTGGCATCAGATGTATCATTGCCACCAGCTATGCTGATATCTTCTTCAACAACTGTTTCAAGAATGGTATGCTTCCCATCGTTTTAGCTCAAGAGGAAGTTAACGCGTTGGCCGACGATGGTAGAGCTGGAAAGGAGGTTGAAGTTGATCTTGTAAACCAAGTCATCAAGCGTCCTGATGGCACTTCTATTCCTTTCGATGTCGAGGCTTTCAGAAAGCACTGCCTGGTCAACGGTTTGGATGATATTGGTCTCACCATGCAGAAGAACGACAAAATCGAATCCTTTGAAGAGAAGCGAACAAGCTTGTGGCCATGGCTCAATGGCAAGGGCTACAACGGACAAGCAACACGAGTTGTCCCTGTCGCTGGCGAAAGTGCACCCAAGAAGAAGTTGGATTGGTAAATCATTTTCAAAAGTAGTTTATAATGTTGAAGGACTTCTTCCTCTTAAAATATAAACCACGTCTTTTTCAAAAGATCTTTTTTTTTTTTTCTATTTTTGCTATCACTTGTCAACTACTTTATTTCATTTCTGATAGACTGTATGTTGACTAAAAATATGTATATATGTCTGTCCATCATTCCGGAGCGTTGGTTTTCATTTTTTTCTTTAGCTCTGCAAGAGCATTAGATTTAACATCAAACCACCAGCTATCGTGGCCTTTGATGACTGAACCACCATAGATGGCACTGTCTCGATTTAGCCAACTGAGGATATCCTGAATGTATTCTTGCTCCAGTTCTGCTCCTAACGCATGAAACTCTCTGCCTCCACCCTTTTTCTGTAGTCTATCATTCCATTCTTGCCGCATAGTAGCGGTATCAGGTAAAGCTGCACGTTTACTGTAGGCTCGGGCGACGGCGAAAGCTTGGTATTCAAAAAACGAGAATGTGGCAATGTGGAAAGGTACACCGACAAAGCTGAGAGTAGGGTTGGGGATGTAAAATATATCCTTGTGCAGATTGTAAACTTGGTCACCTCTTTTTACCAGGACATGATCGTCTGTTGGAACAGCCGAGCCGAACTTGCGATGAGTCGCTTCATCACGATGGAGGTGGTCCAAAAAATGAAAGTTGAACATGTATCCGGTGCAAATAATGATGTGGTCGATTCCAGTTAATGTCTGCCCATCATCAAATTCTATGATAGAGTTTTGAAGTGTATCTTTCGCGATGAACTGCTTGATACCTTTTCTTCCTTGAACTTTGGCGGGCACCCATGATGACAGTTCCTTTCTCAGCTGAAGATACTTTTCATCAAAGTGATGTTGACTGTCACGCACGGCTTGGTACAAATCGTTCGTGTAGCTTGCTATATCTCGCATTATATCTAGAGCAGATGTGCCGTTACCAATAACTAGAACGTTCTAGAGCAAGCAAGTTAAGTGTGTTAATCAAAAACCAGAGTTTCACGCAGATTCATTGTCAACCTTTTTCTTACCTGGCCATCAAACGGTTCAGGAACTCGATAGCTCTTGGAGTGCGAAACAGACTGCGGCCATTTGGCTTGCCACTCACTCAAACCATGAAAATTTGGTATGTAAGGGACATGATAATGCCCTGTGGCTACGACAACAGCATCAAAGGTCTTTTTACAAGGGGGAAAATGCCTGATTAATTTGCAGCTCGCATATTTTGACACTTTTGGTTATCAAGCTACCTTTGCGCTCCAAGTCACTTTGATCACATCTCTACCATCTATAATTTCTTTTTGTGTTGTCTTCGTCAGTACATGCCAGCCACCATCTCCAGGTATCTCAGTGACTCTTTCGACTGACGTATTGAATTCAGTCACTTCATTCAAACCAAAAGCGGAGGCATAATTTTGCAGGTACTGACAGATAACTTGATGTCCGGTGTACCACGGCTATTCAGTTCCAGTGTTAATGACCAGCAAACAGTATGTAGGGTAGCAAAGTGGCTTACTGTATTCTTTGGCCAGTCTAAATCCTTATATTTAAGCAAAGGCGTAGCAACATTATTGCCCAAGGATTTATAACATGGATTCGGTGGAGCATGCTCAAGCAAAAATCGTATGGTATCGTCGTCAAGATCCTTTACTTGAGTGTATGGAAGGGTCTGATCAATAGGTGGTAGAGAGGGTTGTGCACCTTCGGTAGGTATCTCAGATGGATAGGTTGGGTTCAAAGGTGGTGTGGAATCGTATATCCTAACATATTTGGCAAACGTTACATTTCACTCAGAACTTTCTCTCACTATGTCAGCAAAACCTACCAAGTACCACCGGCGGCGAGATTTCTTTCGAATATTGTGACTGAAAGTCCTTCATCTTTTAACCATTTGGCCGTGGGGAGCTAAAATAGGTGAAACATGATCAACACTGTTCTTGGACGGTAGTATCGAATGCTAACTTGAAATTTACCCCAGCAGGTCCGGCACCAATGACTGCAACAGTCTTAATGTGCTTGTCAATTAGCGAAAATTGGTCGGACGGGTTTGCAGCAGTTTGCGAGCGCTCATGTACGAGTGTTTGCTCTTCAGCCCTGAGCAGCTTCAGATCTTCAAGAGGCGTGTAGGAAATCTCGTCCGGGAAAGCGTCTTGGTGGAAGATAGCAACCACAGGTTCTTTTGCTTGTAATTCCATTGTTCCGAAGTCTTGACAAAACAGCAAATTCTGGTGAAGAAGTACTAACTGGAATCATATATGCCAGATATCTTTACTCAGGCATCTGAGTATTATAGAATGGTATCATTGTTGAACTCGATCACGCTTGCAGCTCGGTGCGTAACATGCAGTCTGACATGATAGTGGCATTACTTTTTTGTTTCGCAGAAGAAATAAGGTTAGTAAATACAAAATTTCGACATGAGCACTGAAAATATCGCCATACTAACTTTGCCAAACCATGGTAGCATCAGCTGGCCGCATGGTCATTATGGGCTTTTCCTATGAGACCTCATGATTCGGCTTATGTCAGCATGTAAGCAATAATCATGCTAGGTATATGATATGCAGGCGTCTTTGCGTATCTTACAAGGCGCAAACATGGAAGTAAGGGACATATAGTCGTACCGCGGCAGATTTTATTACAACAAACAAAAATTTGTCCGCCATTTAGCAAGTAAACATCGTATATTGCAAGTACAATTTGAATGACCTTTGCCAGCTACAGCTGCAGCAATCTACCAGCGTAGAGTTGGTTCCAACGGAAAAAGCTCTTCTCTTTCATCAAAATATAGCTTTTGCCAAGAGGGCTTTAGCTGTTCTGGGAGCTTCCAGGCATTTTCCGGGTGAAGCCAGAGGCGGAGGAGGTGGCGTCTACACGACAATTGTGCATAAGTATGTGGGGAGGGACGCATATCATTGCTATGAGGTTTCGTTTCATCACTTACTGATTATGTTCGCTATCTGTATAGCCATCGCGGGCATGGAAAATAGACAAGTTATTGATATACTGAATGTCACCTTTCTTGAAGTCGATTCCTAAATTGTATTTTTCAGCAATGTAATGCAAGGCATCCAACGCCTCTGCCTGAGCTTCAGTAATAGGAGGGATATCGTCTCGTCTAGGATTTTTGCCGAATCCCGTAAAAAGTCTTCGGGCATATTGGATGATAAGATGATGATCCTCGTAGAAGAGTAGAGGTCGCTCATAGTACGCAGGATCTCCCTTGTCACTATTGTCAATACGGTAATGAAAAGTAAGCGATAGGCATTTTTACAAACATGCAGCATTACACTAGGCTTACTTTTGGAACACCCAATTTTGAGATAGAGTTTGAATGAGATCTGGGCGCGTAGCGGCTAGTTCGTTGTACACTCTCCAACTGGACGCAATCCTGGATTTACCACCTTCTTCAGCTACTCCGACGGCAAATAGGGAAATAATGTCGCCAGCATCGGTATGGTATACCTGGTGATCGTTGGTATATGCTGGAGCAAGAATTTCTTGCAAATCCTTCTGCGGTACTAGATCCTTAATATGTGCTGAAAGAAAGGAATGAGAATTGTTCATACTGTGCATTCAAACGTAGTGGAATATTTACCCAGCACATGTCTTCCTTGCAATCCACGCTTTCCGACGTAGGAGGAGATACCGGCATATGCAATAACTTGCTGCTCACGAGTGTACTTTTCTGGATTAATACCACGGACGACTAGGAATCCTCTGCCAGATACAACGTTCTCTTCGGTCAAGGCTTTGATCTTTGGACCAAGAGTTGGAAGAACAAATCTCTCTTGCTGTACGTCCCCAAAAGGTTGATTGGTCTTCTCGAAAGTATGGATAGCTTCATCAATTTCATTTAGCTCATTCTCAGTCAAGTGGTAGACCCACTCTTCTTCTTTTCCTTCGAAATCTTTTCCTTCCCAAATCTTGGGACCGCTTAACTGCTTGGGAAAGCCTTCTGGTAATTCATTGCTCAAATCCTCTTCCTTCAGACGACGAGCAGTTCTATCTTGCCACTTCTTGTGATCGGGTAGATAAGTGATATCAGGCTGATTTTTATTTTGCAGTTGAGCTGTAGGCATTGTGGATTTGCTTTGTGAATAAACTCTTGGGAATAGTGCACAAAGTCATTTTAGTTGGATGTTAAAGACTCGCTTTAAAGCGAGAGAATGGTGACATACTATCCATACCTGATGCAACCATTTAGTTGGTGTCTGTGTTTTGGATTAGAAATAGAGTTTGGTCACGTCTCAAACTTATCTTCTCTTCAAGCATAGGTCTGCATACCCGCTATATCGAATGGCAAGCAGGTATTCCATTCGAAACCCCGCCTTGCTTGCAATTTGCAGCCATAATTTGCACTAGTTGACGCACAACATATGGAATACCTTCGATGATATTGGCTAAGCTCTAAATATGTCATGATGTAACCTTGTAAATAATGATGTGATCCGGATTACATGCCTCGCAATACCATACTGACAATCACTGTACTATGCGAGGATCCCATCACACCAAATGATAGTTCGCTATCCAGCATCGAATGGCGTAATGCTATAAGCATATCAACTCGAAGATTGGGTGAGACTGTGGAGTTCTTGAAAATTTAGACTTTGACTCGCGATAGTATATTTAGCAGCACGATCGGGTTTTCGAACATTGCTACTGCTATACTCGTATCATGTCGGCTAATCCAGACAGTATCAAGGCTGTCAAGCAGCCACAGCAAATTGAAAATATTGCACCACTAGCAATAGGAGGTAAGATAAGACAGTTTCGAATATTGCATGTTCTATTACTAATTAATATCAACAGATCAAAAGCTTACTCGCCACCTGGGCTACTTCAGCGGAACGATGATGAACAGTAAGCTCATTGCAATAAATAGTGTGAATCAAGTGTAGATGGACCTAATTTTAACGTCCTCAATTCGAAACAGTTGGTCAGATTATTGGCACAGGTATCTTCTCTAATCCAGCACTCATATTACAAAACTGTGGTTCCGGTGGTATGATGTTAGTACTCTGGATTGTTGGTGCCATCTTCGCCAGTACTGGCGTCTGGTCGTACTTGGAGCTTGGGACCATGGTAGGTTGAGATTGATTTAGAGGAAACTTTCTCGTTGTACAATCTAAAATTTTTGTTTTACATATATTGAATAGTTGCCAAGGAGGTAGGTAATATCATTGTACTGTCACCATAAGCATCTTTTCTGAACCATCATTTCATCCTGTAGTGGCGGCGAAAAGGAGTATCTTGCATACGAGTTTCCTCGACCGAAACATCTTATATCCTTCGTCTTCCTCATTACCACAGGTGTTTTCTCTCGCGGATCGGGCATAGCTCAGGTAAAATTTAACTCGACGAGTATCAATGGTGAAGCTGTGGAACTTAAAAAAGTATGACTTTAGGGAGCTACTGTATTTGGTAGTAATATCATTTATGCCATTGGTGGACCCAGCTATACAAATGATTGGGGAGCAAGAGGTTTCGCAGGTACTACCAAATTCTTTGTTCCTCTTCAACACAATTTAACACAATTCTGATGTATACTTTAAGCCTTCTGCATCACATTCTGGATTGTTTTGAACATTCTTTCATCAAAGGTATTATCAACTTACGATTGAGAAAGATGAAATGATGGAACGCTAAACAAACCTGCTGTTTTAGTTGGCAATCAGATTTAACAACTTTTTTACGGTGCTTAAAATACTGTTATTGTTGCTGCTTATATGCGTCGGATTTGCCGGACTTGCTGGACGCCTTCCTAATAAGCCCGACTTGGCGGAAAACTTTTCGTTTAACGGTACATCCAACAACAGCGGGAATTATGCCAACGGCATATACTATGTCATCTTCGCGTATGGTGGTAAGTTGTATTTGAGATCGCTGGTACCGCCTCAATACTACTCAAATTGACGTATGTTTAATGAAGGATGGTACAATTTGAACTATGTTATCGACGAACTTAAAGAGTGAGTGACCACTAGTCATAAGCCATAATTTAGGATACAAAAATTCTGATGCTTATGTATAGCCCTATCAAGAACCTCCCTCGATGCGCAATTACTGCTCTTTCATCAACCACAGTACTCTACTTTTTGGCTAATGTTGGTGGGTATTGAATTGCACAAATACTTTCTGCCTAATTGCTCTATTTAATAATGTTGTTTTTTACAAAGCATACTTAGCTGTACTACCAGTATCCGTTATTGCTAATTCAAAACTAACGGTGGCCTCTAATCTGTAAGTCAAAAATTAGTATATTGAATGTTTCCAAGCATTGGTGATAATTTTTCGTTAATTACAGCTTTAATACCGCCTTTGGAGGTGTTTTCGGTGGACGAATACTTCCAGTATTTGTGGGATTGTCCTCTTTTGGATTTGTAGGCGTAGGTGTTCAATACCAGTCCAGATTGTGAGCGTTGTCTATCACTTTACTTACTTAAAGAAAATTGTAGGTCGTAACATATTCAGGTTCCAGAGTCATATTGGAGACAGCACGCCAAGGATACCTCCCATTTGACAGAACATTCAGCAAAGTACACCCTAAACTTCAAACGCCAATCTATTCTCTACTATTGATATATGTCATATCGCTGATTTTCTTACTAGCACCACCGCCTGGATATGTGTTTCAATTTATTGTTGCATTCTCTGGATATGGTGGATACCTTTTTGGTGAGCAATTATGAATCTAAAACTTTACTTATTACGGCGACAAGATCATAACCGGATTTTTTTTTTTTTTTTTTTTGGTAGCTGCCTTGTCAGTGATTGGGCTTCTTATGTTACGACGTACCCAGCCAGATTTGAAGAGACCAATCAAAGTGCCCATAAGTAAGCTACTTCCGTAGTAATTTGAATATCCTAAACGACACTACTGATTTGTTCACACCCTTGCTATTTCTTCCCCCAGTTGTAGCGCTTATTTTCATTGTCATTTGCATATACACTCTTGTATTTGTCTGGATCCCTCCCTCCAATCCACCTACTGCATACCCATACTACCGTAAGTACATTTGCATCATTCATCCAAACATTTATTTAAATGATACTCAATTTATGTGTGCCAACATACTTCATATTATTCTAGTTCCATACGTTATATCCATCGCCTTGGTCGTAGTGTCAGTTGTACTTTGGGTAAGTTCAGCCGGCTTGAACTATTATTCTTCATCATTGTCTAATGAATCATATCAGTACTTCAAAATGGTTAGAAATGAAGGGTTGGAACGCTCATACAATGCCGAAATTTCTACAGCCGGACAGAAAGAATTATTCAATGACGTTTACAAAGACTATCAGAGCACATCATCCACCACTGATGTCAGTACTGTCGAAGAATTCACAGACACTCATACTGACTCATTCAAAGTTTGAAAAGAATAAAGAAACGTACTAGAAAATATCTTCAGAACTTGACAAATTTGTTCCTGATATTGAAGTTGCTCTTTAATCAGTTTCATACCATGGTGTGGCAGGTACAAGCATGTCGTAATTTTCTTCAAATTGATATGAAACAGATGTGGTTGCTTATACCATCTTTACAAGCAGTCGGTTTGGAGTTTCCTACTCTTACAGTAATTCATCAAATGCTTTATTTACATTATATGCTCCCAACATTCTGTACAAACCGGGTTGTTCAATATATAGAAGTCATTGATTTTCTCTACCTATGTCGTTTCCCTATGAAAAAGGAGGTCGCTTTAAAGACAAGGATTGAATTTTCGCCTATCACATAGGTGCTCTCACGGAACCCCATAATTATCTACTTCACCTGATAAGTGCCACGACCGCACTAGTTGATTTTCAACTAATGAGTTATACTATGCAGTCGCCAAATGACGACTCAATTTCCAGTAATCAGGTTCTTGAGACACACCAATGATATGGCACCTGGCCGAACTTCCAACGATCGCATTTTCAGGTTTTGGTGGTGACCCCTGATTCGTTTTGATTATCTTCGGTCAGGTCATGGTGTTACTGCTATAAATTGGAGACAGTTCTGCCATACTTGTCTCTACATTCACTCCACTTTCACAATCATGACACGTATCCTGGTAGCGACATCCATCATCTTTACTGCTCTTTCCACTTTGGTTCGTGCAGACATTCCCACAGGCTCTAATGGGTTCACCTTTGTCTGGGGTGATGACTTTAACGGCGGACCAAATACTGCAGTTGATAGTAACAATTGGCAATTCGATCTTGGAACCGGGTATCCAGGTGGAGCTGCAAACTGGGGAACAGGAGAGTTTGAAACTACCACAAACGATATAGAAAATTGCTATCAAGACGGGAATGGAAACCTTCGTATTGTACCTCTTAGAGACAGCTCCGGAGGTTGGACATCCGCAAGAATCGAATCAGTGCGAGATGACTTTAAAGCACCTTTAGGTGGTGTAATGGCAATTGAGGCCAAGATTCAGTTACCCAATGTAGCTGGAGATGCTGCCGCTGGATATTTTCCGGCATTTTGGATGCTTGGTACGCCGTTCAGGAACAACTACAAAAACTGGCCAGAAGTCGGTGAATTTGACATTATGGAAAATGTCAATGGAATCAATAAGGTGTTTGGAACTCTTCACTGCGGAAATAGCCCAGGTAAGCTACTTTTCAATCGAACTTTTGGAAATGAACAGCTCCACAAAGCTAATTCATAACTGAATGTAGGAGGCAGTTGTAACGAGTCTAATGGTCTGGGAGGAAGTTTGGGAGGAGCTTATCCACCGCTTCAAGAAGATTACCATATTTACCGCTTTGAGTGGGATGACGGTCAACAAGAGCTAAGATGGTATCTTGATGGTCAGCAGTTTTGGACCGTTGATGCCGCAACTGTTACGGAACAAACATGGCAAGACTTCACAAGCCATCCATATTTCATAATCCTCAACGTCGCCATAGGTGGAGGATTCCCATCAGCTTTAGGAGGTGGTCCAACCGACGCAACCGAATCAGGAGTTCCCATGCTTGTAGACTATGTTGCAGTATATGAAAAAGGAGCGTCTTCAGAGTAGAGCTGTGTTTCATAGACTAGATGAGACCATGTAAATTACAATTTAGTGCTATACAATCAGTGTGTATTATTGTTATCATAAGAATTCCATACTTATTCTGACATAAAGTCTAAATTTGCAAATTGAAAAGGATAATGGTCATATCTTGCGCTTGGTAATATGACGAGGACCACATCTTCTAGAATATTTCTAAAAAAGAACGCCAGTAGCTGTGGTCGCCATATATAAAGTTACTCATTTTCTACAAAGATACTCATAGGTAAGAAGGCTCCAACCACAAAGTTTGGCATGTCTACTACTTCACACAACTTCAAATCAACAGACACAGAGCATAGCATATATGCCTCCGGACGAGTCAATCCTTTGACACGCTGTAAATATTCAATCATGCTACGTACAGCCTTGCGAGTTGCTTCTAGTAAATCTGAATCGATTCCTGTACAACAGTAGAAAGGCGCTGTATTGGTTTGTGCAGCTAGCGGCCCAGCCGTCATAAATTGAGGTTCCGATATTTTGAAAGATTTGTGAACCGTCAGTCGAACAGTAGCGGATACTGGTGTTTCAATCGCAGTACCTATGAGGGGTTCATGAGTAAGCAATTATTGCTACAGTTTCTTTGTAACTGGAGCGTATGATTACCGCAACATTCGCCATCTCCTTGCGCTGCATGCCCATCGCCTAGCGAAAACAAAGCACCTTTAACTTGAATAGGTAAATATAATTTGGATCCTTTCACTATATGTTTGGTATCCATATTGCCGCCTTAGAAGATGCGGATAGGCGGAAGGGAAAATAATTAATTGATGATACAAAAGATGAAAAGTAACGGTGTTTTGGTAGAAGCTCATTTCATAATCATGGTTTTAAATATTTACCATGATGATATGGTGGTATCGTCGACTTACTACCCGGTTCTGAAGGAGCAAGACCCATTTCTCCACAGAATGGGGCAATAGGTATCTTGATCCCTGGTTTGAACCAGGCATAACCTACGTCAGGGACTGCCGTGTCTCTTTGTATTTTCCAGATCTTCAATTGAGGTTCAGGGAATTCGTCGGCAAGCAAACCAAATCCTGGAATAATGGCAGTCCATCCCCAAACGTCTGTCTTGACATCCAACACCTCGATCTCGAGCACATCACCTGGTTCAGCATCTTCCACGTATACAGGCCCATTAACTTGGTCTAACCTGGTAGTATCGAATTGTGCGATTGCGTCTACCGTTGAGTCGCACGTTATTTGACCGTTTGAAGCGTCAACACACAGAAAGTTGACTATTTCTCCTGATTGTACTCGTTTAACGGGAGCAATGGAATTATCCCAAACAAGATGCGACTCCCTAACGGTGTGTATTGACGGCGATTGTGACATCAAGCGGGAGAGAGCAGGGCAGTCTATGGATTTCGCGGCTTAAATTTGAAACAGTAAATGTGTGTAGTACAAGGATAGGTAAGTGCAGATATTCCCTTGCAGCAGACCAATATGCGTTAACTGTCAGCAAAATAGAGTAACTTTATGTAATATGCGTTGAATGGTGTCGTCATATAAAATTTCTACTGCGGCATAGCCTCTCACTGACTTCAAAGCGCCAGAATGGAGATTGATGCCTTCACCTTGGCGGTTGCAAAGCCAACGCCCAGTCAGGTACACCTATATTTGTAGGGCCTGATTTCCAGCCCATAGCAATGTCAGTTCGGTCAGACAAGTGAAGAGCCAGGGAAAAAATGAAAAGTGGTTACAGTATCTGTAAGCTCATGTTTGGAAGTCCTAATGACAGTAATTCGGCGGAGCATTTCCAATACTTCAGACGCATAGTCTGTGTTTGTAGTCCCAATTTCACATTTTATCATAGTGAAAAGCAACATAACTCGCCCTACAATCGTTAAAGACGTTTCGAACTTCAGGATTTGAATACTCCAAGACAATGTAACTACAGCATTCTATACTAATAGCTCAGGTATCTGGCGAGCAGCAAATGGAAAATGTGTCACAAAAAAAGTCTCGCTCATCTCGCTAAACAGAAAGTCGTCGATCTACAACTGGATAGCATGTACTGGTATTAAGCGAAAAACTTGCGACATGTTAGAGCGATAGCAATGAACTATTTTTTCAAGACATCCGAAGGTGTCGTACATCTGCATATTATAAAGTAAATCTATTGCATCACAGGTGGAAACAACCTGTAGTACAAGGTATCGAGCGATATAAAAATCTGACAAAGTTGCCATAGTACCATGGGACTATCATAGTGTAGAAATGGTAGAATTTGGTTCGGTAGATCCGGCTGCACTGATACTGGCGACTTTGGCCATAGCAGTGTCCGCAGAACAGCTCGCAAGAGATAGTTTCAACAGACAAATCTTACAGCTTCGAAAAATTACAGCTTATCTCATAACTTCTGACCATGGCAGCAACTCTCAACGACATCTCGAAACTCTCAGTGATGCTCAATTGTTATTGGCAATTGAGAATGGACTTACTGCAGTTGAGTTCATATGCAATGGATCACATCCGGCATCCTGGGGGATTTTACGAAAATTTCCAAGTTCTGTTCTGATGAGAATGCAGGTATGGTGCATTCGAAGGAACTTCGGTATAGGAGCTGTTATTACTAGCATATGTGGCTGGTGGTTTGGATATCTATTGTGGATTTACTATCAAATTGTTAAAACGGCCGGATGCTACGAGTGGAAGAAAGGAAGGTGGTGGCTGTGGAGTTCTGGAGGACATCATAGCTCAGGATACTCTGGGAAGCAGTATGATAAATGCATCAAAAACTTACTCTTACAACTCGGATGGGCAACGCCAAAAGACACTATATATTGCATTGAGTGGATTGCTTGGCTGGGATCAAGAGCAGAATCTGAATACACTGGACCGTGCACAGCATCACAAATTGCATCTTGTCAGCAGGTAACCCTAGGAGCAGTTCTTTGCGATGTAGCACTGTTACATAATAACCACGATATCGGAAAACGAATATTTGTTATGATCCACTTGGGCTACGTAGAGATTGTTAATGACGGCCAAGGCTTTGAAGTCAGGTTTCCAGATGTGCTATTGGGATTCGGAATTAATCGAATCATTCAATACTATAGGGACTGTAGAACAAAAGACCAGAAGTTTTATGACATATTAACATCAGCAATATTTGGAGAAGTTGAAATTCCACCAAACCTACCCTCAGTTTGGTGCGACTGGCACGAGCATGACGGTGCAGATATATGCAATTGGAGAGGTCGACCGATACTGATACTCAGTGGCCATGAGTTAAAGATTATGGCTATATCCGGAAACTTGAACCAAAAAAGATGTCTGGTAGTAGACTGTATTGAAAATGTGCAAGACCTTTTATCCATCAATGCTTCTAGTATTGATGCCGTTGTTGAATATGATGGTGATATTGACAGCTGTGTCAACAGAATTATGAATTCTTCTTTCATTATTTTCGTACAGAAGAAACAAACCCAATTTATTTGAACCAACTACAGCGTTGCTGCAAATATGATCTCCTTTCTTCACTTCAAATTGCATAAATTCCATTTGTGATATATGTTTATTGTTATTTGATAATAGAGGGAAAGAGACCGCTTTTATATAACGTCATATCTACCATTAATTCTGTTTCTCCCATCTTGAAGTCAGCATATTCGGTATTTAGATTAACGACAGCCAAACCCCGATACCAAATACCAAAGAATTCTAAGAACACTAAGCAGGACCTCTGGTAGTGGCGCTTTCAGTGGAATCAGTAGTAGTAGTAGTAGTAGTAGTAGTAGTGGTGGTGGTGGTGGTGCTATCAGTGGTGGTAGTGGTGCTGTCAGCGGCCGAGCTTACAGCAGAAGAGCTTACAGCAGCAGAGGAAGACAAAGATAAGGGAAGAACTGAAGAGCAGGCAGTTCCAATAAGGCCGTTGAGGTCAATAATAGCGCCGGTTCCTGTGTCGGGAATGGCATAGGTGCTAGTTCCAATCAAGACGGTAACCGAACGGGAATCATGTTCATCGCCGCTATCTTTTTGATGGTGGTGATCCTTGTCATCGTCATCACTCTTGTCATCCGACCAAAGTTTTGAGGTTCGGCAGCCTTAGCATTACCTTGCTGAACCTCAGCATTTTCTCTCTTTGAGAAGGGAGTGGCTTCAACAGCGCTTAGTGCATACAAGCAGCAAATTAGAATGGGGATGGCTGAGCGCATTTTTCAAGATATGTTGAAGTCAATACTGTGAATTCAATGATAAAGAGCGAGCTTTTTATACAGGTGGTTTTGAAAGTTTGCTTGCGCAAAAAAGTAACTTCTTAACCTTGGAAATTTCTCAAGCTGCAGGCATCATTGTAATCCATTTCACATTCTATTAAACTTAGAGTTGGATATGCACGTAGCTAACCCAATGTTCTCCATTTGACCAATTTTTTATCTTGATTTTATACTTGCGTAGGTCAGCAATAATGATGCTAAGTAGACAGTTTGTTGTGATGGATTCAAGTTTTACATCCATGTAACTTAACTATACCGTCTTTTTGTCAGCCGACCAAAGACTTTTGCTATTGAGCCTTTGATATCGTTCATCAGCTCCATCAACGCAGCAAAAGATATCATTCCAATTTGGCTCATTTGCATAGATAAAGTGCATTACAAGAAAATTTTAAAATACCATATTCGATTAATCAAGAGACCATAAATAAAGACAATGTTATACTTACGTCCTGGAATAGTCAGGAAGAAATCAAAAATATTTGAAGAGGTCTCAGAGTATCAAACTAAATGTATTTGGAATCTGATTGTCAATATGTACTTTTCTTTAATGATAATGTCAGCAATTAGATCGTAACAACCATCAAAACTAGACAGCTAAGCTGCAAAGACATGAGATCAAATTGTTCACTATTCAGAAAACGCTCTCAAGAGATTCTATTGTTTTCTCAGTGAACTGGTCGTAAATGATTCATGATTATATCGTGCCAGAAGTGTTCAATCCCTGATCCACGTTACACTTTGCATTCTGGACACAATGAGCCAACCTTGAAAGAGGTTTCTTCATACTGTCTGTAAATTTGTATTTCTGAACGAAATTCGTTGAAACCATTGATAATGTGAGGTATGTTTCTCTAACTTGCTAGGCGTTAACACTCTTCATAGCGGATATGGTTCTAAGGATGAGTGCTTCTATTTTTCTATAAACAAGCATCTTTAGTCGAAATTTTGGAATTCATTTGTTGAATGCGAGCATAAAGCACAATATCTCTTTGCAGTCGACATCAAGCAGCTCACTATAGTCTAATTGCCTTCAAAGAAGTTGCCTTTTATGGAGATACACGTATTTATGTCATAAAAACAAATGGCATACATCTTCCTGTACCTTATACACCAAATGCCCAAATCGGCTATCCATGGTAACAGCCGTATACTCGAGAGCGCGTAGATGTTGCAGGGCGAGTTTAAGTCTATATAACTTAGGCATTCACCGGAGAAAATGAAAATGAATGCTCGCCACTAAGGTGGATGTTATCATCCATAACCGAAAGTCAACTCACCTGGTCCTGGCGTACAAACGAGCTATCACTGAGAAGGACAGATCAATTGGTTGAGTTGATGCCGCATAGGAGTGGTCGAGTTTAAATCGTTTATATCTGGCGATGACGATTATGAAATAGTGGGAGAATATGACGTAAGAAAGTAAAATGGTGTAAAAATGGACTCAAGGTGGAAATGAACGGAATTGAGTTGGGGAAGGTGGAATGTAGAACGACATTCATGTCCTTCTCGATGAACTGCAGGTTTTGATTAATATTTTAAAGCCCGCTGTCGTCAAAATTTCGCTTCGCCAGATAGTGTTTAAGAAAACTTTCAATGCGTAATGGGACGAGCGTAGCGAGAGACATAGCGGTTGGGAAACGTTAGGATTTAAATGTGAAGAGATTGATTATTTAACCATTGAGTTGATTCAACGACTTTTATAAGGATCTTTTATTGCGAAAGTGTTTACGAGCGTTAGCGAGTAACGCTTCGCAATAGTAAACAGGAAATATTGGCGCCTGAGCGAAGAAGAAGCCTTGCTGCAGGTAATGCGCAATTTGTAACATAGAGAGGGATAAAGGAAAGCAAAGGATAGTAGAGAAAATGAAGAACAAGTGGGAAAGTAAACGTAAAGAAGAAGAAATGCCGAGGCGGGGAAGGGGAAGCAAGGTGATAAAGGATACGGAGCACGGAGAAGACAGGTCAGAGAGAGTAGGCGAAAGATGCGGGAAAGTGAAGACAGTTAGCGGGTTGTTGAGGTCATGCTATTTATGGCGGTTGGAAGTTGAAGTCGTCACTACCGGTGATAAAGAAATGGAGGAAAGGAAGATGCCGATTTCATTGGTTTAGAGCGTGGTCGACATAGCTATAATATGGCGACGGAAGGGGAGATGGGAGCGGACCAAGTCGACGAGCGGAAAGAAGGGAGCATAGATTGTAGCAGCGTGTGATGTGTCCTCGAGTGAAGGCTCCACCACATTGGCACTTGTACTTAGCAAGCAGAGTGTTTACCCGGTATTTGTGGGCGATAGTACGTATTTTGGGGTTACGGATGCGAACGGATACAAAAACCAGAGCTCTATCCCGGGCGTTGTCAGTATGAAGAGAGAGGAGTTTATGACTCTTACGGTTTCTTTCGTATTCAGAGTAAGCCCTTCTATAGTTCTTCCCATTTTAACCGGTTCTATATACGAAGAAATGTCCGCTTTATTGTCATATTCCTTTTCTTCTCCCTTCTCTTCTTGTTCTAACAAGGCTAACATGTTCACTTAGAGGTTAGTTCGGTCATTCTGACCGGAAGGTAGGAAAGGCCCGTCGTGATATGGTTAAGTGGGATTCACTGGCTTCTTCTCTCCAGTAATCTTCTGCATAATCGTACATCTCCTTGAGGGATGTCATCTGAATAGTTGCTCTTCTGATTTCCCTTCTCTGAGTTTGATCAGATATGCCTTTTAGAAACTTTCTTTTCAAATCAGCCGTCTTAAGCTCTGTCAAGGTCTTATCCAGCGAGATTTCTCGATGGTGCTGCATAGCCGCGATGGCCCTGACAGACCCATTGTGTCAGAAGAGTTTGTAAGTGGAAGAAGCGGGGAAAGAGCGTGTCAGAGGCGTGCAGAAGGGGTAAGACATATTGTGGGTGGATCGACAGAAGGTTTGAAGATAACAAGTCGGACGTAGTAAGACCATTCTTGGCTGTGCTTGGTGGATGCGAAGAAAAGTTTTCTTGTTCGGGAAGCGACAGAAGAGACAAAGCAGGGAAAGTCAAGACCGTTGGCGGTAAATGGAATACCGAGGTATTCATAAGAAGATACAAGTGGGAGGGGGGTGGTATTATGGAGGGGAGTAGAAGGGGTCGCGAGAAGGGAGAGTCAATGACAGCGGATTTGTTAACATTGACCTTGATCCCGTTGTGAATACTCCAAGTTTGAATAATGGCAAGCATGCGGGTAGCGATGGAAGGAGAGGAAGGCTGGAGAAGTGTCATCAGCGAACAAAAGGAGGGGAGGTAAGAAAGGATGGGGATCAATTCGGGCCAGTTTTCCTGCGAGGTCGTCAATGTACACATTGAATAACCATGGGCTGAGGATACTTCCTTGGAAGAGACCAACAGAGCGGAAGAAGAGGGAGCCGATAGTATTGTGGATAATGTTAGCGACTCGTTTTGCGAACAGAGCCTTAACTTCTTCGAGCTTTTCAACAGGGTATTTGGGATCAAGCGGTTTAGTAGGATCTGCTTCAATTACTTGGAATCGGAAGGTCTTACATTTAGCAAGGAAGGAAGTGGTGTAATCCTCCTGCACGACAAACTCGACACAGTTCTGCGCAATGTAGCTGATGTTAATTATCTTTGTAAGCATAAAGTGAAGCGAGAAGAAGTCTGGATTTGAGTTCCTTGTAACTGGTACGCGGAATGCCATTTACGTAGATACGTCTGAGGCCAAGACGTTGCTCACTTGAGCTCTTGTGAGGGACACGCTTCTGGTGAAAGAAAGCGAAGGCACTTTTGGCAGCGGCTTCGTTCGCAGTTGGTTTGTTAGCTACAAGTTTCTGTGCGATAGCAGTGTAACTCGGTTTGGGTCGTGCGGTGTGGGCAGCAGGTTTCTTGGCTATGGAAGCGCAAGTGGAGGATTCTGCAATGTGCTGAGCGTTCCAGGGCCTGGGATGTTCAGCAAGATTAGCAGTGGTATTGATGCACGTATATCCTCGGATAAATCTCGCGATAGGGTTTAATAAAGAGAGATTTCCGATATAACGATTGTAATGCTTGCATGAGAGAGAGACTCGGTTTGAAGCAACCTGCGGAAGAAGTTGTCGGTGGTTGCGGTTAATGGCGGAGAAGTCTTTCGTCAAGTTTGTCCTTGTTTCGTTAAATGATGTGCATTTTGTAGTTGCTGAGCTTGATTTTCAGTTCGTACAATTTCGATAATCCGCGCCCTGTCGATGAAGCTTAGTAGCTTAGTGTCTTGCATTTACTTGTTAAATACGATATCCTTGTTGTTGAAATAAAGAGATTCCCCTGGAGCTCTTTCCAAGAAGTCCTTGGTCATATTTCGGTACTTCTGATGAGGTATGGTTCTGCAATTTTTTCTACGCGAGCCAGAATGCGAGGTTCCCGTCCATATAGTCGATAGATTGTTGTAATGCAATGTCCCTTCCACCTTAATCATTGCATCTTTTTGCAGTCTGTTCGTAAGATTACAGTTGTTTACGGTTGAATAATATCAGGGCGCAATCCAAAATATTCCGGCATTTTAATCACAGGATCTTCTTGCATTTGATTGTAAGATCAGAGGTGTTGATGATTGAATTATGTCTGAGCGCCGTCCAAAATATCCCCACCACCTTGATCACTGCATCTTTTTGTAGTCTGTTCGTAAGATCGAGTTGTTGATGGTTGAATTATGCCTAGGCGCAGTCCAAAATATCCCCCCCACCTTTTTTTTTTTTTTTTAATCCCCACCACTTTAATCATTGCATCTTTTTACATTCTGTTTGCAGGATCAGATTTTTGATCAGTTTATTATTTCTGAGCGCTGTAACAGTACCACAGCATCAGTGGTGGACGCAGAATGTGATGCGTTGCATCGTATCCCTTTGTCCTGCCTACATAGACTAAACGTTGAATAACTCTGAAGTTAACGCATAAATGGAAGAGGCCCTCTGATGTTATTATATGTCCTCACCACTTTACTCACAGCATCTTTTCGCATTCTGTTCGTAGGATCAGAGTTGTCTATGACCACTCAGTCTTTCTCCCTCGGTCAGCATGTCTGTCATTATATCAGCCCTCGCTTTCGAACAAATCCTTCAACAGGATTCAAGAACGGTGAATTAGTAGTTAAGTATAGACATTTATGATCTCCAGCCTTAACTAAATTTCGACTGCAATTGCAGCATGCATGGGGCATTGTCCGTTATCATAATAGCCGTTAGTGTTGTTTTATGCGACACACCCATAACATTGCACATTATGTTAGTTAGTGTGCTGTACGCGTGCTAATTCTACCGTTAACGTCATACAACAACCTCCCATCCACTTTCCTCTTATTAGACGATACAATAGCCTGTACAGTATCTCTTTGGACATGAAGCAGTTCACTATAGCTTAGTTGCCTCTGTAAATTTGCCTTTAATGGAAATGTACGTATTTATGTCATAAAAACAAATGGCATACATCTTCCTGTACCTTTTACACCAAATGCTCAAATCGGCTATCCATGGCAACAGCAGTATACTGGAGAGCGCGTAGATGGTGCAGGGCGAGTTTGAGTCTATATAACTTAGGCATTCACCGGAGAAAATGAAAATGAATGCTCGCCACTAAGGTCGATGTTATCATCCATAACCGAAAGTCAACTTACTTGGTCCTGGCGTTCAAATGAGCTATCACTGAGAAGGACAACTCGATTGGTTGAGGTGATGCCGTATAGGAGTGGTCGAGTTTAAATCGTTTATATCTGGCGATGACGATTATGAAATAGTGGGAGAATATGACGTCAGAAAGTAAAATGGTGTAAAAATGGACTCAAGGTGGTAATGAACGGAATTGAGTTGGGGAAGGTGGAATGTAGAACGACATTCATGTCCTTCTCGATGGACTAGAGGTTTTGATTAATATTTGAATGTCCGCTGCCGTCAAGATTTTGCTGGGCCTGATAGCAGCTAAGAAACTTTTAATGCGTAATGGGACGAGCATCAGCGAGAGACATAGCGCGGGAGGGACATTATAATTGAAATGTAAAGAGATTGCCTATTCAACCATTACAGTCAATATTTTATAAGCGCTAAGTGCTGAT